CCAGAGTCAACCCAAAACCTCCCAAACTGTGCCCGAGGGCATTAATGATTATTGTCGTTTCGTATTTTTATGGAAAAAAATACCCCTTAAACCTCTCAAATTTCCTTTGACTCTCCCAGAGTCAACCCAAAACCTCCCAAACTGTGCCCGAGGGCATTAATGATTATTGTCGTTTCGTATTTTTATGGAAAAAGATACCCCTTAAACCTCTCAGATTTCCTTTGACTCTCCCAGTCCGGCTCAAGTAGTACTCAATGTTGAGAGAAAGTAGATTGGACCAATCCAAAGAACGAAAGACACCAACACGCGCTTCAATCTCCACTATTCTGAATACCTTCCACCCGACCACAATCAGAATGAACGACACTCAAAATCTCTCTCTGACAAACGAGGTCGAAACGACGTGCCACGACTTTTGATACGAAGACTCACTCGTTCTCAGGTGTTCAAGAGTCACTCGTAACTTCGTATTTGTTCGATTGGAAGTGACACTGCGCAGAGCATCCGTTGTCTGAATAGAGGACCGATGGGTTGAACTTACGAGGGATGCCAATCTATCATACAAAAATTCTACTTAGTGGACGTAGTAAAGAAAGCGATATGAACAGAACACACCCTTCGGAAATTGACCATGCACTTCGGCATTTATTACATACGAGGGAGCGAGAATATCCGGAAAAAAATCAGATTTCTATTCATGTATATTTATTTGAAAGTCGCGAATACAACTGATCGCTATCAAAAGTGATAAGACAAAAATCACGTGGATGTCGTCCATAGACAGCACGCTACGATGCTCCAATCTCAATCCCCTGACAAAAATTATTTACATCATACCCTTCTTCATCTCCCCTAGTCAACATCACCCCAACGCGGACGTTGGATGATGACGACCACTCCAAAAAGATTCTCAACATCGTGGTCCTCGTGTGAAAAAGAAGCGAATCTTCCTTCATCGAGTCTGCAAAGGCTTCTTGTAAGTTCCCTGTCTCTCGGCTCCAAGAGATCCTCCAAGAAACAATATTTATAATATGCGAAGCACTCGCCCGTTTTCCTCCACTCGTCCAAGCATTCCACCAAGATCAAGTGCTACAATTTTATAGCTTCCCATTCCCGGTTTTTTCTAGCTCCTTCGATCACACTGCCCACAAAATTAGGAAATTTCGGATTGGCCGTAGGCATCTGGAATGCGTAGCTCTCTGGTGCGTGGGAAGGCGTAAATTGCTGCACCAAGGCTGAGCCCGGAGTTAGAAAAAGAGGAAGAGGCTCATGATTGTCAAGTAGATATTTGATATTTCTTATACATAGATAAGTTCTTTAACTTTAAGAGAAGAAAATCAGAATCGTCTAGAAGAAAAATTATAAACAATTGATGTCTACGTGAAAATTACCCCAGCACATCAAAAACAAGTCATTGAAGTCTTCAACAGACAAAGAGACTATGACTCTGCCTCGTACTCCGTGTCATGTCATGTCAGGATGCCTCAGAGTACTCATCTATATACAAACAGAGTGGGCATACTATTCTATCATAACAAAAAGGATCTATATCCGTCAAGCGGTGCAAAACCGGTGCCGACCATACGCACGTCGAGTATGAAATTGTGGGGTGTCACTTCTGCTGGTGGAATGCAAAAAGTCCACATGTCAGGTCGTGTCCCACCCAAAGCTGCCGCATTCGGCTCTGGTTTAGAAGGATACGCATTGTAAACTATTCCCCTTTGCTCATGATAAACCTTCAGAAAGAAGGAGGTTGCTGTTAAGCTTCTTCTACTCTTCTTGGTCCATGATGAAGTTGTGTTCTATTTGAAGGAAGTAGTGGCTTCTAATATTCAGTGGCTAGTAGTAGTAGAGTCGATGAAGATCACCTTAATAAAACTTCAGAAAATCGACTTGGACTTTGGTTTCCATCAAAAGTCAAACCAGGTCAAAATAAAAGGAAGCCTGTTTCTGTGGTCTACTACTAGCTGTTCGTGGAGTTCTTTGCAAAATCCAAAGGACAACAAAAACATTATAACAAATATAACATACTATGTCATTACAAATAGATAGAAACAATCAGCATGAACAATCACTGAAAGTTCAATCAACAAAAATTCATAATGAGCACATCGGTTCCATGCAGATTGTAAATGGCATCCCATTTTACGTCATGAGTCTGCATGTCCTGAAGTCTCACATGAATTCTGTGCAGAGGGCGGTCAAACTTAATCCACGGATGCCGAGTTCTGCCTACTGGAGTGGTCTCACCGGTCGCCCAACAACTGATATTTTTGTGTTTTACGTGTTGAAGTTTCTGAGCGTTGTGAGAGATGTTATTTCATAGATGAGGTAGTTCTAGTTTTTTTTGCAACACAAAAAGGACTTGAACAAAAAAATTGTAGTAATCTTATACCAAAAAATGTCTACTTAAACGACCATCACATTCGCATTATTAGGATCATAAGAAAAAAAGTCTTAATCAAGAACACCAATTATAGTACGAAAATTCGTTCGCATTAGCGATGTCCGTTGCGAGTATGCTTTTCGATTTGTGGAACAGAAGCAATTGGGGCTCGTTGCTCGTATCCAACGGCATCTCTGCTGGATCCAAGGTCTTACGTGATATGCCATAGGGGTAGACTCCAGTGCCCCTGCCTCCTGGTGCTGCCTGAATATCGCCTGCTGCTTCTAAGATCGCCTGCGAATCTCGGAAGAAATCTGGTCGACTCAGCTTCTCACCATGGTGCGGATCACGATGGACTGCAGCTCCTGCTCCGAAAACACCTAACCCCTCGGATAAGTACCGTGAAAAACTCTTCATCGCAGTACCTACCATCTGCACACCACGCGGAAGCGGAAATGGAGAGCTACTACTCGCTTTCGCCGTAGCTTCACTTAGGACACTGCCAAATACTTCTCCACTTTTGGACGAAGAAGTAGTCAAAGTCGCACTAGCCAGATCCGTTGGATCTATAGCGTTCAACGATCCGCCTCGTAGAGCGCCAGACTTGGACAATACGAAATCGCGAATTACGTCCGGCGCCGCGCCACGCAGAACGGCGTTGGTGCCCAAAGGTGAGGATGCGAACAGGTCTAAAATCGGATTCAAAACGATACGGAACCACATCATCGCCAGTCGGTCGATGCTGGACAACACTTGCTGCCACTTCACCGCTTCGGAAAGCAGGATCCAATGCGCAGAAGGGAAGTCAACGGTCTTCAGTTCTCCATTCTCATCAGGCTTTAGAGAGCACGCAACTGTGCTAGCCGTGCTTGGAGAATATCTTTTGTGGATTTTTCCCTGTGATACCTATCAGATAGTGACATCACTAGTATCTGTTACATTCATTTCAGAAATAGTGTCCATTATTCACAAGAATTGTTGTACTGCGCTTGTTCCATAACTTAAGAGGTTTCAACGGATCGGTGCCGAATTTGTAACCGAGAGCTTCCATGGCTTTCCGCTTTCCTGCTGTTACTCCTTTCTGAATACTGCGTAGGGCTTCAGTGTAAGCAGGTGCTTGTCCCGGTGCTGATCCCCCAGTTGCAGCCTCGAGAAAATGATCACCGTGAAACTTCAACTTATCGAGCCCAAAACCTGTGGAGATCGAGAAGATCACAAGTAATTGTGAAAATTAGAAAATCAACATGATGTTCATCTTGGGTAAAAAGGTGGACCGAACTACAATTTCTGTTTAGTAGCAGCTAATCCTGAATAGTGGTTTTGAAATAACAACTACGAGCTCAAGATGAACTTGAAATGCTCCTACTACTTTTCAACGCATATAAGGAGACAGAGTCTTTTCAATACTACATACCCTTTTTAGAGTACTTGCTTACCAAAAACCGCCAGAGGGCCGCCATTCGTGTAGGCTTTTAGCAACTCTGATTTGGGTCTGAGTGGCAAAGGACGCCTGTTTCCCCCGCACAGCTCGTCTCTTTCTCGACAATTACAGGCAGGCGCACCTGTTCCTTCTTCTTTCATCGTTTGAGGCGTTTTTCCGCAATAGAAGAGTGGCGGAGTTTCCCCAGACGACGAAGTAGGGACTTGCGTAAACTCGCACTTTGCATCCGGGCAGTCTGGGAGTGAACAAACTCCTTCGCAAGAACACGAAAACGGAGTCCGCGCACCAGGAATCTCAACACACTTGGTCTTAGAGGTACTACCGTAGGCTACTAGCGTAGTCTAGACAGTAGGACAAAAAAATAGAGGTAGGATTCTTGGGAGTAAGTAGCTTCTGAATGAATGAATGTACCCACTCCAGGTCCAGGGGTATGACAACTGATCCTTCTTCAGTGCCGATGACCACGCTGTAGCTATTCATCTTGTGCCTTCCAGTAGCCAGTAGACGAGGGATTGACACTAAGAGAAGGTACTGCATAACAGTCGTCCAAAATCTTGAACGATAAGAACTCTGTGCCTTAATTTTCACTTCTTTTTTAGGTGCCGAGGACGGCGCGTTTTTACCCGCTTCACCAGCAGCTCCATTCGACGCTTCTCCATCGTTCTTTTCCTCTACCACGACTGTTTTCTCCGCGCAGACTTGCTGACCAGCGAATTCCACTGGACAACGACGCAATGGGGGACACGCACCAGCACAGGAGCATAAATTAGAACCCACCCTAGTCTTCCATCTTGGGACTCATCTTCAAGCTGTTTCCCCCTGATAAATACATGGGACAGGGAGCGCCAAGATGCGCAGACAGATTAGGGGTAGCCTTGACGTGAATCTATTGTTCAGCAATCTGCCTAGGACTGCAATCAGCCCTGGTGACTTCTCCCCGCCAATCTACCTCGTTGCTGGATTATCAGTGGTCTTTCGACTGTTCCTGTCTTAAATAAAGGAAGTGTCTCCGGATCGAGCTTGCGCATGTGACTGTTGAAACGACAATCTCCAGAAGCAGAAAGCGCGCAAAGGCCGGCTGGACATTGCTCAGGTTCTCCACACTGGTCTCGACAATTGCAATTATGATTTAGAAGTTGGTATGTCTAGTAGTACTGTAGTTATCAATCTTCATGGTGGTTCTGATTCGCGTACTAGTTCTTCATCACGTTCTATTAGTTCCTCATTTTTATCTTCTTGCAACCCTCTCTTAGTACATAGCAAAAGTTGTCGGAGAAATTGAAACCTTCTTCTTCCTCTAGTACAACTTGATGTGCTCGTGCTCGTCTCGTCTGTTTTCACTGGATGAAGTATGATAGATTCTACTTGGCATTCCCACTATACTCTTTTGTGGTCGAGCAGACCTAAGCCGAACACTAACTAGAAAAAACTATAATATTATATTCAGTTTTCCCGTAAGTGTTGACCATTGTACACTGATATTGCTGTCCGATAGCAATTAGGAACTCCGATTTTGTCAGTCCCCCAACTCCAGGAAGGACCAACTCCTTTACGTCCACTGCCACCAACTCCAGGACGAACCAATTCGCAAACGTCATGATGCTCAATTTAGAGCTGCCGTAAAGATAAATCAGTCTGGATGTCAGCATCCTGGCGCCCGTTTCTTCCACTTGAGAATCGGGATCAAGAATGAGCAAGGCCGTGCGTGAAAGGTGAAACGAAAAGATCAACATGCTTTTACGTATATTGAAATTGTAGCCGCCCTTAATTGTTGTCGCAATGCGTCGCAAAGGTGCGCTCGTTTCGGTAGGAAGCCGCTCTATCCAATTGCAAATTCTCATACGTGAAGCCACCACTGGGCATCTGCTTCGCATACGCTGTCCCTGTCAAGGCCTCGCTGGGCGCGTAGGTAGAAACTGGATCATCGGTATCGATTGGGGAGTTAGAAGACGCAGATTGTAATGAAGGATGCGACTTGGAAACTTCGAAAACTGGTTACCATACAACCAACAGCAACTTGAACACGGACGATAGGATCCTACAACAACCAGAACAACCACATATTCTCGTTATCTACAACTCGTACTTCTTCACTCAAGTATGTCCAGCACCTCCATCTAAGAACATGAACAATATTCTTCACGTCGAAAAAGTGCTAAAAATCACCCTCCATCTAACAACAATATTCTTCACCCACGTCGAAAAAGTGCTAAAAATCTCCCAATCGCAATGATCATGACCAACATCTTCCATAAGAGCTTCTTCTCTTTCATTTGGTAAGCCTGCAGCTTGCAAACGTTTCTCGAGCTCGACACTGTCTGGTTTCATTTTTTCCGCCTCTTCTTTAAGAGCTGCGGCTCTTCCCAAACCGGCCATTGGATCCGGATGATCGTCGCCACCCGCAGCGTCTCGGCCAGCCCACATACTATACTCTTCATGCTCCTTACCGAGAAGGCGTTAGAAATAAAAGAAGATAGTTGTGATAGATGGCACGGCATGAGTCTCATGTGATAGAATAAAGAGGAAGACAACATTTGTTGGTTTGTTTGTTTTGATGCGCTCCGGGCGACGCGTACGATCCCGCCGGATTTCTTTGTGCTCTGTGTGTGTTATGGAGACGACATTTAATAAGTAGAAAGACAAATAAGACAATTTCATGAATTATATCAAGTAGACGTAGAAATATTATACAAGGTGGTGGAGTAGAAGACGAGATAAAACGATAGGGGACACGGGAAGAGGAAGGACGACTTCAATGATTATCATGAGCCTTGTCTTAGTCGTTGAGATCCTTGCCAATTTTCTTGACGCTGTACTCGACTGCACTTTTCGCCTCCTTCACGAAGTTCCCTACGAATTTGTCGACAAAAAACGCCGTATTACGCAACCTTCCTCGTCGTCTGGTCGTAGTTCTACAACTTGTTGATGTGGACTGGTGTAGTTTCCTGGTTTGATGTGCTATTCCAGAAGACCGACCACCTGGTGATCCTTCTAGGAAGGTGAACGTCGTTCTTTTCTGGCGTTTTGATGTTTGTGTTCCTGTTGTACCTGATCCTTCTAGGAAGGACGTCGTCGTCGTCGTTTTCGTGCTGTACTCCTGGTTCTCCTGATGGACGATGAAGGAATCATGATGACCATGATCATCATGCTTGATGTGTATTTCATGTTGTTCCTTGAATGTCAAAAAACTCGTCTTGTTCCTTGGAAAACGTACAACTGGTGCTGGTCCGCCCACAAGATAACTCTCCTCCACCGCATTGGGGAAGAAGTGCGTGCGGAGATCTTCGGTGTGCAGTCCACTTCCAGGCTCAGGAAGCAGATTCTGGTCAAAAATTGAGAAAAGAGCACCTTGTACCGCCATCTTTCCTTTTTGGTAGAAATGTGGTATTCTACATTAACGCGAAAAAATCTGATGTTGCAGACGCACTTTTAGATGTTGATAACACATCACTTAGTGTTTGGTACACATTTTTTTAGATTTTTTCGATAATATAGATGGTTCTTGGACTATACTTTCTACCAAGAGGGGGTAGTATCAACATTTTTTTGGGTAACACCGAAATTGACAGATTCGATCTCCTCCGAGTCCGAGGACCGAAGAGTTAGACACAGTTCGAGTAGTCAGTCATCACGGGCCTCCACGAACTCCTGTAATCTTTTTCAAGATTCATGAAATATTGATTCATTTCTGCTTCCCTGCTCAGTACAGCTAGTACCGACAAATACATGGGCTCTCTATCACGATGAAATTCGACCTCTTATACGTCACGTGTGCCTAGCATATTCTCTTTGTCCATCCACAGACAGAAACAGCAACCGAAAACGACTATATTAGCCATAACCTGAAACATGTGGACAACAGAAGCAATAGACTCGACCACTATCAAGCAACCGACGCGAGGACAAGTGAATTACGAGGTTATTTTTTGCCGAGAGAGCCTCCGTTAACCGAGGACATTTTTTAGACGAAACTTGCACTTCCAAGAACACTGCCGTCCTAGTAGTCACGTCGCAGCGATAGATAAAGATGCTTTGCGAGTCCTCATACTACTTACTAGTTCTTGTCTGCTTGGACTTCCGAATTCTTTCGGCGTTATGCGCCTGGCGAGATCGCGTATTAGCGGTGGTACATTGATCCTCACGCTAACCTACTCGCCCAACTCAGGTGGCGATGATGTCGAGGTGCAGAAAAGATAGAAACTGCTTACCACTGGGGCTTTTAGCAACAAGGAGAGCATCTCCTGCCGTGCTTCTGGCACCGATTGGACAGCTGGGGGTCGAATCAAAGCGCCTAGAATTAGACCTGTCGAATGTCTTTTATCCTCGAGTGCATTGGTCTGAGGGTCGGAATTCGAGAAGGATCATGCGAGGCCGGAAGAATACTGCCTCTCGCTAGTAGTTACATAAGTACAAGTAGTTTAGTACCATCCACGTGTTAAAAAAGTCCAATTTTTCAATCTTTAGAACTAATCCTATAGCATTCTACAAACTCTAAACGACTTCTGTCAGCACGTTTACATCTCCTTTGCATGTGGATGCAACCCTGTCCTCAGGAAATGAGTTTGAATAAGATGAGATAAAATCAAAAATTTATGGATTTAAGAAAAAACTTCAAATTTTGCAACATAATTCCCAGAGAAAGTTGAATGTAGATGCAAACCTGTCGCCAGGAAATGAATTTGAATAAGATGAGATAAAATCAAAAATTTATGGATTTAACAAAAAATTTCAAATTTTGCAACATAATTCCCAGAGAAAGTTGAATGTAGATGCAAACCTGTCGCCAGGAAATGAATTTGAATAAAATGAGATAAAATCAAAAATTTATGGATTCAAGAAAAAAATTTAAATTTTGAGATAAAAATCCCAGACAAAGTCGAATGTGGATCCAAAGCTGTCGCCAGGAAATGAATTCGAATGAACTTAGATATAATCAAATTTTTCTGGATTTTTAGGAGCAAATTTCAAATTTTGAATTTTCAGAGTATACTGCTTCCGTATGCAGTCAGTCAGTCTTTATCACGACACTGGAACTATGTAAGAAGATTATCAAACAAATTTGAGATCAGAAGAAAGAATACTTGGAACCAACAACGATATTGCCTGTGCCTACGTACTGTCGGTGCTAGCTTGCTTTTTTCATTTACACTCCAGCCTTAACAGAAGCACACCACAGAAAAAACAGAACAGAGGCCGTCTGTCTTCGATCACCGTCCTCAGCGAGAAGAAATGGCGCCGTGCGCCTGCCACGAAAACGCATTTTCTTCGTCCGATAGTAGTGCAGTTTCTTCTGATCATTATTGGAGTCAGAGACATCACGTTCACTACACTTGTTGTTGTAAAACAACAACCTGATAAAGAACTAGTTGTCGAGGAAACTCGGACACGAACTCTCAGCGGCCGTCTTTAAGAAATTTGGCATACTGATACTGTTACCAGTGAATGAATTAGTCGTATTTATTAGAAGATTAAGCTACTGCGGACTCGATAAAAGTGCACCATCAGCACGTTGAGTTTGTGTTCCTTTCAAAAATATTCATTAACGAGCACTATCGTCGTATGGTATCGCATCATGTAGAAAAGCGGCCAAGATGAACAGTTCAAAGAAAAAACAATGGCATCTTATTTATTATGCCTATGCGATACTGATACTGAAGGAAGAAACTAAGTATTTCTCAACTGTGATCGTAAATGACGCGTTACGACAGGCACTAACACAACCGAAACCAATCTGTACATCTTTCCTGGGGGCGGAGGCGTCGAAGAGGGGATATTTTTCAAAGTCTTTCATGAACATCAACATCAACTACTCATGAAACATGATGCCAAAATTATGGGGTCCGAACAGTAGCTGAAACAGATTCTCATGAAGAACTTGAACATGTGTGAGTGAAACCTGCTACCCTCCTCGTCTTCGCTTCATCTCTCTCTCTCTCTTCTGACTGGATCTCCCAGAGATTTTCGTCTCAACGTCAGAGTCAAGGACAATCCTATTTCTACACATAAACTGATACCGCGCTGGATAAGAAGTATGCAAAACACATCAAGTTGTAAGAAACCACGCGTGTCAGAACAAGACACAACTCTTTTCATCCACGTTCTTGTGCTAAGAAGTGCTCCTCAGACTGCGACAATTTAATGACTATCGGTCAGGAGCTTTCTCTTGTTTGAAAAACACAAACTTTTCCTGTTCTGGTTTCAACGTTGAAGGGCAGTCCACGCCATAAAGCCTCGCAGAGATGAGAGATAGAAAACAGAGACTCGCCGTCGAGACGCACCAAAATGTCTCCCACTGAAACACCAGCATCACAAGCAGCAGAGTAAGGATCGATATGTGTCACCATCAGAGCGGAATCTACTTTCAAATGGTTCTGATTCTTGTGTCCAGCCCCTTCATCGGAATTCGAATAAATCGAATGGGGGGACGAGGATATCTCTACTCGATCTTCATTAGATGTTGTCCTGCTTGTCGTCGTCGTTGTCTGGTGTTCAATATCATGATTGCCTCGCTCCGCTTCTTTGACGTAGTTCTTCGTTGTCTGTTCCTCCTTCGTTTCATCTACTGCCAAATGTTGACCACCTCCTGCTGCTCTTTCGTCCCTGCTGAGGTCATCCCCTCTAAAATTCCCCGCAGCCTTATCATCAACTTCAACCCAACAAGGTTCAACAACCATACCCAGTGACTTCTTATAGTACTGATCCTTGTTATCCTTGCGAATTATGCGGTCTGCAACCGGGCAGAGGAAATCGGCAGGCAGAGCAAGGCCAAAATCCAGGAAACGTTTCACTAGCATGCGGACATTAGAGTAAGAACAGTCGTCGAGGGAAGACAAACGATAATGACAAAATGGGCGATCACAGCACTTATTTGGTTGTGAACATATTGTGGCTGCTGCCAACAAAATCCTTGCATTAGTGCACGTACCTATGCCTATCTACCGCATCTAGTGTGTCTTATGAAGGACCACTAGTTCCGATCACACGATCAGCTGCCTTAACACAAAGAGCGCCATCGCGGCTAAACACTGGGCTCCCGGACATTCCTGAGGTCGTCTCCAGACTGAGCTGTAAGAATCTTGGCGTTCCTGTTTGTGCTGCCTGACCGGATTCACTGACCTGATTCGAAGAACTACCTGAAGTTGAGGTTGTCGTGCTGTTGTTGTTAAAGAACAACTGAGTCATTTTCTCTAGCATGTTGTTTCCTAATGAGGGTTTCGCTTCCTCTTCCGCTACTTGAGATGATGAAGCGCCTGCTCCTGCGGTAGTGATATCCGCGGAGAAACTCTGATAAGGCTGCACACAACTTCCCTGAACTAAAATTGGTTCGCTTCCGTACTGCAGAGATCCTATGGAAAAAACAAAATCTCCCATAGCTGGACGTGAGTTTCCGATAAGGTAGGATGATGTAATTGCTGTGCTGTGTTGAAGTTGACCATCTTTATCTACTTGTGCTACAGTACTAGCTGCATCCCGCTGACGTTGACCTTGTAGTTTCTGTATAGTTCTAGTACTAGTTGTAGGCGTTGAAAGGCTAATAACTGCAACATCAGCGGCTTTTTCTAGGCCCAACAATGTACCTGCGTGTACCGCTTTTCGCTGTCGGCTAACTGGATCAGGAAAATGCAGAGATAGAGATCTTCGCAATTCAGACTCACCTCTACCCGGCTTAGTGATGTTGTCAAACAGATGTCCTGCTGTTATCACGTACTTTTCCTTGTATAGAAACCCAGTCCCTAAAAATCTTGCGCCGTCGTAAATCTGACATATCTGTGGCAGTAATGTTCTTGAAATTGACGACAGACGGTTAGGTGCTCCAGCTCCTAGTAGTTCTCGAGGTGGTCCTCCTCCTCCTGGTACCTGTAGTATTTCAACAGCTTCCTTACAGTGGAAACGGCGTCTTTGTGCTTCGCAAAACACGAGTGGTCTACTTCTGATTCTACTGCTAGTAGTTTGTCGCCTCCGGTCAATTGATATTCTACTTGACGTTCTTCCCATCCTCCGAAGAATACCCTTGATGTTCTTGCTCTCTTTCTTATCATTGTCCTCACAGAAAGTGTGCTCCTCGTTCAAGCTTCGGAGTTTCGTGAGCAGACAGAGCGCTCCGCCGAAACGCGCAGTTACTGATATACCACTCGCCATAATGTCTAGTTGTAGATCTAGATTCTATGAACCGATCCTGATCGACAATGAGAAAATAAAGCAACGTAGATATAATTTTCTCATTTTCAGGAATATGGAAACGACCTTAGGGCAGGAACACTGAAGAAAAAGGACGATGCAGCCCGTGCGCGGAACGTAGTAGTACTAGCAGGCGGCAGAAATATGATCTAGGATAAATTTCTTCCTGCTGTCCTCCACGAATAAAACATACACGTTTCATTCTTATAGTTTCTCAACAAGTACCTAGACGTCATTTACATTTCCATTTTCTTTCTTGATTGTTGATTCCCTGGAAGTACCAAAACCTCACAATCACGTTCTGCCATCCCCATCCTCCAATTTCACCTTCTCTCCCCAAACATGCGCAAAAGATGGAGAAAGAGGTTGATTATGTCCAGATACAAATGCAATGCCGCATAAACGTACTCGTCTATTGCGAATCTGTAGGCATGGTGCTTCCCGTCCACTATCATTTGGATGTCATAGATGATGTAGAAGCAGAAAAGGAGAGAGCCCAATCCGGAATAGACCATCATTACCGGCTGCGATATCGGAAACAGCGCAAGGACGAAGCTAGTCACGATCAGGCACTGCATGGAGATGTTGTGGATGGCGGGTTAAAGTTGATGTTGTGACAGCGAAGACAGTAAGTAAGTACTAGAATGTTCTTGAAAATGAGAATGTCGAAGATGTACTACAGATTATACAGTTACAGTTGTTAAATATCTTGTGTACTAGACGAGTCACTCCAAACAAAGGAACTTTTTATTGTCGATAAATAATGGATCAACAACATGCCCATGTATCTATGTATCTATGTACTTAATAGGTATAAAAGCAGTACCAACAAGCAGGCAAACAAGTATGGCGCCATTCCTGTAAAGTCGTATTTTGTTTGCATCGCGAATGCTCCTAATCCTGCCACTATTCCTGCTGTCAAACCGGCAACACCTAGTATTGACCATGCTTCGTACCGCATGCATGCAAATCCTACTAGCACTCCCATGCTCACAGTCATCGCAGCCAAAAATCCATAGTTACTTGGGTACTCCCGCAATAGGTGAGGTCGGCACATGGCCACGCAAGTGAGGAGTAACGGGAAGACCATGACAAAAGCAACCAGCCCTTGATACTGGATAAGTGCAGGTGCGACAGAGTCGTAGAAGACAACGAAGGGAGCTGCGATGAGCGCAGTAAGCGCGAGCTGGCAAGCGACTAAGCCAAAAACCTTTCTGACGAATCCATGGCGCACGTCCACGTGGCAAGCAGATGTGAGGATCTGTTTTTGAGGAGATGAAGTGAGATTGGTGTGGAGAGTGGAACCCATTGAAAAACGCGTCCACTGTGATATTTATTGCACTCAATTTTTCAGCAAGGAAGAGCATACTTAGATACTCTAGTAGTTTTTACTTCTTCTAAAATCAATCTTCTTGCAGCAGTACAACTACAACCTCAAGATCGGCGAGGCAATGTTGAAAATTAATACAGAAAAAAAAACTTCCAGAAGTACCTCATGTTGTGATGACGACGTCACAACAGAGTCCATCTCCTCTCCATCGTCGAAGCTTCGATTACCGACCAACATTTTTTTGATGAGAATGATGTAGTTCTACTTTGTCTTAGTCTTTGCTAGTACATGTATGATGTTTGTTCTTGGGACAACTCGTAAATGCACTTCGTTCTAGGTTTAGGTAGAAATAGCTACAACAACTTCGAAAGAGAAATCAGTTTCATCTATCATAGATCAATTGTAAGTATGAGTTTCGGGTCGTGGGCGTTCATCTGACGGGGAGGCAGGAAAATCAATCTTCGTCTAACACAGCGTGGATCTATTTTCCGTCTCTGTTTGGCATGAACGAAACAAGGGTGTACATCAACTTCACCAAGGCTTTGAAAAGATCTGGATCATTCACCAGACGCCGTTTCCCTAGAAGAAGTGTCTATCTCTCAACTTGACGCGAGGATGAACGACATCAGTTGTCCTTGTCTGCTCGGTTCGCACTCGTAGTTTTACAGAGTCTCATCTCACCAGAAGAAACCGAATTTTCTAGCGCTCGTTTGCCTATAGAAGATACGTCGTCTCGCAATCTAGATGATGTAGGTGGTGCTTTTCAGCAACATGATCGCTTTAGGGAGCAAGACCCATGAATTGGAATGCGGTAGCAGCTCCTTCTAGAGAGAGAAACCCTCAACATCAGAATGACACCTCTCGAGAACTACAGTACAGGTAAGTAGAACAAATTCTACAGGGCATGCCTTCATCGTCTCAAGGAACTCCTGGAACACTGAGAGTTAGACTCAGGCTTACTACAGTTTCGTTTTCCGACTCACTGGTGCAAGACAAAGATATGTCTTGTATGTTCCAGAGGTTTTTCGTCGTGTTCCCTTTCTCTCGTCACTGACACTGTGTCGGTTTTCTGTAATCATTCTCGATCATCTGCAAGTGGGTGCAAAAGCGTAGATGGAAGGTGAGTGTGAGTAATCGTAGTGTAACGGTAGGTCGTTTTGTGGTCGGTGGCCACGACTATTCTGGTACATCAAAGCAGCACTGCTTGGTAAACTCTTACAAACAAGTAATAGAAAAATCAAAAGTTTTTGGAATCATGCCAAGTGCACATTATAGCCACCGAAAAGCTATCAAGAGATTAAGGGTTGCCTCAACCTCCTCATTCATCCTGGCTTTTTCTTTGGACTCTTCTTTCCTGCCGCTGTCTTCTGAGCGCCAGAAACTGCTTTCTTCGGCGATTGACTACCCCTTCCAGCTTCACCCGAACTTCCTGCAGTCGACACCCCTGGAGGTGGTCCTTGTTTTTTCGGTGAAGGAGGAGGTGCTCCTGATGGACCTACTCCTGATGTTGCAGATGAGCTGCTTGGTGGTGCAACTCCACCCATAATATGCTGTGTATTGTAGTTCGCATCAGTTTTCGCCAGAACTTTGAGCTGTTCTTCCTTCTCAGTTCGCTTCTTATTGAGGTCCGCCTTCTCTTTGGCTAGTCTTTGTAGAGTCTCCTTTATTCTGGCCATGTCCTGTTCTGCTCCGGTGCGCTGTCGAACTGCAAGTTTCTCATAAGCCGAAGTCTTGTTCGCAGAAAGGGCAAGTTAGAAGACACATGGATGCTCGTAAGACGGCCACCCCCAGGCTCTGAAAACTTCCAATGCAATAAAGAAAACATGATCTTCAAATCCCTTGCTAGGAAGAATTACTACGAGCACAATAGAACCAATCATAATCAAAGATTCGCTGTCGCAATTCGCGTTCAAGAACCTTGTAATGCTCCCGCCCATAGTCACTCTGCAACTGCTCTAGAGAATACGTTCTGCCCGGATTCCGGTCCTGGAGGATTTGATGTTGTACTGGGATCTTCACACTGAAATCAACGATGCCAACTATGTTGGGATGTTGTAGTTTAATATGCGAACCCACGAGCATCTACATTAATAATACATAGACGTGATACTGATCAGTCCTTTTAGTAGAAGTAAATTCACCAGAAGCTAAAATTTTTCTAGTACATCAAGAGTGAACTTCCAAATCAAAATACCCTTTCTTCCTCCTCTACTTGGTAATTTAGTCTTTCCCATTGCGCTCGAATCCAGGCTTCACCATCTAGGTCGTGAGTTGACTTCCCCACCTCCAAAATCCAATTTCGAAAATGTTCAAACCCATCGCCTAGGCGTGGCAGTCGTGTCATAAGGGTCGTATTTTCAGTGTCGGGTAGTGTAAGGTGCAAAGCAGCAGGTCCCACGATTCGAGGTGCCTCAAGAGGTTCTACGTATTCGACCATGTCTACACCAACACCCATATGGGTCAAGGTGAAAGCCTCGTTTTCCCTGTAAGTTGTAGCATAAGGGTTGTAGTAAGGATCGTGTCATTTTAGAAGCATGATCATGACGAGGAGTATCATCTGTGTTTTCAGGAAGATACCGTGTGAAAAAACGATTTCCTGAAACTGAAATTTCTTGAAGTTGCGAGTACATTCTACTTATGAAACTTGAGAACATCTAACATCAAACAACACCCCAAAAAAGCAGTACCGCATCAATATTGCCATCACTTCCAAAAAAAGCAGTACCGCATCAATATGGCCATGACTTCTTCGTCCGCTTGTTTCTCAAATGCTTTCTTCAGCTGTTTCTTTAAACGCCTGTAATTCGTTCGCAGATATCGATAGATGATGATGAAGAAAAGCACTATATCTGGTAGATTTTCGTCGACGTCATGCAAACCGTCGCCTTCGGTCACGTTAGCCTCGATCGCAGCTACGCGTCGCATCTCGGCTTGACGCTGCTCTTCATTCATCTCTTCTTTCCTGGTTTTCTCTACGTCTGTCTGCATTAAGTCGCCTACGGCCACGCCTGTCGGCCTTTCCCACTTGGATTCGCCGGTGAACCGGTTGTAATAGTAGCTCTTGCGCTCACCTGTGTTAGTTTTGATCATGTCCAACGGGAATTCACAAATTGAGTGATCATGATTCTGTTTCTTTAAGACTTCCAGCATAAAGAACTGTCGATCACAATAAACCAGTGTTCCTTGATGTACTTCCATATGTCTTACTGACTCAAGAAGAGTCTACATGATCAGGTCAACTTTTTCAAAAAAGAAACTAAAACATACCTTCAACTTTCGCTCTATGCTTTGTCCAACCGAATGGCAGCTTGATTTTTTCGCCTGTGGTCTCGTCAAAGTCTGTTCCTGTCGTCCCTAGATACTGTTCCTTCTTCCTCTTTGTGTAGCTCTCCATGAGAGCTGCGGGATCGTCCTCCTGCTCATGAACGGCTAGTCGACTCTTTAGCGTCGCGTCTCCTCGAACGAGGGCTAGGTCTTGCTTGTTGTTAGAGATAGGGTGAGTTGTAAGGGGCGAACAGATCATGAAAACAAGGAACAAAATGAGGAAATAAAGACTCTTGAATGTAGGGAGGTCAGTGTTATCCTCTCCCCCATTGCCACCAACTCGTACAGCTGTGGAAGGGCAGCAATTAGGAACTTACAAATCGCCACATGTCAACACCAAAATCACCAGCCTTATCATCCAGCAATTCGCCACCACTTCCGCTTCCTAGAGTATTGTTCAAATTTGCTCCACCACCTCTGGTCCTCATTTGCGCTGCTCTGCCTGCACCCCTTAATTCGGCTGTTCCTCCAGGTAAGCCTAGCTGATCCCCAAACACTTCGTTAGTATAGTTGCCACGCGATCTCCCTCGACTTATCAGGTGGCCGTGCCCGTCCACCGGAGCTCGCTCTTCAGGACGTGCAACAGGTGGTCGGAACTCACCAGTTTGAGTCTGTTCGAGTCGATGGTAAGCGGAAGCTGGTCTGTCAGTCACGTGCTGCCCGCCTGGCCGGTTATGAACAATGAACGCATCCATTTGCTATTACTTATTTAATGTTATGAATGTAGTTACTAGTACTTCGAGGTGTCCTTATCAACTTGGCCATCCTCTCGCTTGGCCATTTTCAATTTCATTTCATGTTTTATTCTTTACCTCATTTAACTGTAGGATTTTCCGTCTAAGTACTAGTCAGAAGAAGTCAGTAAGCCTTATGTATGTCACGATTCCAGCACCTCAAGTACTTAAAAATCACATCAATAGTAGCCCTTCTATCTTGCCGTAAATCGTTGCCGCAAGAGATGCTCCCTGACCAATCATGCCTGGGCCGCCGCCTAATTGACCAGTTGTCTTCCCCAAGCCTCCAGCTGACAGTGGACGTGGATCTTAGAAGAGTTAGGAGTACTCTACCGTTGTAGCAGTGGTGTTACTTCTACTCGTCCATAGCTTTCTTTTCAGTACTGCAACAAGAGCGACGTAGAACGAGCTCCAAAAATTAGACCAGATTTCTTCTCGTTGCACAACTCAACCACGTTCGAGGACGAGCCATAAGAATAAGCTCCAGGAATGTGCGGCCCTCCCTGATCCACATTTATCGCCAACTGGTGATATCTTGCCATGTCTGCAGACGAGAGCTCGTAAGCGTTCCGATTGTAGTATTCGGAACCTGGAACCTTACTCACAGACTCTTTCCATTTCTGGTGGTCCGGCGCTTGCGATCGCATCCGAGACCATACCTTAGGCTTCTTGTTCGCTGGAGCAGCTCCTTCGCGGCCGATGAAAGGTGAAGAAAAGGTGGGACAGAAATTGGAATGTAATTTGTGATATATTACTAGTCTGACGTTGTTCTGATGTATTTTTCCCTTGTCGTGCCTGGATGTGATGTCAGTCTAGGTCTACTTGTTACAACCTGTTTTTCAATACAACTAGTACAACATCTTCAAACTACGAACTTTATTCATCTTATGATCTTCTGTACTATCTTCCCACATCCTTTCATATCTCCTTCTCCCTGTGGTCCTCCATCTGGTTCTGAGCCGGCCTCCGAAGCCGGTGGCATCGCATAGTTGATTTGACGACTGCTGACGGCTCTGCTACGACGAACGGGTGCAGTTGAATTAGAGCTACTGCATCCGCGTCACACTCACATCTTCCTTATCCTTGTTGAGATTCGCATCCTTGTGGAAGCCCGAGGGCGATTCAACCTCCTCCTTGAGGGTTGTCATATCCTTAGAGCCGTCTCCTTTTTTCCTTCAAAAAAAAGGCCCCAACGATAACGATCTGAGGGGGAGCAGAGGATGCTCTCTCTCTCTCTTGGTTGCCTTAATCGAAGGTCTCAATGAATGAGACTGCTTCTGAGGCCATGCAGGATTTGTGGTCATATCCTGCGCAGCCCCACCCATATTCGAAGAAGTGCTCGCGGCGCTCATTGTGCTTGTGTTCTTGTAGTTATAATCTTGAAGATCATATCTTCATTTTTCGATACTCCGTTGTACTTGCAGATGTAGTTCTACTAGTAGGTGGTGCTGCCTCTCCCAGCAACATTTCTACAGTGTTATAGTATGGCTCTCTCGTCGAGTCTCTCAGTCTGCATTAGCATGTTCTTGTACTCGATGACACCACCCAGACCTACCTTTGCGGCTCCTTTTCATGAAAGTCATCCTTGCATTCGTGTACGAGATACATCCTCGCATCTTTGTTGTAAGTAATCGTAATGAGCCATCTTATCTTTTGTACTCTTACTCACATTTTCATCTCACTCTTTTAATCTCCCTCAACATGATATTGAAGAGTAGCACCTCTCCTACCCTAAAATCACCCTAAAAAGCTTCGCCTTTCCTACCAGAACAAAGTTCACCAGATTCAGCTGCTTGTTCGGCATGCTTTAATACCTTGTAAATCTATAATCCCTACCACAAGACGAAATTGGATGCAGTCCGCATTCCTCTTCGATAATTTTGTTAAAGAGTGTCCTATCTGCTGGTGGGTATTCTTGCAAGAATAGTTGTTTTTCAACACCTCTTTTAGATGTAGTTGAAGAGGTACTAAGTTCATTTTCAAGAGCTTTAGAAGATGAAGAAGTTCTTGTAATATAATTCTTCTCTTCATCAATATCATTCGCACCAGTAACAGTTGTGGAAGCTGTTGTCATGAGCGTGCTCTGTAATGCACAGCGCACTTCGTCGGAAACTTGCTTCTCTAAAGGAGGTTGTTCACGATTTTCCTCACCTCCGGGAGCGTCACCTGGGGACGACGACGTGGTCGTGGTCATGTCAACAACACGTGCGTAATTTCCTTCTTTTACCGCTGTGGCCAGTTCACTTTGATGATTGTCCATCAAAGCTGCATTTACCACAACACAAAGCCGTCTTCGCATCCGCAATGCTCCTAGAATCGAGCCGGCGCCAGCGTGCGACACGATTACTGTGGCTAGACGCTGGACAGCGGTGATGTTGGAGAGAAAGCGCAAGACGTAAACTTTGACGAGTTTCTTTGTAGTTGATGTTGCAGTTGTGAGTTTTTTTGTTGATGTTGAGCCTAATTCCTCTGTCAGCGTGTCAGTCGAGATTGGCGGTAATTTCTGCGAAGCTACTCCGTCTACTTTTCCATCCATCTCCTCAGCACTGCAGTCAACTACAGCAACCCGGACGTCTTGATCTTTCTTCGTCGCATCTTTGTCAGCACCGAAAATACTCTCCGGCCACCTCCCTTGTCCGATTTGCAGTACTAAATTCTGAACGCCTTCGTCGCATAGTGTTCGGAAAAAAAGTGGCGTGGAGCAAGCATCGATCAACGGCTCAAACTTTGTCGTTCCGACAGTTACGAACAACGTCATTTTTTCGTGGTCAGGTACCGAATTGAGACAGTGAAATTTGAAACGAAACAAAGAACTATTATTTCTAGAAGGATGTCCTCAAAGTTGTTTGAGTATGATTTCTGTACCTCCTAATCCTCGATTAACATGTCACGAATTCTTCGCGGACAAGGTGTTGAGCTGGAGAAGATCTTATCCTCGCCTTACACCTCTGCAAAATCTGATCCCGTGCAATTAACCTGAACTCACGAACAGCTGTGCGACATGTATGAAAAAAGATGAACTGTGTGACATATTTCTATAATGAACAAGTTCTCGTCCAAAAACACAGGAAATGGATCCCCGAGTCTTCTGTGGGAAACATTTTCAGTTTCCTGCATGTAAACGCGAAGATGTGTGGAAACGAGAGAAGAGCAGGAGCGTTTTAGCTACAAGCGTCTCCCATATTCATATTGGTTTTGTTGCATGTTGACCAACTTTTAATTAATGAGATACAACTTACACTGCTGCTCGTTTTAGCTTCAGGACGACCAGCATTTGCAAAAGTTGAAAAATTAAACCCGCTGGTTAACACAAGAACGTCTGAGTTCTTTCTTAAATCGTTGCTACAAAAATACAAGGGAAAACAAGTACTAAATACGAAAAAAAGAGGCGTGAATTTGAACCGCTCAACCATGGCAGAACAAGTACAAGATTGTCATACGTAGGGCGCCGCTCAACCATGGCAGAACAAGATTGTCATAGGTAATAAGAGACGCTACTCCAATTTCGCGTCCGATGATTTCGGTACCCGAGTCGCTCTTCCTTCTGCCTTGGAGGTCCTGCTCATCTCTGATTTCCTCTCCACTTCGCTCGACACTAGTGCTTTCGTGATAACCCGGATAGCCTTCTTCACCATCAACTTGAACCAGAACGCATTGAGGTACAAAGGTATCGGCAGAAGTAGTAGGAATATCATCGTCTGGAAGGTGCTGCAATGCGCGTAGCTGCTTGGCCGTACCCAGTGAAACGCGATCCAGGGCATCGGCAAGACTCTTATGATGAAGAAAACGAACAACATGGAAATCCCGGTGATGTAATACCTGATTTCATTGGCAAGGGGATTTTTTTTTTGGAATTAGAAAACGGTCCAAGTCTACTTACTTCTACGAGGTATCATTTGCATTTTGTTTCTCTTTCATCTGTTTAAACACAAGAATCAATAGAGATGTTAGTTTAAACACAAGAATCAATAATAGAGATGAACTGTAACTGTATACATTGGAGATGAACAACTGTTGTATACATTCACATTGACGTCGTAGATGAAATTAGAAAGATGGCGAGGGCGAGACCAACATAAGAGAAAATACGCAGATGACGTGTCCCACCCGGGTCTATTCTCGAGAAGCCACCTTAGATTGACGAAGATATTTGATGCTTCCGTGAGTACGAAATATAATATCGGGACAGCTCCTTTCTGCGTGCACAAGGCATACGGCCAAAATATCAGACCTAAGGTGAACGTGAAGTGTTTCACTATCTATGTCTAAATGTATAAGGGAATGTAGTTGAAGATGTGCTCGTTGGTGTGCTGGTTGGTGTGAAAGTGGTGGAGGTAGTGGTCGATGGATAATGAGCAGAATAAGTAGGAACAAGAAGACACAAAGAAAAGTACGCTCGTAATATACAGATCATCAACTTCTTCAAAAATTGAAGATCTTCAAAAATTCATAGTACTCAGTATATGATGAATGAGCATTTGGATGAACATGCTCCGCCTCAATGCCTTCATCAGCGTCTTTGGCCATATCGCTAGAGTCATCGTGTCCATCGCCATAAATCCGCATGCTAGACCTGAAAATCGGTCGTTATGTTCAAATGATATATCAATCATCAGATCAGTAATTACAGGCCAGCAAAACGAATAGGACATTCTTCATCATGATGTACTATCTATTAGGTACACTGATTGTTCTTGAGTAGAAGATTCATCTTAGTTGTACCAACTCCATAAAATATCCCAGGTGTTGGCTTGTAGTCCAACCAATCGCCCATTGGGTTTTGCCACCACCATGAAACTACGGCTGCAACATCATCCCATATTGCATATGCGCTCTGAGTTAGGTGGAAGGTAATGATTTGTTCTTTGTTGATTTCTTTTGCTTTTCTTGGATGAACAAGGGAGTATGTATTAAGACTAGGACGAGGGAAAATTATGTTGTAGTGTGTGAATCCTTGTTCTTTATACAGATGTAAGGATTTTTGAGATCCTTTGCCTTTCTTCTAAAGAGAAAATTGGAATAAAAAGCAAAACGCCCTCTTCATGCTTATATGTTGACATAGAGGAAGAGGTATAGAAACAAGGAATGGATTGTTGAGGTGGAAGTCGTACAACATCATGTAATCGATTCATCTTCTTTGAAAAGCAAATATGACCTAGAAAGAAGTGCAAAGTAAGTAAGTAGCAACAAGTACATAAAAAGGCTGGCAGAGCGCTACGAACGTCGTATGCCATAGTAGTTTTCTCTCGTCGGGTATTTCTCCCCAAACGAGTGGCGACGCGAGGCAACTTATAAAAAAAAATCCCCACGCGCAGGAAAATTGGACCAAAAAACCCTCTATGAAGGCCCATGGCAAGGCTTGTTTGACGCCCAATTGCGCGGTCACGATGTTTTCCACGGAGGACGGCATCTTGATGTAGTAGTGTGGAAGAACCTGTTGAGGAAGATGGACTACACGTGACTAGAAGCAACTTGTCTATAATGTAGGTCGTGCCGGCAGAAGCTCGTTACAAGAGGTGGAGACGAGCCCCTTGGCAGACGCGGAGCTTGATGGGTTCTTTTTTCGGTGTGGCAGGACGAGAGTGATGTTCTTTGGTGCGTGGTGCTGGTGGTAGTGGTCGAAGCGAAGACTCTTTAAACAGGTGGCTTCGGTTTGCTGATTTCACAGGCGGAAGCCAGTGATTGGCGTGTGCAATCTGTGCGTTTTTACGACGGTGGTCACGTATGCGGATGGATATTGACGTTGACCCCTCGCTCTGATGAATTCAAGGCTTGTCCCCGACAATGCTTTTACGAATTGTCCTCGTTATTCTGGTGCCACTACGTGGCGGCGAGAGACAGCGGGGAGATGAAGGTGGCTGCATTCTTCATTCTTGATTGCTTAGCACTATGCCAGCACCTAGTAACATGTATTTAACTGCTCTTCATCTTAGTACAGTTGTGATCACTGATCGCCATGTTATCATAGTTATCGTTAGTTGCATAGCTTTTAGCTCGTAGTCGTAACTAAACCATCAAAGCAAACAAGATTCCGATCCTGGAGGTATAACGGCCCGATTCGATGTGGGAACCGAGAACTGAAAGTAAGCCAGTACCAGTACGACAGAATAGAGAGGGGATAGAATAAACCTTTCCAGTAGCAAACCAAATTTGTCGTCCTCCTTCTGCATACGTACCGAGCTCTTACACTGTAGGTCATCTATTTCGTCTAGCTATACTGTGTCAGGAACAGGAGTCACCAAAATATGTGTAATGAAGGTGAATGCCTAGCGCATCTTCTTCTTCTTGATATCTTCTGCGTTGATCTTGATCTACATGGGAGAAAAAAATGTACTTACTATCTTCACTGAGGGCAAGATTGACGTGGAAAGCAGACGCGCTATAAAGTACAGGAGCACCGAGAAGATTGATAGAACAGATCTCTATGCCGACGTTGGAGAACAATCGCAGCTGCAACTCCTTTGGACATTGTAGAAGGACGAAAATTTGGTACTCGGGATTAAACTCGTCTGCCCAACTTGTTCTTGATCTTCAGTACCAAGTAGTATATCCGTGATGCGTGTCTGTTCAGAAACTAGGCTCATATAATTATAATCTGGTGTCCAATCTTTTGCCTTTCCTTAATACCAATGCTCAGAACGTCGTTATTTGTAAGTATCGATACGTTTTTCTTTTGCAAGATTTTGATCACAACCTGGCATAACAAAAAGCACTAGATGTCGGTTTGTCGCAGCAAGAGACTATTATGTAAGTAAACACGCTCTATGCAAGGAGGTCACAATCTCGTATTCTTCGACGTCGCGAATCTCATATAAGGAATTATTGGTAACAAACACCATCATCATCAGTCGAGCTGCGGTACAAGTTTTGATTCGCTGTCATTGTGGTCAACAGTTTTCTTGGAATAAAAATCAGAAGTCACATGGGTTCGCACAATCCGCAATCAAAAAAAAGTACGGATTTCAAACAGAAGAACTAAGAACAATGATTCCGACACAAGCAACATTCTACTAAATATTAAGAATAAGCCTCGTCCTTGACGACAACAACATTCTACTAAATAAGATTAAGCTCTGGTGCTAAAAAAAATACAAGATTAAAACCACCTCTCTAGGTTCTTCTCGAATATCAATTGTCACTCAAGCGAAATCCGTTACCCTGAAATGCCGTAGTAGATGAGGACGCTGCCTTGTCAACCGCAGCCCGTGGTTCATTACTAGAAGCACCTCCTTGTTGTCCTTCTTCATTTTTCTCAAGTCGAGAAAGAAAGCGCTCTCTCTGCTGAGACAACTGAGATGTTGGATTTGCGACTACTTCTTTGTCAACAGTGTCTGTCCAACTAGCTCTAGCAGCACTTGTAGATGTAGTAGTACTTGTTCTTTCACCAGTAGCAGTTTGTCCTAAAACGCATCCGACGGCAGCCGATTTTTCTTCGTCGCTGTGCGCCGTTAAGGTGGAAGTGTTGGCACTAGTCGACGACGCAGTGGATGGAAATGTGGTATCACTGGCAAAGGAAACAGATGTACTACTCTTGCTGGATGTGTAGTATGCGCCAGTGCTCTCACTGGATTTGCTTGCACCAGATGTTCTCGAAGATGACGAAGCTCCTGATGTGCTATCACCAGCATCAGATTCTTTCGCAGCTGTTGACTTGTTGTTGCTGACCTCTGTTGATGTATCAGCTTCTATTCCACCAGCAGCACCTTCTCTATTTTTAGGATCTATTGTATTCCTATTCTTACCTCCTCCATCACTGCTACCATTCGTCGAAAGCCCTCTACTTCCACCTCCACCACCAGCTTCCTGTTCTTCGTTCCCACTTTGTGCTCCCGCCTGTCCTTCTGTCCCCTGTTCTGGATTTCTCTGTCGATGCTGCACTGCATCAGCTGGTATGACTGTTGTAATCGCCTCTCTGTCGTTACAACTAGGAATCTTGAAATATTTTACGAAAACGTGAGACCACAAAAAAGCCTGAGACCCCAGTGCGACGGTGGCTCCGAGAAGAACCAGCATGGGTGGAAACCCTTTTTCTTCTGCGGGGGAGCCTTGATGTACCTGTTGTCGTTCCGAAGCTGATCCTTGTTGTTGTTCTTCTGGTGAAGATATAATTACCTCTTGTTCTTGCTGTTCTGAAGCTGATCCTCCTTGTTGCTGTTCTACTTCTCCTGAAATTCCAGAAGATCGCTGTGGGTCGGAAGAAGAAGACGATACAACTTGTTCCTCTTTATTTCGGCCGATGGTTTCATCTACTTCTCCTGCACGACCTCGTGTTCCTCTTCCTGTTGTAGACGAACCTGTGGTCGGATGATCTGCTCCTGCTGCATACACAAATCGATTTACCATCCTTGCCTTCCGTACTTTAGAACTGCCATAAATCCATCCGCAAGAGCATCTTGGTGCTCGTTATTTTCCCCCTTGACAAAGAAAGAGGACCATCGACGCTCAAGATGCTTGCTTGGAAGTTGTATTAAGTAGATGCCTTTAATATTATTGTAGCCTTAAGTATTCCAGCTTTTTGTTGTCGTTGTTTTTCGAGTTCATCTATTAATTGGTGAATTTGAGCGATTGCTCGTTTGTTCCCAGGATCCGTGTTGCCGCCGTTCGGAAATTGTTCTGTTGCGGTGAACGCCTCGGCGCTCTCAGCCATCTGAGCTTCCTGTTGCATATGCATCTCAGCTTCCTGTTAATTATACCAAGAATGATGAAGAGTCGTGACTACGTACCAGTACTACGTTCTATTGTCAAACTAACAATGATTCTGCACTAGTTTGTAACAAAGACAGCAAGAAGTTGTAAAAAGATATAATTGGTACCTACGACTGATGAAGAGTGACGAAAGAGAAAGTAGTACCAGTATGCACTTACTTGTAGTTGTACTTTGACTTTTTCTCAAACAATCTTCGATTATATGAAAAATCTGTAGGTCGTGCTGGTAACAGCTCTTTGTCAAAATGTAAAATCTACCTCCGCGTCTTTGACTTCATTCAGAAGCATGTCCAACAAGTCCTCCTCTTGGTCAAAACTCTTTGTAGGTTTCATATTAGCCACCACATCTTTCGAGATACCAGGAGTTAGAGTAATAATCAAAAAAGGTTGAGAAACAGGACTGCAGGAGACACAACAACACCTGCAAGAACAAGAACAGGTTATGAAGCTTATTTGTTCAGAGAGTGACCGAGAGAGAGGATGAGAACAAGAAACTAAATAATTAATCACTCAACAGAACACGACCCAGCAAAAATACAACCATGCCCTTGCCATATTCTCGATTTCAGCGGGTAGTAAGCCATTCGCAGTGCCATGTCACCCTTTCCACCCAAGAAAAGATCGCTACCGTTATTACCGTACCAATCCATCTGGACGAGCACGCCATTAGAAGAGGGTGGTGCGCTATTCATTGCATTCCTCAGAACATCAGCATCCCTGATCTCCTATAACGTACTTTCTACTGAGTAGAAAAAAAGCAGTTGTCAGGGATATTTGTTCTGATTGGAGATGCAATCATGTAAAAATGCCATAAGATCCGGTAAGCTATCCAAATCTCGATGGCTGATAGAAGTTTGACTCCTACTTTTCCCCGACTTCAAATCCGTGATAATGGTTGTCAATTTGTGTCTAGCGACACGATGAGCTTTCCCAGACATTTTTTGGGAATTGACGTTGTATTCTCTGATATTGGTCACTTCGGATTAGAAGAAGAACATCCAGATGTACAAACAGGAAGATGATCATCGGGAATCAATTAACATTGCTGCTACAGCTGCTTATGTATAAAAAAAATATAATTTTCTTGTGTCTTACTAGTCACTTCTTGAGACAAGGGAATTCTCCATGCATCTTCTTGTCATCTCTGTCGTTGTTCTTGTTGTACAGAAAAAGTACTAGACTTACGCCAGTTTGCGTGCCTTAATTGTATCCCCCATCGGAAGCAACTTGGGTTTCCCGAGAGCTTCCCTTACCAAAAAAAGCTGCCGGATCATGAGTCGGACCATCCTTAACCGCTAAGGGGCCCAAAGTATGCTGCGTATCCTCAGGAGGAATGGGGACACCTGTCAGCAAAGATTTTGATCCAGTATGTCTTGCATTCTTGTGCAACTCTCTTGGTTGTTTTCTGTAGTTTGTTGATCAACAAAGCAACTGAGAAAGCAAGTATTAATGCAGTTTTTCTAGACGACACATAGTGGATTAGTCAATCTTAAATCTTTATTAGATCCACAACTTATAAGATAAATCAAATACAAGTAAGAAAATACGTCCCGGCTTTTTTGGTATCGTCACTGTGAGACCTTTGAATAGCCATCCAAAAATGTCTCCTACGTCCTCTTCAGGTCCGTAGATCGGATCCTTGTCGTGCACATGAAACGTAATCCCGGATTCGCGGAGTTTGGGGATTAGAAGTAGGATGGGGAAGATGGGGACTAAGACGGGGACCAATTTGGAAAGAGAAAGAAGGTCGAGGCTCTTCTCAAGATGCTTACTTTTTCTAGCACCCGCATGTAGTTGCTGAAGGCTCCCAGGTACACAAAATAATAACAGTTTGCTCTATTGGAGGTAACTTTGTTAACATTAACTCAAAACTAAGCTTGCAATAAATCTCAAAAAAAAGATCAAGTAGAGTCTCACAACTCTTCTCTTCATGAAGAAGTAGAAAACTGCAAATAAGCAGGAGGAGGTTACTTGCCTGGAATTTTCATCCACTTTCTAATCTCTTTTCTCATAAAAGCAGTTTTGCTAAAGGAAAAGGCTGTCCTTTTTCGAAATCTGTCATCGGCTTAATCTTCGGCTTCGACGACCCTCTCAACCAGTCTCCGACATTGAAAGGTTGTCCACCCAACAGGAATTAGAGCTCACCCTAAGCCTAATCCATCTTGAAGATCATCCTACGATGATCTTGATATTCCCCTTGCGCAAAAGCCTGCCCAGGTAGGATGCTTCCGCGAGATGGATTAAGAGAAGCCTTAAAAGGAGTTGTTTTTTGGTAGCTTCTCTTTCGGACCAATGTGGCCCCATATCAGGCCATCGTATACACCGGAAAAGAGACCCATGGTTATTCTTGTTTGTTGGTATTTGCAATGAAAAGAGTGCGTGCAGTGACTGTTTCGAAAAAAGAAGAAAGGGACTTTGATGTCTGCATGTAGGACGCGAAAGTCTTGGACTCGTCCGGTACGCGTTCGTAGTTCTATTTCATTTGGGGGAGAGACGAGAAAGAGGTTTATTCTACTCAGCTTTTATTTTGATACAACCTTCTTCTAATCGTTTCTATGGCCTTTGTTGTACTCTTCTATTCGATTGTCGTTCGCTTTTTCTCGACGATCCCGCATACGAGGAAAACCGATAAAGTCCGACTTCCACCGATGAAATTTACTACCGATGGCTTGTTCCCGCCACTTGATTCTTCATCCGAAAATATTACAACAAGAAATCTGGCTAGTACCATTTCACAATCAGACGAAGCTGTGCCTGTGCCTCGTAGACGATACGATAGATATCATTACCTACATCTCCATCCTTGTGTTAACGAGAATTCCTGTGCGAGCAAGACAGAATTTTTACGCTCTGACCTCTGTCAATCTCGTCCGCAGGGAAGTAGACACTGGCTGGAAAAACAGAAAAACATCAATGTGGAAGAAAAAAATGAAAATCCAAATTGAAATTCATCAAAAGAAACTGGACAATAATTCTGTCAGTGGTTATTGTTCGGACAAGAATACGACATGCTTATGTGAAAAATGTGAATGTCGTTAAATGTGTTAATTCATTAAAAAATGTGTTTCTATCTAGCAAGTTTCAGCGTTTGTTGTTCATCTGTGAAAATGTGGTATCCGGCATCGCCAGGCACACTCCAAGTTCAACTTCTGTCCAACTTCAGAAGTTGAACTTCTGCCTCTACCCTTCAGCAAATACGATATCCCTGACTCGTTTTTCCGTCTCCGGTCCAGCTGCGCGCACTAATTGAGCGAAATTGGAGGTGAGGTCAGAAAGCAAATCTTTCGGAGCACCGTATTCCAGTTCGCGGCCTTTGTCGAGAAAGAGAACTTTCTCATAGTCTGCGATCGTCTCCAACCGGTGAGCGATCGTGAGGACAGGAGGATGAAAGAGGAAAAAAAAACAAAGCGAAAGCTCTGCATTATGAACGAGAAGAATTCTCAGTTTGGTGGAAGCGCGGGCGGAAAAACAGATTGATTATACGGAAGATCTATGAGGCTCTACTTCCAGAAAACAACAAGGGTACTGATGTTGAGTAGTTGTATGCTTTGTACTTTTGTACCATTCTTGAGTGCGAGCAAAGTTTACATTTCGACCTTCCCATCATAACAACAAGGATTTCCACTTTTATGCTGTTTCGCTAACCAATTCCGAATAGCTCTTTGAACCAAGGCGTCTGTCTCCAAGTCGCAACTTGCCGTCGCCTCATCACAGATCAACATCTCGGGGCTACGTAATAGGACCCGTGCCAGACACACGAGTTGCCGCTCACCCAATGACAGATTCTTTCCACTTTCTTCGAGATTGGACACAAGCTCGTAGTGTTTCAGGATTTGCTGCTCGTTCTTGGGGCACCTATCACGGTCTGGAGAAGGTGATGTTACATGTAGTACAGCAGGACGCTCCGGTGGGGAAACATAAGCATCTTCATCTTCCATGTCTTGCAGGACTTCTTCTTCTGCGACTGGTTTTAAAGCGAGTACCGGATTCGAAGAAGTGGCGTTTTTCATATTATTTGTAGATCCTCCTATTCCAGTACCATTCCCATACCCATTTCCACCACCTACGTTTTTCTTCATCCGAGGATCGAACAAGCAAGCATTTGCCAACGCTTGTTCGCATTCCGCATCTGTAAACTCGAAAAACGGGTCTAAGTTTTGTCTCACCGTGCCTGAAAAAATCACCGGGTCTTGCGTAATGATCCCCAGTCGCTTTCGGCTTTCGTTTACTGGCACTGGAGCCAGCAACGAACTGCCATTGAGATAGATTTCCCCGTGAATTTCTTCAGCAAGATTGAAAACCGCGACAGCCACAGAACTTTTCCCGGCTCCGGTACGGCCTACGACAGCACATCGTTCGCCAGGTGCTACGGAAAACGAGAGGTTGGATAAAACGTAATTTGGAAGATCGGATCGATATTTCATGCGGAGATTGGAAATGTGGAGACCGGGAGGATGTTGATGCGTTTGATGTGTCGTTGTAGCAACAACTTTGTCGTTGCCGCTCGTGTGGCGAAGTTTCTGCGCTACAGAATCAACTGTAGCATTTGCACTCGTACTAGCAGCCTTCATCCTGGCCGAAGGCGTCAGGGAACGAGGTGTGCAAGAGCCGCTACAAGAAGAGAGTTTAGCAGATTCAGCGAGGAAAAGCGGGCCGGATTCTTGAGCCTCGTCTGAAGTTTGTCTCTTTGAAAGAAGTGCTGTTGTAGTGTCTCCTTCAAGTCGTTGGTCTATAGTAAAAGCACCTGCTTCGTGCGCTGTAGTTTTTGAAGGCTGTTCCAGCAATGGTGTTTTCTCATGGTCAGTTCCACAAGAATGCTGGATTGACACCAGAGTTGTTGTATAATCTGGTGCGTGATCCTGCAAAGTTTCGTCTCTATCATCCAAGTCGCTGTGCCTTCCATCTTTTGGAAGAAACAATGGGCTTAGCTTGCGCAAATACTCCACTGAAATCACCGAAGAGTCCGCTTGCACATAGTACAAATAGCTGTACAAACACGCTTCCGAGAAGTTCATACTCCAACCTAGAACCACTCCCGCCACTCCTGCTTGCATGTGCTGTGTGCAGCTTAAAATCAAGATCCAGTACAGCAAGCCTAGGAGTTCAATCCGTACGCCTAACCAACGTAAAGCCAATCCATGGGCATACGCGACTCGACTCTGCTTATTCAGGAGAAGACGGCAGAGTTCTGTGTACATGCCTTGACGCTCGAACACCCGGATTGTAGTCGAACCAAGGCAGGTCTCGGAAAACAACGACAGAATTGCTGGCATGTTTTCCAGTTGCTGTAATTCTGCTAACCGTCTCCTAGCGGTGGAGAGAAGCAACAATAGGGGGCCTAGAAACAAAGGAATAATCACTGCGATATAGATCCACCCCATTGCCATTGGAGAGGATAAAACATTAGTGGTTGTTTCTCCAGCACCTGGGTCCTCCATGACACCGCTTCCGTCTCCAGACGGTCCACTACCACCACTCGTACTAGCGCCAGCATTGCTAAACAGCAAGTACGTCGTAAAGAATATCGCCGTGAAGTTCCAGGACATGAAGATCAGAAACGGAAACAGCATCACTGGCAAAGTCGAATCCACCTGTTCTACGTCGAAACTGAACCTTGTGAGCAAAGTTCCCACAGAGATGCTGTCGAACCAATGAATCGGCGCGCGCAAAACGGCTTTCAGCATCTCATCAAACAGCTTTTCGGAAGAGCGTCTCGCGAATCCTGGGAACATACTTCGAATCGCAACTTGCGCGACTTTGTTGACGACCATGAAAACCGCGAAGAGGATGAGAAAGTGGGTTTTTGTCCAACTTGAAGTTCTTGAACTCGAAGGACAATCGCCTGTTGAAGGTGGGGATACAGATATTGGAGGTACTTCTCCTGCTGGTGCTGCTGGAGTGTCGTCTGCCGCGCTCCACCAAGACATGCTCATATCCGCAGAGATCGCCAGAATACGCTCACCCACTAGCAATCCGATCCATCCCATCAGTGGAAAAAACAGTCGAGCGGGGAAAATGCTCTCCGTGTTCTTGTCGTTGACGAGAGCTTGCAACCGCTTAGACTTCCTCGACATTCCTGCCATATACGTCGCGTACATGCTGAATTTCGAGGGTTCTCTCCTCACCACAGTCTTTGGCGTAGTCGCTTCTCCTTGTGTGCTGCTGGGGGTTTCTGTCTGATCTTGGTCTAGGGCGTGATTTGTAGCCTGTTTCTTGATTCCAAAACACTTGCTTGGCGTCGTTTCTCCATCAACACCTACAAGAAGTGCAGTTGTTTCCCTTATCTCATCTGCTTCATTTTTCTGAACATCCTCATCTGCAAAATGTACATGTTGACTATGCTGACTCGCTACTGAGGTGGACGCTCGTAATGCTACACTGTTGCGGTCTCCTGTCATTCCTCCAGCTTGCTCAGTGAGTTTGCCAGCACAATCTTCTGGCGTCCGCGGTGTTTTTTGACAAGACTGATGGTCCCACAATGCATCGCTGTCTTGGCCTCCTATGATGGATTTTCGTGGTGAATTTGCTGCTGCTATTGAGGTCGGAGTAGTTCCAGGAACGTTGCGGGTCTTGTGCGCATTTGCATTGCTCGAAGATGACAGCAACTGTAATGGGGGAAGATTTGCTCCACTTGAACTTGATGAACCTCCACCAGCCACTAAGTTATTACTTAGCATACTACTAGCACTAAAACCACCTCCATCCCCAGAAGGTCTTCGCGGTGTCGCCACACTCCCCGTCCCCACGGGACTGGCCAATTCCTCGCTTCCTGCGTGCTTATCGCCGATAAAACATCCCGTCTCCGCTAGATATTCTTCTTGAGCTTGCTGCACATGCGCAGGATAGTCCTGCTGCGCCGCATGGATTAAGCATGAGACGGCTGAGACCGTTTGGGTCATCGGAGGAGGAGCTAAGCGACCACCGCCAGCCATCAAAGCGGAGTCACACATCATACCAAAAGACGCTGACTCCGTACTAGGCGGACAACGCAATTCGTAGTTGTCCATGACATTGTAGCTAGGCTGTAAGTAGCTCTGATAATGCTCCTTTTCTCGCAATTCTTCCACCCCACCTCCACCTGTGCTGTGATTCCCAGAAGAGGACGAACCATGTTGTTGTTGGTCCATGAATTCTTTCCGATCGCTTCGACTAAAGAAATGTGAAGAACTACTTGAACCACCACCACCTCTGTTATTATAGCTTTTCTCCATTGAAGATGTAGGCGTTCCAGTAGCGAAAAACGGAGCGCCGCCATGATTGGACTTTGAGGCGTCTCGTGAAATTCTCATATGCACGAATTGATCTATCATCTCTGGCCACGATGGAGAAGCAGCACTCGTGGTCCCGGAATTGTTTTGATGCGCGTTCGTTGATGTTCCGCTCCCGCCTACAGTCTTGCCTGGAGAATCCGGGTGTTGCACGTTTGTACTCGTACCTCCTCCTGCCATTGTTTCAGCGTCTTGTTCGACTAGTGCTACGTTTTGCGCCAGGTTGTCGCGTAACACACACGCACGCTCGAGACGTTCGCGGAGATCCCCTTCGTCTATGAGATTCTGCATCTGATGCTGGTGAATCGTAGCTCCTCGTGAAAGCAATGGGGGACCAGGCGAGGCTGGTTCGGGTGGACTAGCGGAGGCCAGTGTGATAGGTGACCCACTTGGCGAAACTCGACTTGCAGGTCCAAAGACGGTAGGTGAGGAATTCACTGTAGTGGGAGGACCTCCTAGAAGTGCTCCTGTTGTCCCTGCACCACCTGGGCCGCCAATAACGTAGTTGCTGCCTAGGCTGCCTGGCCCGCGTGTCTGTGTCCCTCGAGGGGTGACACTGACGGCAGTGTTCAGACCACCCGTTGCTTTCCCAGACCTGCTGTTCTCCTCCGTTTCAACGTCTGCGCTTTCTTCTTCTTGGATATTTGTCAGGTTATGGGGCAGCATCTGAGGCGAAGCAAACAAATCCTCTAGACTTTCAGCCGGTTGAAAAGAAGGTATGTGTGGCGGTGGCGCGCGACCGCGAATCACTGCTGCAAGAGAATGGCTATTCTCTTCGAAATAATCATCCCGATCTCCGCGAGAACTACTACTCATCAGTCTTGCTGTAGAAGCAGAAGAGAGGCAACTGTTAGTGCTGAAGCCAGCAGGAATTGCTGAAGGCGTGCTCGTGACAGTCTGAAGTAGAACCGAGCTGCTTGATGAAATCGCAGATACTGCACTAATGCCAGAGGGTGGGACGTGCGTCGCTGTCCCATTGCAATTTGCAGCGTCCAGATGAAGCAACTTGTTACCATCAAACGATCCACCGCCTTCCCCAAGACCAATCACACTCGCAGATGATGAATGCCCTACTCCAGACAAGTCGAATTCGAAAATCGGCTTTATTTGCTCCTTCTTTATCTCTCCAAAATAGGCGTCAGGCGGAAAAAGTTCAGAAGATTCCAGAACGTCCTCGATCAGTGGCGGTGGCGGACTACTCGATGGATCACGCAAGTGGTCATAGGAGCCGATCTGTGAAACAGAAGAAGCCCCAAGAAAACCTCCTCCAACCGGTGGTCCTGAACTAGTAGGACCGTCTAAATGCAAGACAGAGGCTGAAGAGTCGTTGTTTCCCAGGTTCGGTAGTTGTAGTAAGTGCGACGACGAACCATGACCGTGATGCACTGTCGTGGGATGTCCATGTCCTCCTCCATGAAGACCCTGATATTGATATCCGGGGAGATCCATACTCACCGCCACAGCAGAACTAGGTCCTCCAGTAGCTGATACCAGTACTAAAGGTATTATCGGTTCGTCGACAATTCCCTCGGGCAGCAAATGAAGTTCGTCATGCGCTGCGCGTGACGCCGTAGCTCCAATCTGGAATGTCGTAGTTCTGGAAATCGGCGACTCATCGAAAGTGGTCAGTTGGCTCAATTCGGAGGCCCTATGATAATCAGCGAGAGAGGGCGGCACTTCACTATCGTGGTCGACGACCCCAGTTCGAATCGTGTTACGTTCGCGAGTGGTTGGTGAAAGATGGTGTTGCTGTACCATTAACGAACCTGGGTGATGTTGATCCCCTTCAACCGGTGCAACATACGGGAGCAATTGTCGTGCTGCTGTGTCAACGCGAAATTTTTTCACAATGCCCCCGCTATTTCCAGAAACAGTTGTACTAGGGGTAACTGCAGGTCGGTCTTGATTATCTTCCGCGCTCGACGTCGTTCCGTTGTTCATATCCTTGTTCTCGTCTGCAGACGATGTCCCTGTGGTACTATGATCCACCTCGTTGTTCGTCCCGACAGCAGACGACGATGTCGGCACAGTCCAGAAATCCTTATTCGCCGTGAACAAATATGCTTGATGCGGTTTCTGGTTATAGGCCAACTTCGTGCATATGTCCACTGCAGTCCTGTTGTCCAATGCCGCAAAGACGTCGTCAAAGAGAAACAATTCCGTGTCATCAAAATCGTACAGAGCTCTTGCTATTAGAGCTTACGTAAATTCATCTTGAGAGTCATCTTCGGCGCGCTTTCCCCTTGAAAACGTGGCAAAGATTGATGCCTCTTAAGAAAAATTACAGGAAGCCTTAATGCTAGCGACAGTCGCATCCGCTGGCCACCACTGAGATTGCCACCACGCTCACCAACTAGAGTTTGATCGCCATGAGGAAACTGGTAGAGAATATCCGCTTCAATGTGGCTCATGGAGATGCACTGCGCGTATTTGTGCTCATCCAAATCGCGGTAGAAAAGAATGTTTTCGCGTACTGTGCCAGCGAAGAGAAAAGGCGACTGGGAGACGTAGCTTACTTTTGGCGGGGGACGTGGAGGACTAAATCTAAAAGAAGTGCTGGACGCTGTAGTTGCTGTTGTTGGTGACCTAGAATTAGAGGTAGGTATATTTTGGTGCTCGCTTACCGCGCCTGTCTTCATGCCTTTCTCCCTTAGGAGAGGCATAAAAAGCGGGAAGAAAGGCACCTTTAACCTACTCTTAATACAAGTAGTAGACTTAGCATTCGCCCGGTTCGCCTTCGCGCTCAACATGCGCTCTTGCTCTTCAATCAACGATATCCTACCATCTAAAATCTTCGCTTCTCCCAGTATCGCTTTGATCAGTGTGGACTTCCCGCCACCAACGCGACCCATAATCACAACCGTTTCCCCACGTTGTAGTCGCAAATCAACATTCTGCAGAATAGGCTCATCCCCTTCGCGCCAACCAACGGCTACATTGTGGAGAGATAAAACTGCGCCTTGTTCTACTACGTTTTGATTATGATTGTCCTGCTGATCCGTGATACTAGAGGAAGTTTGTTGAAGACCGACAAAAGCTGTACGTCTACTCGCATCTCTGTCTCTCTCTGCGATAAATGCTAGTTCTTGTTGATGTTCCGTCTTCAGCATCTGTTCTTTCTCAGCTGGGGATGGTGGCACGAGGCACATTGAAGATGTCGCTGAGAAAGCGTGTATTTGTTCTAACGGCAGTGGCTCGCCTGATTCGCCTGTGTCGCTATCTATCTTCAGCTGCTCTCCCGCCTCTGCCTCACGCTTCGTTTTGCCGCGTGGTGATGAACAAGGTTCTGTATCTTTTTCAATTGCTGGAAGTGGTTTGCTCATTGATAATGTTGTTCCAACATCATCTCCTCTTATCCGCTTAGTGCTGTCACCTCCAGCTCCAACCGTACCTGTACTGTTATTCCCGCCGCGGCTCAGAAACTCCTGCATTCGCGCAAGACTGTTTAGCAAACTGAATATGCTTCCTGTCACGTTAGCCATATGAAGGATGGGTAGGGAGATTTTGTAACAAATATTTGTCACCAAAAAAGCCGTCGCTGTAGACATCATCGATGTGCTCCTGGTACTACTTGAAGATGAACCACTACCAGACACCGTGTTGAACCACACCGGTGCTAGCAAGAAGAAGATCGATACCAGTCCTGGCACGGCTGCTAGTAAGATGGTTTTGAGAGAAAAGAGCATTAGCTCTCTACTTCCCGCATCTAGTTCCTCCTTGCGCAGTTCCTGCACTTTTTGGAGGTAGCTTTCTTCCCAACAGAAAAATTTCACGATCCGTATCCCAGACAAGAGCTCGTTGCAAGCTAAAATACGTCGCTCTGAGGCCGCCATACGCTGTTTTCGCGCTTCGTTACCCATTCGAGAGACAAAGACGTTCACCAGACACATCAGACACATGAAAAAAAGCCCTATGGAAGCGACTACACTGCCTAAAAGCTGAAACAGAAAGATCCCTGCACCGAAAACCGTCAGGGGTACTGCCCATATCTGATGGAAACTGGGCAGACAATCCAGCCATTGCGATGCATCCGACGTCACTAGTTTCAGAACTTCACCGGAATTTAAAGCGGAAGCAGGTAACTCCAATACCCTTTCGTAGATAGCTAAAATTGTCGTGGCTCTGAGCCTTTGACCCAAATTCGTCATCAAATGAGTCGTCAGGTTGCCGAAAATGATCGTCACGAACGTGAACGTGCACAAGAGTGCACCGTAAGACCAGTAGGTGCCAGGGGAACAGTGCTCAGGACGCGATACCAGTCTCGGAAGATAGAAGTCGCGAAAGAATAGGGGTGCTTGCGATGTGGATTGAGGGTTTGGATCAGGTGGATCTCTGCCGCCCTCTTGGTTTCCTACTTCTTGGTCTATGCTAAGCGGATCCAGAAAAGGCCTTCTAGAGGAACCGCTACTTGGAGATGACTCACCCAACCTCGCGTCATTCCCCGAAACCGAAGCTCTTGCTTCACCTAACCGGCGTCCCAGCCCAATCGTATCCTTGCTCATTTCTGTTCCAACCGCACACATATCCAGGTATTGTATTACATGGAAAAACGTGACTAGGAACCACCATCCGGCCAACACCGCGATAAACTGATACAGCATCGCTTGTAGGAAGAGAAAGACGTGATATCGACTGCAAATCCCTGTTGTAGATTCGCAGCCATCTTCTTCTGTATCACTGCAGCTGGGCCTTTTCTTCTTCTCCTTTTGAGTGTCCTCCAACAGCGCAAGCTCATTTTGATTTTTCTTGTTAGACGAGTTTCCATCCTTTCCAACATCTCCATCTCCTCCATCCACAGTAGTTTCGAGCACTTCAGAGGCACCAGTTCCTTCCCCAACTGCATCCAACAAGGCTGCGGGTGCTGGTAATGTGTCCTTTTCGGGCAACTCTGGTAAGTCGTCGGCTTCCAAAGGTGGATCCTCGTCTCTGAGGATCCACGGCCAAAGGACGCAACGAGTTCGCGTTCGGCCAAAGATTGGCCCAATCTTCCAAAAGAGAAAGTCTATACGATTCATCGTGGTGTAGGTCGTGGTGTAGGCGTGTTTTATGACTTAGGTGTACTAGTGGTTGTTGGTCGTGGAGGTCATGCGGATGTAGTGATCGTGATTCTGAAGCAAGGTAGCTATTGGTCGATGAAGTTGTGGACGAATGTCCAAGTAGTAGACAGAATGAAATTACAGCTAGAAACGAGACACTAGTCTGCCTGCGGTATCTTCAGAGTGGTTATATCACTGAAGCGAATCATTAAATCAGACAAAATTTCGTAGCACTAGTAAGGCTAATCTCTCCGTCTACCTTGATTCCTTCCCGACGGAGGATACCAGAACCTAAGAACCTTCGTCTTGATTTGTGAAACAAGTGTGAGCAATTTCTTGTCTTCGTTTACCACGACGGCTTGTACAACGCTGCTACAGTCTAAAGCCACCATCACATCTCGTCACTCACGACGCTAGACCCCTCAGCAGGGTCCTTCCACGTAAGTATCTATTGTACGTTCAGGAAGAAGTCAACAGGACTCTCCATTTGAGCTCAACCAGGAACGCATATGCAGTAGGCACGTGGGCATCGCCCGCGGGCAGTAGAAGCAATGCGCCTGTGCCTGTCTGAGAAACGAAAACGTGGAGAGATTTTTATGTCTCAACAACGTAGTCCGTTGATGTAGTTTCATGTCGTCATGAGAGTGTAAGTAATCATGCACTTGACGATTATGAGGTGTTTGACTGTGAGACTAAGTTGCTGTATCTTTAAGGCTCACTTATACTCATCTTGAGAGGCATCTTTGGGTTCCTTTTTAAGGGAAAAACGCTTCAAAGATGCGCTTCAAGATGAATATCGGCCAGGTCTAATATCTGTACGGATGAATTTTTTTTTTACACTCGCGGATTCTCAAACAATGACAAGTAATATCGATGGCGATACAACAAAACAAAACTACACCATTTTTTTACGTTTCGCAAAAAATCAAAAAAAAAGCGTCCCACTTGTTTAGTTCAGACACTGAAGAAAGTTCTTTGGAATGTATGTTCTCAAAAGTTTTTCAGTCATTACGGAAGCGGTACATGACGCCAAGATACTAATCTTCAACAAAACTCTATGCGAATGCGGTTCCAACTTATAATATTTATATATACTCTTACTCATATTCGCATTTTTCCAGTACCAGTATGTGAATGTGAAATCGCTAACGAGAATCTTTATTCTTCGAAGAGCATTGTACACTAATACCTGTCCCCACAATGAAAGACTGGAGTAATTTTGAAGAAGATAAACTCAATTACGTAATTCTAGTTCTAGTAAAGAATAGAGTCGTCCTCGATAACGCAGTTCTTTCACATTTTGCATGTCTTATCGTCTACTCATCCCTCCATCAGTTCTTGTAATATCATCCCAAAATCATTACAATTCATCGATTTACCTTCTTGTTCTTCTTGTCGTTGTCCACCTAAGTAAAAATCTACTTAACCGTCAATCCCCTGGCCCAAACTCTCCAAAGCTGCTGCCTCAGTCGCAGTCTCTGCGATCGGCTTGTGATTCGGACCGACCGTCGGAATTTCGTAGATCATGGCGCCAGATGCATAAGGCAACAACTTGTTGCGCAAGGCTGCTCGACTCATTATGGAGAGCATTTTCGGAGGGGCAGCATCCTCTTTGGAGTTGAAGGATGTCTGCTGTGGATCGACCTCTTCCACAATCGAAGACTTGAAGAGGAAGCTGTGGGTGAGGAAGGGAGAGGGCTGTGGCTACTGTTTTTACCGAGGATGACGAGAGAGATATTAAAGCGAGAACTTTATCAGGTTATTTTACTTAGTTAGCAATTGGAAGCTGCAAAAGATTGACAACATGAAGATACTTGATGATGTACTCACAATGAATGGTACTTATGCACGAGGATCAACTGAAGGGAAACAATAGTACCAGTCCTTATTCGGCAAGACGCCGAAGATGACCACTGGCAGTTTCTTCGCAGTACGCGCGGCTGTGGTGCTACTTGGAGCAGTAGCAGGAGTACTCGGTGCTGTTGCTGCTCCTGACGTAGTACTACTAGTAAAAATATTCTCATTTACTACTTGTTCAACATCAGCTTCTGCTGGAGGAAAGTAGACGAATGCTCTGTAGCTGCCTTTCTCTCCCACATTCGTCTGCATGGCTTGTAGCGGCCGCGATAGTGTCAGCAATTTTGCTACCTCCGCGAACTCCACTAGTCTGAATTTGGCCTCGAAATCACCACCAGCCAAGGCCCAAGCCACAAGACTCGGAGAAACGTGCTGCTTCGTCGCGAAAAGGGTTAGAGGAGAAGAAGGGTATATTACTCCTGTAGAACTTGGTTGAATATAAGTACACTTGCTGCCAGAAGAAGGGTATATTGTTCCTGTAGAACTTGGTTCTACGTTTCAATTCCCTGGTACGTTTGGAATACAAAGATCGCACTAGGCCTTAATCGAAAGTCGTGGATGATATCGGTGATAACGGCAGGATAAACTCGGTCCATTTTGTTGGTGACGTACTCAGTTGCCGTCAGCCTTCCTTTACCGAGCTGCATTTGCACTTCGTAGCTGGGAATACCTGTGGTTTAAGGAGATGTTAGAAGGTGTTCTTCGTATGCATTTGGAAAGTTATTAGGCGTTCTTTTGGAAAGTCGAAACCAATATTCATTAAATTTCCGTAGTTGCTCAAGAATCCTTTTAAATGCTAAATGATACAGGCTTAGAAGTTGTACTCAATTCCCCATGATTTCCGGCATCTGTGAAGTCCAAAGCGGTCACAAAATTGTAGAAGGCGTAATCTGGCGTCGGCGTCAAGGGCAATCGTGAAACGGAATCTTCTAACATGAAGTCGCTAGCGTATCGGAATCGTTGTATCTCCTCTTTAGAGCACTTATCGCGTCTGCATCCCTGAAGATTGTACCCTTCTTGGCCCTTTATGTCGTTCCCTACTTCACAAAGAGCGCAAGCAAGGATGGATGGTATTGAGGATGCATTTGCGGTAGCCTTAACTTCTGCACCCACTCCTGCTGGCGGTTCGCCCAGCGCCAACTCCATCAACATGATGTCAGCCAAGGATATCTCCAACATCTCTGTCACCGTTGTCTCTTTCATGCGTCGTCGAGGCACACGTGGTGGTAGCGGAGCAGCGGAAGTTTGCGGAGTTGATACGAAGTTTAGAAGAGGACATGTCGTGTAGCACTTTGCTGCAGCAGTTGAAGTGGAGTATTCTTGCTTGAAGACATTCCTTTCGTTCCCTCGTTTTTGTTCTTGTTTGTAGAAATTTCGTCTTCTTCATGTGAACTAGGATAAAAGAAATTCAAATTGGAATTGTTCTCGATCCTTGCCAATGTGCTAACACTATCACCAAGTAGCCTTAACCCCACTCCATTCACCTCTGGAGGTGCGAAAGTCACCGTGGTGACTGCCGGCGCACCATCTGCGCCAGGCATTTCATCTGCTAGTGCCATCGGTGTCACATGGCCGTTCTCTTTCACAGCCGTCAAATAGGGTGGAACAACGTGGACACTGGAGAGCATGTCGGAAGTAGGTGTTAGATAAGTGCTGAGAAGCGTGCTATTCGGAGAAGGAGACTTTACTCAAGTTGTAGGGCACTACATTTCCAAACTAGATGAAGACTGACATTCAAAATGCCGTAAATGTGGTGAAACCGCGGAACGCCAAGCTGGCCAAGCCCAGTTCACCCAGCCCGTCTCTGTCATCCCAGACTGGAAGAATTTGTTACCGTAGTCGATGAAAAAATTCTGCACGGATTCTCTTGGTAAGGCACGCTCCGGAGGTTAGAGGTGGTCAAACAAGTGTTGGTCGTCCTTCTACTTTACTAGGAGAGATCATGGAAATTTTGATATTTTGATGATCCTTTATATGAACTATAAGTAGGGTAAGAATGTCAAAGTTAGATAAGTGTGTGATCAATTCATTCTCATTGGCCTTAACAAAAAGCGCGAGCAAATTTCTCTGGATATTCACCGATAGCGGATAATAACGGAATCGCGGTAGTCCCATCATGAACATCGGAAAGCTGCCAACAAGACGAGCCTGGGACCGGCTCTTGCGCCTTGCGCAATGCGGCTGTTGTATTTTGTGTACGTGTAGTTGCGCTTATTACGACGGAGGCATAAATAGTGTGATATGAAATGAAGGTTGTTGTTGATGATCTTCATCATGTGATGTAGCTCCTGTTGTAAATGTCAATCATGTCAAGCTCAAGCGCGTGCTAAAAAAGCAAATATCGTTTGAAATAAGGAGCCTCAATCACCTTTGAGTTCCAGAAATACCAGCCCCCGGACGTTCTTGAGCAAAGCTAGGTTCTAGAATGCAAAAATCCGGCTCCGATGCCAGTGCAGCTTCACCAGACGCACTTACACCTGGCACGGTTACTGTGCTGTCACGAGGAGCGAAGGGGATTAGAAGTTATCGTCATACTAGCTCGTCTTGTTGTTGTCGTGTTTGATAGAGATATACATAGATCTACTCGTTGTAAAAGTCGTGAAATAATGTCTTCGACTACCCTACGAAACCAACATCTTCAAAAATTTTCTTCGTATACTAGACGCATACTGAATTTCTGAGTTTCTTACGACTTGAACTACTTGTAAGTATTAAGTCAACATCCATCCTCTCAAACAAAAACTAAAACAATCGTCTGACCACTTCATAAGAGAAATATTGCTGACACGCCAGTAGCTACACCACTGCACACCCCGAGAAGTCCACACGCAAAAGCTTTGCGGCTCGCCTCTTCATAACTGGGAGTCCCTCCATAGCTGCTTGTAGTTAGAAACAATCTATTGAGTCGCAAATTAGAACAAGACGAAAGTACAAATATCAAGAACATGCATGTGTCACGTGTCGAAGGTTAGTGACTCATCAACACGCGGGGGCTTCTGTGGCGCAGTACTTGCGGGTTACAGCCCTTTGCGCTTGTCAATCTTTTGGCTGCCCATGTTCAGGCCCCAGAGGAACCTGAGGCCAGACCTGGGCCTCGCCGTCACGCACACGCCCCCTCGCGCATGTTGTTCCAGAGTGGCGCAAAGGGGATGGGAATAACTCTGCCAGGGGAGTCGGCGGCAGGTCGGTGCGTGCTTATCAGAGAAGAACAACTCCTAAGCGACCAAGCGCGCCCTAAGCTTCCTCCACCCAAGAACCCCCGGGCCGAGCGATCAGAGCCAGACACACGACGCGGCCCTTGAAAGTCAGCACATTGAGCGCAAGAAAAACAAAGCTAAGTCTGGCGGCGTTAATGCCCTCCAAGAAGCCAGAGCACCTCGCCACGGCTTCACCTGTGGCCCCGGTTGGCCGCGGTGCTCGACGGCCCAGGGCCCGCGCCCTTCGTTCGTCGGTCACTGTGACGCTTCACACCGAGGTCAGGCTTTACAGCCAAGAGGTTTGCAGTTTTTTTCTCGAGAGTGCGACGCGTCCTCGACCCTCTCGACAGAGGGCAAAAGAGCCGCTATCCACATGCGCCACACTCGTGGCTTGTTCGCTGTCTTCCCTGTCATTTAGTCACCCAGCCCGCTCTGTCTTCCATCCTGCGTTAGTAGAGGTGGTAGCTTTTCAACTGCGGCAACGAATGCCAGCGGCTGTCAGTGTCTTCGCCGATCGAAAGAGGCCCCGGGGCCTCTTCCCTTTTTTGCGTCGGTACCACCTGAAGCGGAGGCAGCGCCAGAAGTAGCAATGCCCCCCCATTGAACGCGCGAGGGGTTTCGCGATGCGTGTGGCGCTGCGTCGAAAGTCTCCCCCAAAGTCTCCAGCCATTTGCGGCAAGATCGAGGCCCGCCCCCTCTGTTTGTGGGAAAGTTGCCGAGCTTCTGGCCCGCCCGCGCTGTGCGTTGTTCCCCGAGGAACAGGCGCAGCTTTCGTCGGTAATCGGGTAAAGCCATCCCCAGCCGTGGGGCCGGGGACGCGAGTCCGGAGCTTTTCCCGATCGAGAGCGCAACGGCCTCCGCATCGGCATGGTGGGCGGCGATGTGTTCGATCAGCGCCGCTGTGGTAGGTGGCGCGACGCGTGAGCGCCCGCTGCTGCTGCTTGCCTGGCGTTCTTGGTCATCTGCCGCGCGATCCACGTCCGGCGCGGTAGTGTTTCCTTTGCAGTGGCCCCCGCCTCGGGTTTGCTTCAGTGCTTTCCGTGTCGTCGTCCTGGGTTAACTGGGCTGGCCCTTCCCTTTGCCTTTCGACCCTTTTCCAGTGCCACCGCCTTTGCCGCGGCTGCCCTTTCCTTTTCCCGCTGCCTGCGAAGCTTCCTTTTGGCGTTACTTACTTTTCATGCACCGCCTGGGGCAATGGGATCCGCAGGTGTGTCGGACCACGAGGCACTTGCCAATCCCTAAATATCAAGAATATAAATAATCTCATCTACTAGAGGCACTTGTCTACTTGACCACTACTAACTGCTTCTATATTTGACACGCAGCAGGTCGTCTAGACTGTCCTCTGTTTCATGTAGCAAATGCATCAACTCACTCTACTGACTACTCTTCTTCTCTGTACAAAGTCGTTAAGTGTAAGTAAGTCCTTAGTGCAAGTGCAACCCTTTGTTGTTCTTGTAATATGAATGTTCAATACTATTGCTACAGTGTAGCCTTAAAGAAGGGGCAAAGATCTGACCAGATGATCCTTGAGAAGGGAGTCTTTGAGATGGAAGTATCGCGGGAACTAATCCAGGATATCCTGTAGGACTGGCAGGCAACGAAGTAGGACTACTCGGTCTCATCGAGGCTGAGGGGAAGAGGCTGCTTGTGCTAGAACCTCCGTCAATAGCATCCCCGTTCTGATCGGCAGCACCTACAGCTGGCATACGGGTTGCGCCAGGTTGGTGTCCACGTGGAGTTGCGGGAAAGCAACAAGACGATGCGAGAGACGAAGGAGAACTCGGATCTGATGTACTTCTATCAGAAGAACCTGCACAGGTCATTGGTACTGGTCGTTGTCCACCGGGTTTTTTAGACGAAGATCCTAGTCGTTATGGAGTAGATGAAGAAGTTAGAAGATATTTAACGAGGAAAGCACATCGATCATGACTACGTGAATGATTTCATATTATTCGAGTTCGCAACAGGAGCACCAAGAGCCAATCCCGCACCACCTTGCACATGCGCCATTTGCGTCGCTGCGGGAGACCCCTTAATTTAGAGCTTACCTTATAAATATCTGCACCAGGGAGGGAGGCCCCCCCTGTCGTGGATGGATCTGTGGTGCAGCACAGTGGTGGAACAGCCATCTTAGGAACAGCCATCTTTGACGCCTTTCCCTCTTCAAAACAGAGCCAAAGATGCTTCTCCAGGTTCGAATTAATACGGCAAGCCTTAATTAGTACAGCAACTAACCAAACAAGGCTTATCAGTCTCTCCAGCGGGCTTCTGAAACACACGGGACGCCTCCTCACCTCTATTATATATCGCCACAGGCGCTTGAGGGTCCGTGCCGGGTACTCGTTGATAAAACCCACCCGCAGCCGGTGGCCGTATTAGACCTGCGGGAAGAACTGTCACATCCGTATAAAAATCTACTTCATTCAAAAACTTGTACGGCCTGTCATCTCCATTCGAAGTTCGAAACCATTTTTTTAAGTAGTACGTTCGAAATCGAACCATATTTATTAAATCAGATGGGTTATACCGTCAGATGTTCGATTGTCGATATCCGTTACATGGAACTACATGTATGTGATCTTATTCATCAACCGCGCCTAGTATGTATGTATGTATGTATGGAAGGAGACCAGAAACACGTTGGGACTTACAAACGAAGGTGCGGCAAAGCAAGCAGCCTAGTGCGTCGAAGAGGTCTTATACAGTTGCTCTTGCGGCGCTTCAGCGGGCCCGTGTTGAGTCGCCAGGGGAACTTAAGGCCGGGTAGGGGCCATGCCGTCACGCGCGCGCGTGTTCCAGAGGGCGGAAAAGAAGAACTCTGGCACAGAGCCGGCGGCAGGTGTTCACTGAGGCGCACAACAGCAACAGTGACCGTTCCGCCTTGGACTCCTCAACCCAGCTGCCAGAGCGGAGCGAGCGGAGCCCAAAGTGTAACGTGGTAGCGATCGTTGGTGTGGTGGTGTTGGTCGTCTCCAAGCCGGGGCGCCGCGTCAAGGCCTCACCACAAGCCCCGGGTGATCGCGGAGTACGACGATCCGTCGAGCGTTGCTCGCCGAGATTATGCGACGCAGAGGAGGTCTCGTTTGCGTACAGATGACAAAATTGCGGTGGACATTCTCGAAAGGAGAGGTTTCTGGGTGACCAAAAGGGCAGCAACTAGTCGCGACTTGACCAGTCAAGATAGGCAAAGAATGCAGCAGCTGTCTGGGGGGATGCCAAGTTGGGGATCTCACTCACCCCGAGGCACTCGAAGTCGTGCTCTGGTCGCGCAAATTCTGCGCAGCATATGGGACAGACCGCCGGCACCAGGCCGCAGTCTGGATCTGCGATGGATCGGAAGCGGGTCCCACCCAAGAACTCAGCAGCTGTGACTTGGATAGCACGCGAGGCGCAAAGGCTCGAGAGATGTCCCCAAAGTTGGAGTGCGTCCCTCCTTTCCCAGCCCAAGTAACTCCCAAGGAGTAACCCGCTTTCACTGCCGGAGGAATGCGCAAGTGCCTTGAGGGTGCTCGTTTCCTGGTTGCTCAAATAGTTGATCAGCTCGCGCTTGACATCTTCGTGCTGCATGGGAGTGGACCAAGAGCCTGCAGCAGGCGTTTGCCCCCGTGCTACAGAAGCCGCCGAGTCAACTAATTCACTTACTGGTAGGCCAATGTGACTGTGCGTGTGGTGTACGCGGACCGTGGTGAACCGCGCGCAAAGAGTCTCAAGGAGGCAGAGGCCCTCTCGTTCCAGCCGAGTGGTGTCTCCTCCCTTGGTGGTGAGAAGCTGGAGGCGGGTTACGATGGATTCCGCATCGACGATGAGCAGGAGCGTACTCTCCTCGCAGGGTGGTGCTGCAGGTGCCGGGATATTTGCTAGGTCCCTCAAGAGTAAGGACCACCCAGCACGTTCACAGGCGTAGGAGGACGCGGCATCTCGCCAGGTGAGAGTGCGTATGAAGCCATAGCCACCACTGAAGATCGCGCGCGCTGCTGCTGCGTCCCCATCAGCAAAGGAAGCATCACACGACGCGAGGACAGACGAGGGCGAAAGGGCGCAGCTGGTAGCTGCATCACGTAGAAGCTCAGGCGTATCCTTGCAGTGACTCGCGCGAAGGTGCAAATTTACAAAAGTTGTCCGTTAGTACGTAGTAGTATAGTACTACCGGCACATTTAGTTTCTAATATTGATACAGCTGTTCAACACAATGTGACACATTCCTAACTACAACCACATCGATCCTTAGGTACTTATGTTGATCTCCATGATTCAGACGACATAACTGCCCAATCTGTTGTTGTAGGGCTCCTCCTCCAGCCACAAATGCACCTGCAGGAAGAGAAGCGGAAGCACTTCCAGGAGCTCCTCCACCACCAGCACTTCCAGTTCCACCCGGAAATGAAAAAAACATCCTAGTACTATGGACAGTCGGTAAAAACTGCCCAACGGTGCACACGGCTAACAGGCAAGCCTGACGCCCCAAGGATAGGAGACCACGAAAGGGAGATGTCATCTTTTGATCAGCACCTTGGAATTGGACTCACGTAGTTCGTATCTCCTCGGTTCTACTAACAACTTCGACGTAGACTGCATCAAGATCAATAAAAACTACCAGGATCAAGTGGAATTCTGAGATCTTCTTCGATCGCATCCATAGATTGCGATACCAACCACAGCAGCAGATCGCACATACCACAAGAATGTCTACAGCGAACATGGTTTTCGTATACAGAAGGTGTAACAAAGTGACTGCTGCTGTTTTGGGAGAAAACTTCTTGCTCCTCTTACATCTCAGTGGAAGTGGAAGTTCAGTGCCAGCGTGAAGGTGAATTACGGATAAATGATACATGCAAGAACTAGAGAGAACTAGCCGGCAGTACATTCATGTCATTGCGCTACGAGTTGTCATTGTTCATTTTTGTTTTCATCATAGGATTTGAGATTCATTATTCAGTTAAGTCATTTTTGACGACTGTACTCATTTCGAAATCTATACAAACCTGCTCTGTTCATCATCAACGCAGCTACCTAGTCACTCGGCGGAGTTCTTAGTACCATAATTAAAAGAAGTCAGCATTTCGTTAAGTTTGTAAGTCATCATGCAAAATCTTGGATTCATTCGGTTTACGTTAAGTTCATTGATACTACTTCTAGCTCTACAATATCTCGATCCTCATGAGGATTCCCTTCATCCTTATTAGAGAATGTTCTAATCAAATCTATCATCTTCCAGCATCTCAATCTCTATCTGTTACTGAAAGGAGTCGTCACCTGAGGACGTTATTGTATGTGGCACTCCAGAAAAGGGAACTAAGGTAGGTCCTCGCTGCTCTCCCGCTTGATGTTCCTCTCCCATGCTTGCGCCCTCCATTGACGGCCTCGCTGGTAATAGCTGCTCCGTTCTTGCACTGTTGTTAGAGGAAGAAGGGGCTGAGGGGGAAGACGAGATGACCTATCACATTCCGCTTAGGGTTAGTCACCATCTTCACAAACGTCTTCTTAACATTATTATTCCCGACTGCTGCTCCCCTCGCCAGCAAATTCTCGACGAATCTGCTTTGCTCGACTGAGGTGTCGACCATCGTTCCGTTTGCGTGTAACAGCCGAATCTCCCGCAAATACCCATAGGAATAATAGCATCCGAAGAACGAAGTGAGAGGAACCGCTACCACCAAGCCATGGACCAGGTTTACAACCAACGGATTGCTCAAAGCGAAGAAAGCGTACTTGCTGAAGACCATCTGTAGTTGATGTTGTGGGCGTTGTTTGATGTTGCTATATTTCGGTGCAGATAGTAGTAGATCATGATCAACATACAGCAACTCTTATAATATATTTTGAGATATTGATATTGCTTGCAATACTTAGTCAGAACGGTCAGAAGTCATTAGAATTTACAATGTTGAACAACGAACAATGATTCGTCTACTTATACAGGTACACTTATTCACTCCCAATCATGTACTGCTCAAGCTAGGTAGTACCTTCTCCATCATCCCCAATGTGCTCACGCTCCCATTAAGAAAACTCAGGACTGTGTAGGTCGGCAGCCAGGAAACAGCGGTTGTACTCGAACTAGCGTAGGACCCTGTGGCTGCCATCATGCCACCCAAAAATCCTCCCATCAGGTCTCCCAACATCAACTGGACTAGGGAAAGTGTCCCTTGCGTCGTCGTGAGACATACAAGAGTCTTTTGGTACTTCGTTGCTCTGTCGAATGAGAATGAAGAGATACAGATTGTTCAGGAGTACAACTTCATTTGATGTTCTTGAGGAGCAATGGATTGGAGTGACCGTTGAAGGTATAATAGAAGCAGAGTATTTTTGAACACGACTCACTCCATGGTTTGATTTTTGGTTTTTTTACCTTTTTAGAAAAGGTGTGCATGTTGCAATCTTCACACACATTCGTGCGAAAAAATAAAAAGATTATACAGACAATTCAGGTGTAACTTACTACTACTACTTAAGTAATTCGAATGTGGAACTGACTCTGACAATGAAGATGAATTTATGAATGGTCGTGGAAGCTACCTCTCGTTCAGCGGAAAGAAGTCGACGACGTTGTCGTAGGGCATCGAGAAAGGCACGATAATCGGCAGGCAGGCCATGGAGACGCTCCCAGCCGGCGCTGACTTCACTGAGGCATAGGCGTGCAAAGCGGCGGAGCCCTGGACCACAGCCACGCGAGCAATGGCCTCACCACTAGGGCAAAATTCCATGGCCTCGTCGACGTCTGCGGCATCTTCCTCTTGAATGACAGGTAAAGTCGGAGATCGTTTTGCTTTTGCTGGACGCGTCTTGTAAGAACTTTTGCTTTTCTTCGAACTGGAGGACGAAGATGATGTACTGAGGGTGTTGATGACCTTTTTGACAGCAGGCGCAGGATCTGTGGAACTGGAATGGGCACTTGCGTGCTGAGTCTGCTCCTCGTTCAAAGTTCTTGCTGATGCTGAGCTGGACGAACACCACGTCGAAGAAGAAGTTTTTGAATTCGGTAGAGGACTTCCATGATTAACTGCAGCCTGTGTCGGTGTCGAACCATTCTTAATCGCATCTGCAGACGAAGCTGCACTCGAGGTCGAGGACGATGTACCCGTACCGCCATCACCACTAGGACCAACGTTGGTCGCGATCACGATGAGCTCTAACTTTTTGTGGTTATGCAAACGGATGCGCCTTCTTTTGCTCCCGCCAGCTCCTCCACCTCCAGAAATAATGGCAAAAGCAGCCTCTTGTTGCTCTCGATGGTCGGATTTGTCATTCCACATGTCAGCAACAGCAACGTTGTCGGACTCAACATCCTCATCTTCACGCTGTGCCGCAACATCTTCATCCGATGGCTCCTCCGCGCCAACAAAGAACGAAGAGGACGACGAGGAAGTGGCTGAACCGTCTCCCGCTTGCGGCAACGGCGAGGCAAGGCTACTGAGGACCACATCGAGGATACCCATCTTGTGCTTGTTCTTGCGTTATTTGGGTTACTAGGTTAGGGATCCTTCACATCGAGCTCCTTGTTCTTGCGACTTGTTGCGTTTGCGTATTCAATATAACAAGAAGAAGTACTTACGTACACGATTTTTTTCAATCCAGTACTGATTTCTTTTTCTGGGTGTGGAAAACTACACGGGAGAGTGTTAGTGCCGCACGACTTTGGAGTACTGAGTCAACAGACAAGAGCGAGAAGACCGAACTCACGAACATGTCCAGACCAAGAAGAACCGAGCAACGAAGGCATAACCGAACTAATCCATCAGCAAACGACATTGTAAATTGCTATATTGTTTCAAGACAGACCCGTTGAGTTTAATCTTCATCATGGTTTTCAAGGACATAAACGAAGCGCGAACATCAAACGAACAGGCAACTAAAGCCGCGGAAACATCGAATGCAGCACAGAAGCGAAAGGTCGTTCTACACTGATCTTCATACTGATGTTCATTGGGGCGCAATAGTTCCGTTACGTTAAGAATGTTAGGTTTTTGGTCGTGATGAAAATGCGCCGAGATACTGTGGTCTACTATTTTACATCTCTTATTTCATTCTCGTGAGATTTCTTTGTTTTTGCGCATCTTTCACCACTCTTTCGTCAATCAGCAAACCCTTCCGTTTCCTCACACTGGTCAAGATTTTTCTAGGGATGTTGTGCGTTGCACTGTCCGCCATTCGAAGATTCGTCTCGCCTTCTACCTCGATGTCTTCTTGCGTCAACGCTTGCTCCGGGAAAGGGTCCTCGGGAATAGTCTCGAATCTGAGGAAGCGAGCATGATAGTGAACGTCACCAGAAGCGACGTGTCGGATTTCTCCACTCAAATTGAAGCTTTCGACCATAGGGATCTTGATTTTCAAAAGAAAAATGCTCGTGCCTTCTCGAAATCCCTCTTCCAGGGTCTGACAGCGTCTTTTTCCGAGAACTCCGTAAACCTTGCCCATCGAGGAGCCCTCACATTGCAAATCGAGCAAAAGAACAGGTTCTGCGATGCGACAAGTGCTGCGACGCAGCATGGCTTCCGCACAAGCTTCGCGAACTGCAGCTAAGACGTGACCGGACAAATGTGCGCGGGACACTGGTTGGGGTGGACGCGATGAACCTGGAGGTACAGGCCCATCCGCACCTCCACCTGCTTCTACTGATGTCTTCTCTTTAGTGTTGTCAGTGATGTTCTCAACGATGAAATGCACGTCTTGCACAGGTTCATCACAAAGCGGTCCACGCAAGGACGCTACCTCGAAGCCGGAGACGACAGCTGCCATCACCCAGCTGTCTTCTGGTGGCAAAGTCACTAGACAGCTCAGAGCTGTCCGTGCACCCTTGCTCACTCTCACGGCAATGAGATTCGGCAAGAATGACGACACCCTAGTGCGAAATTCTGCTTCGGTCTCCTCTTTCTCAAGTGCATCTGGATCGGTATCTGAAGACGTTGCCGTTTCATCAGCTCCGGCGCCACGAGGCAACGGCTCTGCTCTCACAGTGACAGTGAACCGGTCCCCTTTTACTTGTCTGACGACCGGATAGGCTTTCGGCACCCGCGTCGGAGCCCAAGGTAATGTGATCAGATCCGAACCAAAGCCGTTCTTTGGAACATCGATGGTTTCGCGCAAAGCGATCAAGGGCTCCGAGACTTGAATCGCAACATGCGGAGGCAGATACAATTGCTGCAAGTCCTTCACACACCTTTTCAAATGTTCGTCACCGCAGCAACCAATGACGTGTTCGCCAGCAGCTGTCGTTGACACATCTAACGAAGGATCACTTCGATGCAACAGCGCTAGACCTTTCTGCAGAAAGGAGTTGTGCTCTAGCAGTTTGGTTTCCACAGACACCTTCACAATGGCAAAAGATCGAGTCTGATACGGCGATTTGAAGATCGGGAGCCAATCGCTCTCGTCTGGCGCGAAGGATATAGTCGACGCTGGAGATGATGAAGAAGATGATGATGCTCCTGGTGCTCCTGATGATGATCCACCACCTGATGATGCAGTTGCACTCGTACTAGCTCCTCCCGCCAAAGCTGCTAGTGCATTAGAGCTAGACGCGCTTTTGAGCCCCTTTTGCACTGCTTCATTGAATCGACGCATCTTCCCCTTGCTAGAGTCTGTCATCTGGACCAAAGTCAGGTATCGATCCGTCCTATGGATGACGCTCTTGCTGTCCTCAAAGCTTACTGCGACTACTGCTCCAGCTCCCGCGCACTCTACCGGCATTAAAGTTGTTCCCAAGATTGTGTAGACTTTCGCGATCCGTAGGGTCGTCCAGTCTTTGAGAAACAGAGATTGCGTATCAACGAGCGGACCCTCTTCAGCCCCAGCACCAAGGTCCTGGTCAGGCAAAACTACCCAGTCCTGACCTGCGACTGGTGGCGTCTGTAAAACTACAGGGCTCTCCCTGGTGAAAAGACCGTCAGAACAAGCGGGGGAGACTAGCTCAGGACTACTGCTGATCGAGTGAGGCATGTGGGCTTCGTCTAGGTCGTGATGATCGTCTCCGAGGACCTGTGGGCGATCTGTGGTGCCAGATGCTCCAACGACACCACCAAAAGCACCAGAAGATGTTGTATTCTGGCCACCTGCTCCTCCGGTCAAATTCTTGATTCGTGAGGCAGGAGCATAAAAAGGCGTACCACTTGTTCCTTCGGCCCTTTCACCGCGTGAACTGGAGGACTCTGACGAACCTGCGTCGTCTGTGACGCAGGTCTTGCCACGACTCGAGCGCACTTGTTTTCCAGTCGCCTGCATCATCAGCATGCCTGGTTTCAGTGTCCCCGCAAACACGCGACACATCCCCACAAAGTCACTGCCATCGGAGCCGTGTACTAGGCGATCCCCTAAAAGGATTTGCCGACTCAAATCTGCACCCAAGTACTTCGTACAGTACGCTACCGCAGGTAATTCGGCGGAATTGTCGGCTTCTAGAAGAGCGCGGCCAAGAATCTCATGCTTGCTGTCATCCGCACTTGTTGTGCCTGCGGAAGCGGCTTTTGCCAAGGCCTCTGCACCGCCAACAAGAACACGCTTTGCGAGTGATGCAACACCGGAGACAACATCTGAAGTTGATGTGCCACTGGTCGGTGCTGCAGCTCCTTCCTCTTGCTTAGTAGCACTCTTTGTACTTCCATCTCCCTCCAATGCAGTGGGATTTGCTGCAGATGAGCCGTCTGTTAGTGCTGCTGCAACACCAGTAACACCAGATGAACTAGAGGACGAGCCGCCACCTCCCGTGATCGCGTTAAACAGTTTCGACGCTGCATCCTTCATCGAATAGCCACTGCTTTGCGCCGGCATTGGGATCGGATACTCTAGTAAAAACGGGATTCTATGCGCCGCTGCGGCACGGGGACTAGGTAAGTACTCTACTGCTGCCCGTAAGACGCAGTCCCCTAATGGGAGCCATGTTCCTAGAAGATCTCGCACACATCCCGGTCTAAGCTTCTGAAAATCCACCTTGCCATGCAACTCTGGCACAGACTTGCACAACTTCTCTAACAAGGGGATGTCGAGTTGCTGATGTTCGGGTGAAGCCGATGAAGCTGCTTTGGCATTTTTCGAATTCATTGATCCAGCACTTGTTGTATTTGCAGCACTGCTACTTCCACCTCCCATAGCCGCGTTGTCGCTGTTGTCGAATGTCGCTGTCGCTTGGTAAAATCTTGCAATCGTATCTAGACAAAACTGTGCAAACAATAACCTCCTTTCTGGTCCGTCGGTCGGTCGCTTTTTCAAGATTTTCTTCTCCTTGGGATTGTACCAGTAGTCCCCCCAAAGGGTTTGCCGCAACACGCGTTCACTGCAAGACATGCGTTTCGCCATGAAAGAGGCGAATTGCGCAACGCTAAAGCCCCATCCATGCATGGCTGACGTGAATAGGACATTGCCTTTGGCCGGATGGTAAGTCCAAGACTGCTCCCTTTCGCTATCGAAAACTAACTCATGGTCGCCACGCGGAGACACCACTTCGCCTGAAGTCGTTGCCGTGGTGGCCGCGGAGGAAGTCGCTGCCGCGGTTGCAGCTGTGGTGCCAGTGGAGGTCGTTTTGGTACTATAATTACCGTTACTCGCCGACATTTCATTCTGGCCCCCTCCTGTACTACCTGTTGTACTGCTAGAAGTAGCTGCATGGTTTCCCGCTGCTGCGTGGACTTCTGCCATCAGCAATTCGGCCGCGGCTGCATTCACTTGCTGAATCACTTTTTGGATATGCACACAAGCTTCATCCGGAGTCAACTTCAGATTGATGAAGAGTCGGTCCATCTTGTTCAAAACCAAGATGGTCTTCAGCTGATCCCTCCATGCCTGCCGTAGCACTTCTCGCGTCTGACTGCTGATGCCCTCAACGACATCTACTAAGACAATCGCACCATCCGAAAGTCTGGTTGCTGTCGACACCTCAGACGTAAAGTCCACGTGGCCAGGACTATCCACCACATTTATCAAGTACTCCTCTGGCGCTGTTGTTGCCCGTGATGCAGGAAGAGGTTGAGGAATAGAGGAGGATGCAGCTGCTGTCGTAGTGGACAAGGAAGATGCAGATGTTGATGCAGCTGTAGTTGATGTCGTCGTAGCACTAGCAGCATGAGTTTGCGTAGGTTGGTCTTGCCCTTGCGCTGCTAATATTCTTGCATCCCCTGACGTTGCACTACTAGAGGACGCTTGTTGCTGTTGACCCTGCTTGTCGGTCCAACATAGTGAAATCGCACTTGATTTCATCGTGATCATGCGAGCCTGATGGATTTCAATTTCATATGATGTGTGTTCACAAGGAATAGGAGATCTACTTCTTACAGACAAGGCGGACTTGTTATTATCAAGTTCATCTCTAGTCGAAACGTGCATTACTCGTTCTAATCTATCAAAACCTGGTGGCGCTGCGCTCAAGCTGCATCATAGATACACAGGAAATCATCACTCCTCATGATGATCATCTAGCTTGAAAAATAGTACTAAACCTCCTAATCACTACCTGCTCATCTTCTCGACTATCGAGGAATCGTAGACTTCCTGCTACTTTCCTGGAGATCCAACCATTACTCGCCACTAAGGAGTCGCACAGACTCGTTTTCCCGTGGTCTACATGAGCTATGAGACAGACATTTCGTATCCTGTCAGGCTGTTGCTGCAATCGCGCGACGCGCGCAGCGTGTCGCTCGGCACCACTCGACATGATATGTTGATAGTGGTGCTCTAGTACGTGAAGGTGAGCGTGTATGTGTCCGCACTCATTATTTTTTATTGCTGATACTGATCGAAGATGATGTCGCTCAAGAATCTCGGTCAACCTCAGTTGTGCTATACATACTCGTCGTCGAATTTTTCGTGGTCGTTTTAGCGATCAATCATTTGAAAAAAAACGCCTATGATAAAGGCCCAAAAGAATGAGCACAATAAAAATATAGATGAGAAAAGGACATGCTGGGAAATTCAGTTCCCTGTGTGAATTTTTTTTGCCGGTCCAGGATGTATTTACTTAGAACTCATCAGTTCATTCAGAGCCAGAACGTATTTTCACTTGGATTTTTTGTACCTCCATTCGAGAATATTTTGGGAGCCGCTTATTTGATCGCAAAAGGTAAGATCTGCAAAACCAAAAGTGCTGTTTCACAAAAAATTTGTACTGGAGCTTTCGTCGTCAAAGTCTGAACACGGAAAGATCACTTCATTGCGTCAACATGCCAAATACTCAACATGCCAGATGCTGTTCGTCGATGATCAGTATATTTTTTCTCTTAGTACAACATGGTTGAACTTGAATCAATGGTCTCTGTGCAGCTCACATGGTTCAAAAGATCATGCAGCGATAATCTTATAACAATCCCATTCACATCATCGATCTGTTCATTCATCAGATCTGTAATCTCATCGATCAGAATCATTACAACTATATAATCTGTTCCCGTAACTACATCGACAGCTGTCTCTAATAACGCCTTGGGCATCAAACAGAGATTGTCCGCTGTGCCTACTGTAAAAAACATCTCTGTCTATAAGATCTCATCTACTGGAAGTGCTACAAAGCGTAAATCCAGTTTGTGTAGAGGTTGACCAACAGAACTTGCCACTGCCGTCACCACACTTTCCGGAATAGCATGTGGCGCCGGATTCGTTAGTTTGGCATGCCTGGCACGCTTCAGCCGCTGTGGTACATTAGAATAGCGAGCAATAATGTATAGATCATGTTGCCGATTCTTGATCTTAAGACTTAAGTATCGAGTCATGAGTAGCATCTGCGCAGGAGGTATCTACGACATTTACTTGTTCATCTCGTCCCGTAAAGCATTAATGTATCTATGACTAAATGACAAAAATGACTCCTCCCTTTTCCAATAAACACGTCAAATAGAAACCTTCTGTATATAATGCTTGTTTACAAGACGAGTAGAACAATTCCAATCGGCAAATTCGAATTCCTTTCTTAATCGTGGTGCGCCATGAAGAGTTTCGTCCTCAGCATTTCTCGTCTTAGTGCTGACACGAGCCCGAAGTAGTTCAGCAAGATGAAGGCGAGAAGTTGAAGATGAGAGAAAGACGTCATCTTGTTTTCTTTTCCTGTAGGTCTCGATCAGTGTTTTCTTTTTCTGTGAAACGACTTTCGGATTTCTTGTACGATTGTCAGAGGGCTGCAATGACAATGTCTGTTTATAATTAACGAATATTCCGGGCAATTACTCAAGAAACCAGCATGTTGGCCAGTCACAAGCACATAATTCTTGGACGTTATACATGGAGACGTCGAAACCACTATGAAAAATCACATCAGAGAAAACCCTAGGTATGTTCCAATGTTACTTCTATGCACACCAATAACCACTCGTATTGTGAAATTAGAGACGTGAAATACGCTAATACGCAAGGTAAGCAGCTTAAATGGACTGACATTTTGGATTTGGATTTGGAGATTTCCGGAAAAGTTTTCTTCTTTTTTTTTGTATCGTGGGGCTACTGAAAGAGCGGCCTCAGCTTTATCCAGTTCGCAAACCGGCGGCAGGCGGAGCTTAGTGCTCCTCTATCATTCCGGCGGGGCTTAGTGCTCCTCTATCATTAGTTTTCTGGCCACCAATAGGGGCGCAGTACGTTCTAAAAACAGGTATTTCTCTTCACGGCCTACAGGTACATCTACTAGCGACCCACTTGAAGGACCGTGGGAAAAACAAGTGGTAGTCCCTCTACTGGGTTGCTCCATGTTGATTCAGAAAAAAAACGTCGGTTCACATCAGTCGCGGCTCACCCGCAAGATGAAATAATCGACTCTATCAGAAGTGTAGTTAGAACGGCATGCAGTTAGCAGGAAAATGCGAACAGCTGCAATATCTTGTGTGGTTCTTGTTGTCATTACCTCAGCTCCACCAACCTCAGTTTTTTGCGCGTTGAAGATGATCTTCATCTTGAGTTCTTGCGATAATACATGTACAAGTTTCAGACCAGGATCATGTCTTTATTTCCGTGGATAATTGCAATACGTAAACGTGTCAGAAGTGTCTATAATTTTTTGGATCAACAAGGGTGTCATCTATAATCTCAAACTACGGTTCTTTCAGTTTCTTGTTCATGTTCTATGATATCTAAGTCGGCTGTGCTGCAACTTCTTTCTCCCAATCATCAAGTAAAAAAACAACAGGTGGTATAATCGTCAAATTTGGTGCAATCTCAAACAGGAACATATTACTTCTAGTTTGGATTTGGATTTATTGAGCAGATCATAATGTCAAAATCCGTTTTCAAGGAGAAGGATGTAAATGGCAGTTGTACTAGCAAGAAGTCTTCTCCTGTAGTCATGCTTGGTATTCAACAAATCTAAATGGGCGGTTAAGCGTCTAAAAATAGAAGGGTGAAGTTCATGTGTTGTTGAAGATGCATCATGACATGTGTTGTGCTTGTAGATAATTCCCAATTACTCGAAAAGCTAAAATAAGCGAGCAACAGAGGAGAATAACCGAGATACTTATGAGAAGGAAGAGTAGCCTTGATGTTAAGCTGCCTTCCTTATTTCAGTCAGTAAATCGGTTATTTTGAGTTTTCGAATAATTACCACAACTTCAATGTGAATCATCGGAGAAATCATCTTCATCCTGAGGACACTGTCAAAAAATCTTCTACACCTTGCGACAAAGGAGCCCCTCTACGGCTGACTCGCGCTGATGAGTTGCATTGAGGGTAACAAATGTCTCGGTGTGATCCCATTCTTAGAGCTCAAGCGCCGCGAACTAATCTATTATTAAGCTATACTTTTTTTTACTAATCTAATTATTAAGTTATACTTTATAATTATAAGTACCCATCTTGAAGTCCATCCTGAGGCCATTTCCCCGTTGGAAAGACTCTCTCCTAGAATGACTCCTCTGCAGAAAATTGATTGGATGCTGGCCATGGGCATGTACTTCAGGTCTAACCCTTCCTGGTCAAGCTTGAAGCAAATCTTACACAGAGCAACGGAGACCGCCTCATGGTAAGCATTTTACATCGCAGTGCGGATTAAAGGGGAACATGCCTTAACATTCATTTTCGGAGTTCTACCCGCTAGGGGAGTGCGTGCTGAGGGTGTGCGACCCTGCGCTTTCCGTGATTTTGCTCCACCACCTGCGCCAGCTACTCCGCCACGTCGCGCCTGCTCCCAGCCTTTCCCTGACGGAGATTCGAAGCCAGCAGCGCTGTCATTAGAACGAAAAATAAGAGCAGCCTTAGGTTATGATCCGTCAAGACGTCAAGATCGAGATCATACCTCGTCAAGATGAAATCATCCTTTATTGTAGTATATGCGATAGTTGAGAAAAGGTTGTGGTATATGCGAAGATAATTTATTATGATCAAAAGACAAATTCTGTCTTTTGAAAAGGTTTAGTAGAGAGTACAACTAGCGGCCTTAACATCAAGTGCGCGCAGATCTGAGTCGCAAGGTGCGGCATCCGCTTTATTCCCAAGCAGAATTTCTAGTTCCGCTTTCCCACGTGGATCGATCAACTCTTCCAAGGGCTCCACAGTTTTGTTAGCTATCGCATTTCCTGTAGTTGTGGAGGAAGAAGAAGACGACGAATTTCCGCTCGAGGCGTCTAATTTCGCGTCTCTACCAGTTTGTACGATTTTGCCGAAGTCCTGACCAAACTGTGCATGCAACTTCCTCAGCTGTTCCGCATCAGCGGACACCCCCTTCGAAAATTTCTCGCAGTCACCTGCAAACTGGCCAAGAACCCTGGAACGTAAATTAGAGCTTACCGTTACCCAAATTCATCTGGAGGAACAGGAAGCTCATCTTTGATGACCACTTGTTTTCCCCTGTAAAAAGTCCAAATAAGGGGTCCGAGACAGATGATGCATGTTGGTACTCCTCAAGAAAGATGAGTGACGAGTTGCGGTAACAAGCCTTAAGTAGAGCAACAAACTCCGGCAAGCGGTCTTGGTCTTGTTTTTGGAGCAAATCTTGTACTGTGGAAGTCGTAGTCGAACTCGATGAGCCGTATTCTTCCAGTCTTGTTGCCATTTCGCGAGCAGCGGTGGCAACGTCGATCTCAGACCAGGTTTTTTCGACTTGAGCCGCGTTTTGCTTCGCGCTCTCCACAACGTTGCGCCAAGTGTCTACGGTTTGCGAATCAGCAACGCAAGTGGCACGCAACTTGGTCGCTAACTCTTCACTCTGCTTCTCGTATCGAAGTTAGACGAGATCGTGATAGAGAAGTGGAAGTCTAGTGCTATGCAGCACTGGAATTTAAATTCAAAAAAAGGATCTTTCGAAATTTGTGGAGGAGCCAACAACTCTCTTTTTCGAAGGAGATCACAGTGCAGGAGCTAATGCAGTTTCTGATTCTGAATTTATTCTGTTTGTAATCTATCATTTAAAGAATGCATCTGAACATTCATGCGGTGCAGCTACCGTAGTTTATGTATGCTACACAGCCTACGTTCCGATTATCTGATCGGAAAGACCTACAATGCGCGCGGTGCCCTCTAAACTTCTTCTACAAGCCTTAATGAAACCGGGCTTCAGCTAAGTGTTTCTGGAGTTGCTGTTCCAGCGTTGCCGCGATTTCGGCGCGCGCCTCACGCTCAGCCCCCAACAATTTCTCAATGGCTTCGCCAGCTCGGTCGTTGCGCTCTACCAGAAAAGACTCGAACATCTCTTTTGGGTTAGAAGAAGAGCAGGTGGTGGTACTTCATCCTACATTGATGACTCTTCTAATCATGAATCCAGCTGGGGCTCGTCGTGCCTTTACAGCCTCGTCAGCCACACTCGCAATATTCAATCTTCATTTTTTACAACTACAACTAGCATTAGTCCATAATCAAAGCTGCCGCCACTCCTTCTAATTGCTCGCGGCTTTCCGTACTGCCCCTTTCCACGCTCTTGACCAAGGATGCTAGTTTTGTCGAGGTTTCTGCCACCTGCTCCGACGTTGGCAAGACAGCTGCACTCTCCCGCAAAGCGGCGCTCGTGGCAGCTAGCATGGCCTCGAGCCGCGGCTTTTCTTCGGAAATCCAGCTAGTATTAGGGGCTGAAAGTTGACCGCTCTAGCTCGCATATCCATGGCTTTCCTACTTGAAGAAACCATAGAGATGCTCATAGAGATGCCAACTTCCAGTCCTTAATAGTACTGAGCCCTCGGTGGGCGTTGGAGGCATAATCCTCAACTTTCGCTAGCATATTACCGATTGCGGCATGACCTCGCGAAACCGCAGACTCGACGCGCTGCTGCAAGTTGACGAGTTCCCCTTGCTGTGCTGTTGCCGCTGTCGTGACCGTTTGCAACCGTCGGTGCATCTCGGAACGCGAGTCTAACGCCGAAATTAGAAAGGTCAAACTCAAAGGTATTTTTCGTTGTATGAAAATCCAGTAACCAACATTATGATTCGATATAATTGTTGTTGTTGTGTATCTTTCTCAAAGATGAGCATTCACGTTTTTCAACGCGGCATGTGATCAACATCATTGTCATTCTGTTCAGCTTCAGGTACAACTCGTTCAAACGAAACGAAAAACACCAACATGTACTAGATCTTCTAGAAAAATGATGAAAACACCAACATCACTCGAGGACATAATTTCTGCAATGTCGTTGCACACCTTTGCGCTAGGTGTTTTAATCTTTCGTGAGCCCTGATTTGGTCTCGCAGGTGCTCCTCGCATCGACGATGCGTACCAGCCGATCGTCTAGCGTCGTCGCGGAGGTCCTCGACTTCATGTTGGAGTGTTTTCTCGCGCTGTTCTAGTTCTAAAGCTCGGGTCTCGTGCCCCTGACTCTCCGCACGGAAGCGCTCCACGTCCGCACTCAGGGCTTCGATACGAACTACCAAGCCTTGCTCTTTTTGAACCTATTTGAGGATCGATCATGTTGTAAAAAAAAATTATAATACATGATGAGGTCGTGGACGGACACGGAGGAGGGGTTCGCCTCACCCATTAGAACAGGAAAAAAAGTACTTAGAACAGAAGTACTTAGAACATCCACATGAAGAACCTGATCCTACATGGATACAGCTTGTACAAGCAAACCTCCAAGAACGCAAGACGAGCCGAAGGCTAGCCCATCCACAACCACATGATAAAAACGTACTTCAAATACAAGAAACTCTCGATAGCAACTTACTGTTAGCCTTCTCCAACAACAAGCAGAGACGACGCCTTCTCCAACAACAACTTACTTATAAACGAAGCTCAGCCAAAAGGATCCCTTGGGGCGCAGAAGTGAGCCGTTAGGCAGTGGCCTGAAGTTAAAATTTAGGCAGTACTTTCCTCGCCGCAGCGGCACACCGCTAGAGCTGCCTTAAAATTTAGGCAAAATCTGCCTAAAGTTAAAATTTAGGCAGAAAACTCGAAGGTTTAGGCAGAAAACTCGAAGGTTCCTTTTGGCACAATCTTCGTTCATAAACTTACTGTTAGCCGTCTCCAACAACAAGCAGAGACGACGCCTTCTCCAACAACCTATAGGTAGTAGTACTTTCCTCGCCAGCGTCGTCTCTGCTTGATCCAGTTTGCACTGTAGTTGGTGCACTTTCATTTCCAGGTCGGTCCAGTCCTGGATATTCTTACTCCCGGCTAGTATTAGAGGTAGGTTTTTGGTGCTCGCTTACCCCGCTTTTTATGCCTTTCTCATCCTAAGGGAGAGAGGCATAAAAAGCGGTAAGAAAAGCACCTTTAACCTACCCTTAATAGTAGCATGGAGTCTGTCACGGAGTGGTGCATGATGCTATGGTCTGGATGAAGACCTTGTCCCGAAAAGCCGATGCCAGCTCGAAGTTTGCACTCCTGCTTCGGCCGATTTTTGATAGCAGCGCACGTTGCGGCATAGTTCAGAGTGGACATAGATTCGTCCACACACATTTGTGACGGTGATAAAGTTGCGATTACGCAAGTTTTGCACCGACCGCCGATAGCTTCTTGGAGCAGCCTGGGATGTGGTGGTGATGGACGCGAGTAATTTTTCTTTTAGAAATTATAGATGTGGAAAAAAAGAACAATAAATGGACGAAGGGTGTTGAGTGGGCATCGTCTTCTATTTTTCACTAATTCCTTGGTCAAGAAATTGTAACTACTAGTACCTTGTCAACTTGCTGTCTCGGTATGGAATTCGCATTGGCGGTCCTCCCTGTGACAGGTCCCTCACGTACTGGATCACACGTCCTAGCACCAAAAGACTTTGATTAATGTTTTTCCGCTCTAGATTCAGCGCCGACCTTGTCGAAACTAGGTTTCCACTTGTTGTATCGCTTCCCGCCGATTCTGATCCTGCAAGATCCACCAGATGTAGTTTCCCCTTACTCTCGAGGCAGCCGTCTCGCATGCTCACCTGCGTCTTGCACATCACGCTCACAGTGAAGAGACAGTGAGATCTGGAAGAGGCCTTGTTCATCTGCGTTTCGCCGACGCGTCGTCGTTCCTGGGCTTGCTTCATCAATTCTAGCGTTTGCTGCACATTATCCACAGGGTGCTCTGACAGACCTCGACAAACACTACTGCCGCTTCCATTGTCGAGGATAGCTGGATTGGCGTGTGTTGGGAGGAACAAGATATACCAATTCTAAATGATGTTCTCATTCATGATTTTTGTTCTTGGGGCATAAAGAAACGAAGTGAAAGCGAAAGCCTAGAGATGATTGGAATGTAGTGTAAGAGTTGTATTCGACTATTCATCTATCCTAGAGATGTTGATTGGAATGTAGTGTAAGAGTTGTATTCGACTATTCATCTAATATCCCCTGTAGCAAGAATCAAAAAAGGTACAGAGCTGCGTATTCGAGTCGTGTGGTGCCATGAGATCCGTGAGTTCCTCGTTGTAAATTTCCAAATACGAACAGGTCACATAGGACTCGAAGTATTTTTCTCGGTTACTCAGCCGTTCAAAGAGAACTTTCACCGCTCGTGGAATCAACCCTCGACCGCCCTCGTCGTTCAGTTCACCCTCCATCGTGTATGTTTTTCCAGTTCCAGTCTGTCCATAGGCCACAATTGTCGTCTCGAATCCGCAGAGGACGTCGTTCAAACGGGGTTCCAAAACGGTTTCAAAGATGTCGTCTTGCGTACTCGAAGGTCCGAAGACTTCGTCAAAAGGGAACTCTTGTCGCGTAGCGCGTCCTCCAGTCCCACGACAAATGAGCACTTTCTTAGCGTCCACACGCGCGGTCACGATAGGGTTAGGATTCAGTTTGCGCTCTTTCTCGTTCATCGGCCGAATACGACACACGACGCGAACTGGTGCGGATCCATCATCCGTGCCATGAGATAGCAGACTCTCATTGTCAGCACTCGAACTACTGTTGCGGATCTGCAACCCAGCTGCACCAGAGGTCAACCCGAAAGTACTAGAGGAACTTGTCGTGTGCGGAGGATAAACTTGGTCTTTCTCTTTTAGCATTCTAGAAATTGATGAATTTGAAGGATAATTCTGATGGGGATGGGCAGCAGACGACGAGTTCTCAGAAGTACCAGCAAGAGGGCCTGAAGCATTATTACCAGAATCGTTGTTACCACCAGAAGTAGATGATATCCCAGCACCACCTCCTGCTCCAGCTGTACCAGTCTTGTTGTTCTTTCCAACTACAGCAGAAGATTGTTCTTCACTTTTACAACTTTTTTCCTCTAGTATTGCAGAAAGTTGTGAAGAAGACGGGACTCCAGCGAACAGGACTTGCTTCCTTCCTCCAGCTGCATCAGCTGATTGACTTCTTTCTCGTGCTCCACGTGTGCCAGTAATTGTACCGCCACCAGCTTGAAGATGCTTCTTGTTTTCAAAAGAAGTATCTTTGATGTTACTGCTTTTACCGAAACCTATGGACGAAGAGATACCAGTACTACTTGTGCTTGTAGTGCCTTTCTTCATCCCATGCTGTATTTCCTGAGGTTTCCTTGACATCCAATGGGAGTTTCCACTTGTCGGAGGTCCACCAGCTGATCCTGAAGCTGACTTCTCTGCGTCCTTTAACAGCGCATCCACCTCTTCATGCAGTGATGCTGAAGCTGATAGCCCAGCCCTTGTTTTGGTACTATTTTTACCCGTTGTATTTAGGTCAGCACCTCCTGCAACTGTAGAAGATGTAGCGTTCACCTTCACAGAATTAGAGTCTGCTAGATTGCATCTCGGTCCCCTCATTTTGAAGACCCCTTTTCCCCTTGAAATATTCATGAGAAGAATACAGGAGGGGAACAAAAGGGCTCCACGATGCCGAGAAAGATGGACACTAAATGTTGACCTTAACAGAAGTACCGGTGCTAGAAGCAGAGGCTTCTGCCTTGTTCGTTTCTCCAACAGGACCAGCTTCTGGAGGGTTCTTCTTCAACCGCTTCTCTTGCTGACTATCCTCCTCAAACAAGAGTCCGAGACTAGGCGGCGGCGCCGTATTGTTTCGCGGCGTCTCTGGGTTTGAGGATATCCGTCCAGCACTAGTGTTAGAGGTTGCGACATTATGCATGTTTCAGATCATCCCTGGCGACCCTTTTCCTACTGGAAAAAAAGTCAAGTATGGTAGTGAAGAATGCAATGTGGGAACCCTTAATCGTGTTCTGCTTCAGAAAGGAGTGCGGATGTTCACTACTCGTGCTTGTGTCGACTGCTTTGTTCGTTGTGGGTTTGCCTCCAACCCCCTTCTTGTTTTTCGTACCACCAGAGAAAGTATTTATCAAGGAAGATACTGGTCCAGCAGATGAGGTGTTTTTGATGAAACTAGACGAGGTAACAATATTGCTATTCGGTCCAGTGCGAGTTGCTGAAGCAGGAGCCCTACCTCTCTTCAAGCCACCAGTTGTGCCAGTAGTTCCTGGTGCTCCTCCAGTTGTTGTTGTTGACTGCGCATGCTGTTGTTGTTCATTATTACCACCAGATGACCCTCCTCCGGCAAGCTGTGATATTGTAGGAAACCGGATCTTGAAACCAGCGCCACCAACGCTAGGATGAGCATTATTACTACCTGGTTGTGGTGCGGAAGCAGCGCCTCCGCTAGGCGGTCCTGCCGAAGGGAACCTTGCAGTAGAGGAGGATGCTGCAGATGTACCAACAACGACGCCACCTGGCCGTACTCGACCGCGAGCAGTAGGATCGCGGCCGACCCTACTAGTTGCGATGGCAGATGATGAGGTCGCGACCTCTCCTGGTGCAGTTGCAGCGACAGATGATGAAGTTCCTGCTCTAGGTTGCGGTGCTCCTGTTGTACTGCCTGCATTTCCTAGTATAGTTGCTCCTGCACCACTTGTGCTGGTCGTTGGTCCTGTATTAGACGCGCCACCTGATCCCGCACTGTTGGGTGCAGCACGACTCGACGTCGCATGGTTCGTGGACGTGGAATTCGACGGAGGTAAAAGTGTCGACGAACCTGGCTGCCCAAACGTAGGCGTATGGGTTTTCTGCCTTGTCGTGATCAAACCGGTTCTTGCTGTGACATTCGGAGGTCGCTCACGGGGTTGCGGACGGCCTGGATTCACAGCGCGACGCGAACTCCTCGAACGGTCCCTAACCTCAGCAGGTTCTCGCTCTCGCTCTGCCACCTCACCGCCGCGTGCCATGATGCCGGCAACGGCGCTGGTGCTTGTCGGGGACTGTGAGATCGTTGCGTATGATGATGAGGGGAATCAAAACCAAAGCAAATGCAGCCTCAAGAGCACCTAGATGGAATAGTAGTACTAGAAATATCCCATTGCTGCAAACTCAGGATCACATCACCCATTCAAATTCAAATCTACTAGGGGCCCAAGCCGTACTAAAAATATCCTTACCCCTCCAGCTTTCCCATCTTTCCGTCCAACTCCAACATCCGCCGTAGCCATACACTTGTCTAAGCCTAATGAAGTGGGCTTATCTAAGCCTAGAGTATGTCTGTCGCCACCGTCTGCAGATTCATTGTCCTCAAGAAACAGCTTCTGCGCAGGAAGTCCACTATCATTCAACCCGCTCGTGATGCTCTGGGCTCCGATGTTGTCCTCCCTTACCGACATTTGTGTCGATGCGTAATTGTTTCACTTCGACTTGATGAAGATGAATGAATGTCTCTCGCTTTATCAATCTGACGGAGAAGGTATTGAATTACGCACTAGTCCGTCGCGCTCCTATCAAAATCAACTAATAAAGAAGAACTGCGTTTTTTCATTTCCCTAATCCCGACGTGGCACCAAGATTCAGTAAATTTGAAGGCCCATGAGCACAACTTATGCTAGATGAATTCCTCTATAATTTTGATAATGCAGCTACATGACGAAGCGCCGTCGTCTTCGATTTGTTTCAAATAATGATGGCGGTCAATCAACGCATGTTTTGATGTAGGGATACTCGTCATGGCCGCTAAACATCGTGGTCAAGATAGACGGTACCGATCAAAACAAATATCTCGAACTCCCGATGCATGCTTCAAGACCGAAAGAGGATCGAATGCGTGTAATTTGTATATGTATTTGAACTTGAATTTATTTCTAAAAAACTGTTACAAGCATTCGGAAGACCATCGATCATCCTATGCTTGTAGTTCGAACATCAACGAAGCCGAGTCAATTCGGGTGAGAAAGCTTAGAAGTCGATAATGATCCTGTGGCGTCAGGAGGAGAACATATTGAAAGAACGATAAACTCGGTTCGAAGTGATCGAATGGAAATGGGGTCAGTTGGTGCTGTGTGGAAGGGAAGTAGAATTCATGTATTTGGAAAATTGAACCATTAGAAGAACATGAAATCACGATCAGTCGCGACGAAATCACAAGTCTAGACGTGTCACAAATCTATCCCCAAATCCCTGCTGATTCTGCAAAGAGATCTGGCAGACTTGCGATTTTCTGTCGTTTCTGATCTCTCGCTTGGTCAGCCTGCTTCTTCGGTGCTGGTCCCGTCTTCTTTTTGACTATTTGTGGCGCAGCAAAGAGATCTAGGTTGTCAGCGTCTTCAGGTACTAGGTCATCATCTTCAGGTACTATGTCGTCTTCAGCTATAATGTCAGCATCTTCGTCCTCCTCCTCCCCTCTTATTTTCATTTCTTCTTCCTGTTCCGATAGAATTTCCTGGTGTAGTTGTTCATCTAGGTGCAGGTGGTCTGTATCTTCTCCCGCAACATCCCCGTCAGACATCAGCATGTCAACATCGAGATCTACATCATCGAGGTTGTCCCTACTAGTGCTTCTACCACGTTCTTTGCTCTCTGCTCGCGTCGAACTGGCGGCTCCGCGACTTACCGACGCTCCTCTAGTACTATGTTCGCGAGAAGTCCTCTTATCTGGTTCATTAAGCAAAAAAACGTCCTGAGAGGAAGTCTTCTGAGGATGTTCATCTGGTTCAGGAAGCCATTCATGTCCGCTGAAATCACTGAAGAATTCCTCTAGAGAAAGCGACGAATGATCCAGCTCTGGGTTTTTTCGCTTTCTAGGGAGTTGTTCAGCGGAGACGAGTGGGTGATCCTGATTTTGATGTTGAAGATCCTGTTCTTGTCCAGTGATTGTTGTTGCAGCAGCTTTGGACTTGAGGTTTTTCTTCATGATGATGCTATTTTCAACTGTTGAAGATGTCCTCTTTACTGAAGAGGAAGAAGCAGTTAAAGAAGAAGCATTCACTTTGTTTCTCTGTACTACTCCCAGTCCGTTCTCGTCTACTTTCCCTTGCTCGTGCAGTATGAGATGACGCTGAAGTGAGCCGCGATGTTTGAATGCTGCGGGACAAAGACTGCAAGAGTATTTTCCTAGCCACACCCCGTGTTCCTTTTTTCTGTGAGCCTGGTAGGTAGAGCGACTTTGGTATTGCCTGCCACAGTCCTGGCAGACAAAACGAAAACCTTCGTCTTCATCCTCTAGTAATATTTTGCTCAAACCCGACATAATTGGCGATACAACAGGAGGAACAGGAGAAGGTAAAGGGATGCCACCATTTGCGGTCGAGGAAGAAGAAGATGATGAAGCCGCAGCCACTATGGAGGAGGATGGATCTGCTGCTGTGCTTTTTGTTGTACCTCCAGTTGCATTGGTGGGTTCACCAGTAGCACTTCTTGCACCTCCAGTATCATGTATTTCTCCTGATTCTCCTAAATTTGACTCCAAAGCCAACGAAGCCTCCCTCGAACGACGCTTCCTCGCATCGATTCCATGCTTCACCAGTAAGTGTTCTATCAATCCGCTAGACGTTTTATAGCTCTTCTCGCACACCTCACAAACGTAGCACTTGACGTGCGACATTTTCCTATGCTCGACTAGTTCAGACCACACTGTGGAAGCGAAATCGCAGTGCTCGCATTCATAGAATTTCTGGTGGTCTTGCCTATTGTGCCATTTCCTGTGGAGATCGAGGTCGCGCAGAGATCGGAGGATCACATCACAACCGGGTCGTGGACATCTAGCTTGGACTGCTGCTGTTGCTGCTATTCGCGGAAAGGCAGAAGAGGAAGATGACGAAGATGACGAGGCTGAAGAGCCTCCCACTTGTAGTTGTAGATTTTGTTGTTGTGGTACTTGTTTCTGTTGTTCAAGTTGTCCTGGGGGTCCGTCATGTAGGCCAGCCATAGCGTCATGCATAGCAATTTCTTGGCAAATTAGGTCTTCTTCGTCATTCAACTTCCTAGCATCATTGCTTTCTTCCTCTTGGACTCGTCTGGGCATATTATTCTTATTTCCCCGTCTCTGCACACGGTGCGGCTCGCCTACACACAACGCTATGTGCATATCGTGTTTTCCCTTTTTCTTGAACGTAGCGCCGCACTTCTCACATCGCAGCCTGTTATGGCTCACCATGTGTTTCTTCAGTTTCTGATTGTCACAAAAACGTTTGTCACAGTGAGGACAGGCGAAATTCAGTGGTTTCGGTTTGGTACTAGCCTCATTATTTCGACCCGAATCTCCAGCACGAGGAAGTGGTCTACTTTTATGCACTTTCGCCTCATGCCGTATCAGATGTGCCTGCTTCTTGAAACTCTTTCCGCAACCTTCAACGCCGCACACGTAAGCCCGCTCAGCGGTGTGCACGACTGCTACATGGTCCGTAAGTCGTTTTCGAGTCTTGAAAACTTTACTACACTCAGGGCATACATGCTGCTGCTCCTCTGCGTTCGCTACTGCATTGTCAACAGGAGGAGGGCTGTTCACGACAACACCATCAAAGTCGTTGTCGACGCTAATTTCGCTGTCTTCCTGCTGTGACATTTTTGCTGACTAAGACACCTGAAGCAAGCAAATCTACGTAAACTGGATTACCCAAAGATTGAAATGTGCCTGCTTGAATGGATCAACTCCACCGCACCCCATATCATTTCCGTTTCCTTTCGTAGTGAGCCAACCATAGCGCAGTACTAGTTGTAGATTCTAAAATGCTGTGAGAAAAATAACCGCCACTCTGCCTGTTTCATATTGTGCATGAAAAATTTATTTCACAGACGCGTTTTTTTTTTTTGGAAGTTAAGAATTTTGCACAAAGCCTTGTTTTCGGCGCTAAGGGCTTTTCGCAACATGAGCAGGTCTTACAAAATGTGGATGTGAAAGGTCTTCTTCAATGATCAAGATCAAAACCTTCAGAAGGATGGATCTCTGCGTAGATCAAAACAAACTTTGGTACTAGATCTTGGTGCTCATTCGTTTTCAGAAGGATCTTCACCTTTTCTAATGCTGCAGGACCTAAATGTGCCGGATCATTCGCAGCATGATACTTCTTCTAGATCCTTCGAAATCGAACAACCTGACAGAAATCAACACGTGTAGGTATCTGGAAAATCTTAGATTTTTGAAACTTCTCCGAGAGATTAGGTTCTTTCGCTTTCGGCATATCGTCAAAAATCTTATAACTGAGGTCCCTGTAAGTAACATCACTACAAGGTCGTGGAAAATACTCCTGAGTCAGATTGAAGTATGGGAAAGTACTCCCTTTCTCGTCATGGGGACGCGCGTTCTAAGATGGCCAGGGGTGAGGCAAAAGATCGGGGTATTATGTAGTCCTCAAGGGCCACCTCTATGTTGTTGGGAGTATCTTCTTTTCACGTCGTTATAAAGATGGAGATTAAATGTGAATTCACATTGAGAAAAGTTACAAATATCGGTATGACTTATTTATCATTGTGTCGTGTGTGGAGAATTCAAGAGGTACGGAGTGTTCATGAAAGACTCTTCGACGGAAACCAACGAATTCATCTTTTCGTCCTCGATGAACTAGCAGCTTTTTCTTGATCCACACCAAGAGCTCTCTTTTTCGATGGTCGTGGGGAGTCATCACCTTGCGCCAACAACATACGTCTTTTTTTACTAGCATGATCGCCTCCCCGATCTCTAGAGGGTTGTTTACTGGGAAGACCACGATTCTTAGAGGAAGCAGACGTTGCCTTATGGGTAGCAGCGGGATTCCTACTACTTCGTTTATTTGTGCTATCATTTGGTCTCCTAACACTCGTGCCGGATGCTTCTACATCGTCGTCGCTGTCATCGTCGTCATCTGAGCCTGAGTCATCGCTGTCGTCGTCACTATCATCATCGTCGTCATCGTCGCTTTCTACTGCTGCTTTTGACGAACGGACGTGTCTTGTTGAGGATGCGACTTGTTGTTTGGTGTCTCGCCTAGTAGATGACACTCCTGCTCGTGCAGCTCCTGTTGCTCTAGCCGTACTCGCATGGGCTCGCGACGTGCCTGTTCGTGGTGCTGCAGAAGCGGCGGTAGTTGTGCCACTTCTTCCAGGATTGGCCTTGTTACTAGATGTGCCTCCACCACGCTTTGCGTCTGATCCAACAGGCGCAGCGGTGCTTTTACTTCTCGCGGCTCCGGGTCCCTTGTTACCACGTCCAGTATCTTTGCTTTCCTCCTCATCATCGGAAAAAGAGTCGTCATCAGAGCCACTAGTGTCGCTGTCGGAGCTCTCGCTGTCAGACGACGAGCCTCGCATCGAATCCGAGCTATCACTGTCGTCATCACTGTCGCTACTACTATCCTCTTCTTCCCTTTGCTGAGCTCTTGTTGACCGACCGCCAGCTGCACGTCGCGGTCGACTGCGACCACCCGTGCGGCCGCCAGGTCGTGCGGCAGAACTATCGGCCGCTTTGGTGTGTCTAGTACTCGATGCAGCTGCAGCTCCACCGGACGTGGTTCTCGTAGTCTTCTGAGGATCTCTTTTACTAGTGGCCCGTTGATCTTTGCTAGAACCTGCAGCTCCAACGCGACTAGATCCAGCGCGAACAGGAGATGACTCCCCTTTTGCGTCTCGACGAGCGCGGGTAGCACTGCGCGCTGGGGAAACGACCTAAGTAAGACACTCAGATTAAGGCTAAGCTGAAGAAGTTGTAGACCTCTACAACTTGTTCTTAAATACGTGAGATGAATGATCGAAAGAAAAAAAATTAGTTTTTCCCCGACACAAAAGTTGTATGAGACGAGTATCTTCATACGGACCTATACAACAACGACCAAAAACAATGACCAAACGAGTTGTACCCGACTTGTCTTCGGCCGTCTGGGAGACCGTGATCGCGCCTTTCCGGATGCTTCGGCCTTCTGTTTGCTTGAGACCTGAACCACCGATTTTAAATATTTTAATGGGGAATGATCTACTTCTCCAACGTTACTTCGTGTAGTACAACGAACAGCAGTTGGGCGTTTTCATTCATTCATTCGAACCACGTAGCAACTCAGAGCTGCCTGGTTCCGTAAGGACCCGAGTAGAGACGCGGCAGCTAAAGCTATAACTATATACTCGTGAAAAAAAACCAACTATCTAAGTGGCAGGTGCCATCGTCGTACGAAATCAAGGTGTACCTTTCCTTCCTTCTCTGTCTCGGTTTTGTGGGAGTGCCTGTTATCGGTGCTCTCCACTGAAATTGTCTTGCCATCCATCTGGCCTCGATCCATTTCTGAGATATGTTACATGGGGAGGAACAAGTAAGACTCAGAACAATCGAATGAATCAGTTTGTTTGAGTTTGAGAGAACAAAAAGAGTTTGGAGTACAGTATCCGGCTTAATAAATTTGTTTGTTTAAAAATTTATCTCAATTAGTACGTTTTATCGCTTCCCCAACATCCCTCACTGTCGCAAATTCGACGTAGGCATAGCCTTTGGGTATTCCGCAACGCTTGTCTGTTGCTAGCTGAACATTCCGCACAGTGCCGAAGTAAGTGAACATCTCTCTTAGGTGGGCTTCGTTTACATTGCGCGTCAGATTTCGCACCTTTACGACCTGCGTTATCGACGGTGTGTGTCTCATATTATGAGCTACCAATGGTTGGAAAGAAGCAGTACAAGCATTGACATTGTAAGTTCAAGTTCGTACCATCACGTGGCGATTTCTTTGTTGCCAGCCCACCGTTACTTAGTACAAAAACGATTCCAATTCAAATATTTTACCGTCGGTCCCTCCAGAATCGGAGGTCGCGTTGGACCGCGTGGCTTCTTTAACGGTGAGCGGTCCGCTCTTCTCCTACTCCGCTCTCTCCTATCATTCCAATCTTTCCTTGAGCGGTAAGTGCCTCGATCGCGGTCTATTTGAAGAACAAGATGGGAACGAAATAGTAAAACCGGTGATATTCTTTATGTATATTCTGCTTCATCATGTATATTGTGCTTCATCACTTAGGCATGGTTTCAATATTTTGAATTCAAAGCTTACCATATCCTCCACGATCTCGGTCGCCGACTCTCCGTTCATTCGAAGCCAACGGCATTTTCCGAAAAAACGGCCTTCTTGATGAAAAACGGCCTTCTTGATGAAAAACGGCTAGAACCAAGGCAGCTGCATTCTACTTCTTTTAAATGGTTGATTTTGGAGGTTGAATCTCTCTCCTGGTGCTTACGTAGGCGTAAGTAGCGGCCTTCGCTTCTCGTTATCAAAATATTCGCAGTGACAAAATCATCTCAAAAGACTATGTAAATATTTGAAAGTAGCAATTAATATCCAACCCGTCAGCCTGTCGTGATTCAGCAAAAATAAAAGACGAAGTACTTGAACCAGTAACTTGAATCACAGTAGGCATGATTATGATACTTCTACGGTTATAATTTCATGGACTCAGGTGGAACGTCCTCAAGTGGTTCTGAATCCTTGCAGCACCAAACTACCAGACAGTCAGTCTAGACGAATTCTGTATGATTGATCTTTAGTCGTGGCAGTGCACTGCCTGTAATATCCTCTAGTCGGCCTGAACCGATTTCTTCGATCTTCAAGATTTTTCAGAAGCAAAAAAAGTTCCACCGTATGACAGATTCTGATTCAGAGCAGGAGTTTTGGATTGCTGCAAGAGACACAAGCCTGTGCCGTTCATCTTGCGCGGCCACTGAACAGCATTTCACCATTCTTGCAGCAACTAAGGTAAGATTGGTATTGTCGGAGGCAGTTGTACGAGTTGCGACTTTGAATTCTGAGAATGGACATCAACGAACATTGTATGATAGGATGAAGAACTTAGGTTGCCTTGTTCCTTGCATGAATTCAATTCAGCAGACGTCATGTTGTGTTGACGTGGACGCTGTTGTTAATCAGCGAAACATTACTCCCTCCAGCACTCATCCAATTCTTGTTTCTTAGCTTTCCCCCCATTGATAATTTTTTCTGCAGAACCGTACAGTTTTATTTAGTACGAGTCTGGTGGATAACCTCTCCGTGATAGGATTTGATGGATTTGTTCTTTGTTTTTTTTACGGAGTAGATTTTGATTTTTTATTTGTGTTGGTATATATTAGTACTCGTGAAGATTGATTGCGGTAACTGCTACGAGACTTGCTGTTCTGTGATCTCCGTATACGTATTCCTTACAGGGCAAAACCGGGCAACAAACATGTGAGGATTCAATCTCGGATCTCCATAGTCATAGAGGAATAATACTGAATTCATGCACATGGGTGATTCTATACGGTGTTTGTCAGTCACTTCTATGGCTTTTTGAGTAAGCAAGGAATCATAACACAGTGCTTGTTCGGTCATGCGCTGGTTACATATTACGATTTGCGAACGAATCTGGTGATAAAAAATTCTAGGGTTGACTTGAGTCGAATAATTTCAGCAGCTCAGTCTTCATAAGTACTACTTCTCGTTCTTTTGTTGACTCCCCATGGCTATTTTCATGTAATACAGGACGCGTCAGGTCTGCATCGATTCCTCTGCGCGACTTCTACTTTCTGTCTTGTAGTAAGTCTATCGGTCGTGTTCTTCTTTCTTGTGATGAAGATCACTTTTTATCCTGACAGCTCCATAGAAAACTGTTCTGTGTCACCCAGACCTCCTGGTGGCGGGCGGTTGCTACTCACTAGATTGTAGGTAGGATCCTCTGCAGGTCGTTGGATCAAAGTCTGCTGATTCTCCGACATTGAATGGTCGGCTTCGCCATGTTGTTCTGTGTTGAAGTTTCTATTTGCTCCACCTCCGAGTCCGGCTCGTTGCTCAAACTGATCATGATACCTTTTTCTGATGTAGTTGTTCTCTTGATCTAACCCTGCTGAGGGTAGTCTTGATGAAGATGACCCTTGATATTGCTTTTGAACCTCTTCTAGGTTGCTCAAGAAGATGTTTTTATTTTCTTTGTCTTGATCATGATCAGATCCACCACCACCAAATAACACTCCACCACCACTTCTATCAGGTGGTGTGAAAACTGTCGCTAATTTACCTTCTGCTTCATTCGAGTTGACACCTCCTCTAGGAGTCTCAAACGCCGTTCCATCTACAACTTGAACTTCTCTCTTCTTGTTGTTTTTGCCACTCACCGCGCGTCCGGCACTGCCTATCAGGCTGCGTCGGAATCCACCACCACCCCCTCCGTTGTTGGTAGTCGTAAAGCCGGAATCTTCTTGTTGAGGGAAACCTGCTTGTTCAGTAGATGAAGAAGTAGCAGGAGCAGCCCCGCCTCCAGCAACACCCACAGCATTGCTGCTCAAGGGTCCTCCAGCATTTAGATTTGAAGATCCTCCAACAGCACCACTATGTTGGATCGACGATGCAGAACTGCTACTTGCTAGAAGAGGGTTGCGATCTCTAGAAGAGGTACTTTTCGAAGATCCTGTTTTACCAGTCAGGATCCCACCAGTCGAAGTTTCTGTTCTGCGTGCACTCCATTTTGCTCCAGAGGACTGCCCGACACTAGTTTGCCTCTCGCTGAACATCGTGGTTCGTCTTTGTGGTCCGCTTGTTCCAAGACTAAGACTATTTGCTCCATTAGCATTGGTGGAATTTGAAGTCTGTGGTCCATGTTCTTGACGAGAGGATCCCTTAGGTGTGGCATCTGAATGCTGGCGATCTAAAAACGACTTCCTTGGCGCCATATAGTGCGGCAAGCCTTCTCCAGTGCGAATATCACCACCTAAAAATGAAGTCACGACGCCTCCACTTCCTGCTGTGCCAGTGCTCGTATTCAGATGCTTGCTTTGGCTATTGTTGTTGTGTTGAACAACATTTGTGGTCCCGATTGCCCCGCTAGCAGCACCACTAGATGATGAACTCTTGTTAAAACCAGCAATGTAAGGATTCGTCGTTGTTCCTCCATTCTTGTTATGAAGATTCGATGCTCCTGCTCGATGAGGCAAAGGCTGTGTCAAGCGTGACTCCTTTGGCTCAGTCAGAGCTGGTTTCGTTACTTGTGGTAACCCAGATCGATATTCTGGAACTGGTTTCGCCTTAAATTCCAATCTCTTACGCTCTGCGGCTAGTCGCTCTTGTTCTTCCTTCTGCTTCTGGGCTTCTAGTTGCTGCTTCCTCTCTGCTTCTTCCTTCATACGTTGGGCTTTTTCGCGTTCAAACGCTTCACGCTTTAGCGCTTGCTTGTCACTGTGCAAGCGAATGTCCATAGGAAGAGTGGCGCGACGGTTGGGGACTTGGTTGCCTCCAGCATTGTTAGAGGACCTCTCCACAATTCATCTCTCAACTGCATCCCTGAAGCATGTCGAAGGGAAATACTCACGACACATACAACTCCTCAAGGATGCTCTCAAAGATGAATTATTCATCGCCTTAACATTGTCTCCTGCTTCATTTATCCCTCCACTGCCGTCCCCTCTTCCAGAACTCGGCGGTCTCGGTGGTTTGAAAATACCTTGAGGAACAGGTCGAGCCTTGAACTGAGGAACAGGCTCCTCTTTGTAGGCGCGGCGTCTCGGAGTCAGACTGCGTTCGCGTTGTCGTTCTTCGAGTCCCCGAAAGGGACAAGGCTCGGTCACCTCACGCCGCTCCACAGGTTTGGCCTTGAATTTTTCGGCGTATTCTTCGTATTTGACTGGCGTGGCCTTCGGACAAGCTGTGAGAGGAAAGAAAAGCAGATGAATGGATGATCGATATCGAAAACCAGCAGGAACTGTACTTGCTTTGACTGAACAAGATCCAAATTTGAGGGGCATGCATCAGTACTGCTAAACTCCTCTGGCTTCGGCCTCTTCGAGAAATTCGATGTGCTCAAGCGGAATTCCTCTATCTTTTCCACGATCGAAGGCCTCTCTGCCGGTTTGGGAGAGGCTTTAGGAACTTTAGAGAAGTCTGGAGCAGGCCTCGCTTTATAAGGCTCTACTTTTTCCTGCTCTGCCCGTTTGTCTTCCTCTTTTTTCCGTAGAAAACGTTTCAGAGTGTGAGTTTCCTCATTGGATGACAACTTGAAAGGAGCGGCCTCTGTTATTGTCGGAGGTTTTCTCTCGGGCAGCTGTTCTGGTTCGTACCTGAAAGATAACGAAGTTAATCTTGATAGGACACAGATACTTCGTGGTCTCCAGTGATCATGATGATGAGTTTGTAATTTTTTTTCTATGCACTTTCGGCGGAAGTAGCAACCACGACATTCATTCTACGAAAAATGCGAATTCTTCATCAAGATGAATCAGAGTCACATACGTTGTCTGTGGTGGCGGCTGTGCCCTGAACACCGCGGATCCTTCCCCGCCTTCGCCAGACGCTGACCCCTCTCTAGCACGACCTACAGGTTCCGACAAGTGAAACGGCTCACAGGTAGTGGCTGGTCGTTTTTCCACTGCACGGATGCCTTGATCACTGTAATCCGCAATTGGACGAGCTACAAAAGGCACAAACTGTTCCTTCCGCTCTCGCTCCTCCATCAAGGACCGCCTTCGTTCCTCAAACACTTCACGGTGCTTCATGCCTCGAAACTCAGTCGATAGGTTAGGATCGAAGCACTCAGTCAGCTCATGGTCGCTTTTTTTAGGTTGGAATTTCACCTTGTCGAAGTCAGGCATCGCGCGTGCTAGAAACTGCGGAGGAGACTCGGTGCGGTAGTTTTTTGAGGGTGAGGGTGGACGCTGGCGATTGCCGGAGGACAACCTTGGTGGAACGGGTTTCGTACTTTCGAACGTTGCGCGCGGTGGAAGCTCAGCCGGTTGAAAGGTCGTTTCCGGAATAGGCCTGGCGCGGAAATTCTTGCCTTCGGGTTTTAGAGGATGAAAAAAAGATCAAGATGAATGTATTAAGCTTCACTGTACGTAGATATGCTTTAAGTGCAAAAACATAACAACGCAAAAACAACAATGCTCATCACAAACGCCTCCATAACTCTTGTTCACCTGGCGACTGCCTTCTCGGTGTGCTGTTTCGACTAGATGACAACCGAAACGGCCTTGGTTCGGTGCATCCTCTTCTTTCCACGTGCCTCGCAACGCCTAAATCCGTGTAATCTTGGATCTCGCGTGCTCGAAAAGAATGCGCTAAAGCAATTTCTGCCTGTTCCTTCTGTTGTTGTGCCTTTTTGAGTTCCTCCACACGGTGCGCTTGCGCTTCACCACGCACATCGGTCGCTAAAGATGGCGCCTTGTCTGGTTTCAAAGGCTCATGATCCCTTGTTTGAGACGTGGGTCTTGGTGGTGCGACGAAATGATAAGTAGAAGCTGGCGGCGGCCGCGCACGAAAACGTGTCGAATTCTCCCCTGAAGACGGTGCGCGTGATCCACGGCCGCTTCGGTGCGATGTAGGACCGCTTCCGGCAGAATTCTCCCTCTTTTGGCCTTGGCGTGATGTTGAGGATGAAGACCCACCAGCACCAACACCAGTTCCCGAAATCACCGAAGCATTTAATTTCAGTTGCGCCGCTGAGGATCCACTACTATTCAAAAAACGGTGCTTCGCAAGAGTATTTGGAGAAGATGTAGAAGTGGAATTGTGCGCAGTTCCCGCCTTAGCTGTCTCGTCTTCCTCCCCATTTGTACTTGTCTTGCCTCCACCTTGCACTCTGTTGATGAGATCTTGGACGATTCGTTTTGCACCTTGCAATTGACCGCCTATCCCCGATCCCGCTGGAGCACTTGAGCGTCTATCTTCCGCTTTACCAGGACTTACGGGTCTGGTGGTGCGTCGCATTTTAGGAGGATGCTCAACATTCTGAAGCTGATGTGGTGTTGTTGAACGTGGCAAGCTAGAAGTTGCTGTCGAGGAAGTACTTGCGGATGCGGTTGTGCCACGAGGTGTATACTTTTTGAAAGTTGTAGTGGATGAAGAGGCAGTCTTGTAGTTACATTTGTTACCGCCACTCATAAAACTACTCGATGCTGAAGTCGAAGACTCTTGTCCACCTAATATTCTAGCACTATTAGTGGTGCTCGTTGTATCACGCCGCTTGTACTGACGACCCGGCTTTGGAAGTTGTGTTGACGAAGATGGTGCAGCAGTGTGAGTTTTAGATGCGGCGGATGAAGTAGCACCACGTCCCAAACCCGATCCGCGCATGGCACCACTCAGCAAAGAAGTCGTGCCTCCAGTACTAGATAAATTCTCATGATCTTTGTCATCTCCCACTCCCAGTCCCATCAACGTCTTACTTCCACCACTGTTGTTCATTTTCTTTGAAACAAGAAAATCTTTAGGTCCCGCACTACGTACATCGTAGAATCGAGTAGCAGGACCATCAATCAGAGGCGGAGCCTCGGTCTCCAGAGGACTGGAATACGTTTCTGGCGGTAGCTCTGGCGAGCCCGCTTCCTCCACCTCCATTCGAAAGGAATCCACTTCCGGAGAAAAAGCACCATTTGTGCCATCATTTGCTTCTTTCTTATGATGTGCTAGTAGTTTTTGAGCATCTTGTTGGATCGCATCGACATCAACATCTTCATTTGGATTGAACCTTTGTTCTCCACCTCCACCTTCAGCCACAGCATCTTCTCTAAGGACATCATGGGCACCACCACCTCGATTTTGTTGACTCCTTGTCCACGCAGCGCGAACCCGTTCGGCCAATGGAATAGTTTGCTTCTTTTCGCGAGCAAGCATTTCTTTTAGCTCTAATTCCTCAATGCTCTCCTTTCGCCCAGAAGCTTCTTGCTGTTCCTGCTGCTCACTGTCTAGCGGCGATCCATGATTCGGACCTACTCCTCGAATCTCAACAGGCGATTCTGTTGGCAATCGAAGTTCCGGTGAGCCACGCGCAGAAGAAACAACCCTGTCAGCACTCGCTGCAGGTGCACCTGGACCCGCCGGAGAGGACGACTTACTAGTACTAGATGTAGATTTGCTATTAACTACACCACGATCGAGTGATGCGCTTCGTTCTAGGGAGTTTTCTCGTCTTAGCTTCTCCTGACTATTGATTCTTTGAATCATGGCACCCACGCGTCCTCCACGTGGTGCGGGCGGTAAGTCTTTCTGGTGGTCCTGATCATGATGGTCTTCTAGATCGACTTTGGGTCGTTGCAAGAGTTGTGGACTTTGTTGTTGATTTCCCATACTCGCATTGGAAGAAAACTGCTGATCTTCTTGATTCTGTGCACCAGCATTCGTCGCAACAGGAGGAGGCCGCTCCTGCGTCACCGAATGATTCATTACTGACTGGTTCAGCATGCTCAGATCAGCACCGACAAAGATATGATCCGTCGTCTCCACACCCATAGACACGTCACCTACTCCTAGAGCTCCTAGGCTGTCACCTCCCTGCCTCAATAGCAGCGTCCCTAATCCGCTTTGATGAAGACGTTTGCTCTCGACGCTTTGACTTTGACTTGCAGACTCACTTCTGGCGGACACAGGACTACGCTGGTGTCCTCCTAGTTTTCGTGGATGTGGCGATGCTCCCGCATGCTTCCCGCCACCTAAACGCACAGGGTGTGGCGTGCCTCGCTTGTTTTCATGCGGCGATGACACATCTGAGCTCCGGATTGACACTCTGCGGCAAACCCGACTATTCCCTGTGGACAGGCTGGAACGGGCAGTAGCGATGCCACGAGGTCGGTTGTTCGAAGCTTCTGTTTTCGGAAGAAGTCGATTTCAGTTTCCTTTTCCTCCTTAGATTTCCTTAGAACCAGCAACTTCCAGTTTTTAGTACTCATTACTACAGGGTCACAAATTCCAAAGATGAAGGAGGTTACGAGTTAAAAGTACCGTTAGAAGTCGGTGGTTTTCCTCGGGTACCGTGGGTCCCACGCGCAGTTTGAAACTCCGATTTTCCGACTCTTGAATTATTTCCGCCATTCTGCAATACAGGACTTCGTTCAGGCGTATCTGTGGGAGTGTTGTTCAAAAAGGAAAATCAATAAGGCAGCTGCGAGGAATACATGGATTTTTGTGTCAAGATGATCATGAGGCTGATATTTCATGCAAAAAACTCATGATCTACTCACTAAAGTATAATTATGATTCAAAAAACTACAAGACATGTTGGTACTTATCACAAACCGCGCAGGAGGGGACTTGTCCTCCGCTGAACCAGGCGGTGACTCGAATATCGGAGACGTCATCTTTGTACCAGCTGCCGCGTCGTGGGGTAGTGCAGCGAGATGAAGAGCATACTACAAGTAGTTACAGAGGCTAGTACACCTTACAAAATGCCTTCGTTATAAGTAACTAGAGTATGCCATTGTCAACGTGTAGAAGAAGAACTCCTCCAGAGAAATCTAGTGCGCATCAGCCTACGTCTCATTTTTCATGTTGAAAAAGAAGTCTGTCACTACTTTCATGCGCTTCGATTCAACATGGCGCTTGTGCAGCGAAGACGTTATACGAATCACGCCTACGACATTGTCTACTTTCTCTTGTTCTTCTTTTTGCTGTAGCTTTCTTCCTAGTGCGACGACTGACCACGACGACGGCACAATGACGAACAAACAGTTCTCCTTGTGTCTTCCTAACGAAAACCAACGAAAGCAAATAACAAATTTCTACGTGTCGACGAAGCGATTCATTTAAAAACTGTGCTGTTCTACCAGAGAGTCAAAACCTGCGAGGAAATGACTACAAGCATGACGAATAGTCTGTTGAGAGTCTACTACAATCAATCAATGCCGAGACCGAGAAATGACCTATCGTGATATTAGTGTTGTCGTGCTGGAAAGCATTCAGCTCGCCTTGTAGTGCTAGCTGTGAAATGTCTGCTCATTTCACAGACATGTCACGAGCTCCTGATGCCCTTGTAGTGCTAGCTGTGAAAAGTTCTTCCTGCTAATCATGTCGTACTAGTCTAGGAGTTCTGCATCAAACTGGACTAGTGAACAACTGCAATATTCCCTTGTGGAAAAGCACGAGCAAAATCCCCAGCCTCTGGTAAAAATCCCCGCTCATCACGAAGCCAGCGATCGAAACATACCTGCAGTTCGGAAACAAATTCAAAACGCAATTCATTTTGTTCAACAACCATGATTAGACAGACTACACATCCATTTCATCATCTTCTGTAAGGTGTATTACACAATTCGTAATACAATACCCATGCCCCACGAATGGCTCGATCGCGTCTTGACTGGGAAATCGCAAGGTCATAGTGTCGAAAGGTTGTGCGTCTGCAGGCATGCCTGGTCGCAACCTAGTGGGACGTGCAAAGAGCGCCAGAACACTTCCCTTACTCTGCATCGACGTAACAGTTTGCAGCTTTCCTTTATGGGCTACTTTGAGCGAAACCTTTTGCTCAGCTGCTTGATCTGAGAGGATCTGGAATGAATTAGACGTGGACTCGTGGAGGAGTCGCTGAATCTGAATGGTAACCAACAAGAGAAAGGTGGCCACTATGTATTCACAACAAGAAGCAAGTAGTGTCTACAAGTACACTTTCACATCTATTCAATGTAATTAGACTACAGAAAGAGAAACACAGCCACACTCCATGCTACGCCATGCGCCATGCGTGCTATAAACTACTCTGCCATATCTAGTATCTGCGGGTAAACGCGCGCTTGTGCGGTTGCGAGGTTGACCTGGACTAGACTGGCTGCCCACCGAAGTTTAGAAGCTGAGGCAGCCGCACCTGCTGATTCAATCCGCGTTGCGATCTTGTCTGCCGTTATGCCCTGCAACGCTGCATTCCATAAGTCTGGAACTCTTGCGTGCCAAGCCTTGAGAAAAGGATGTTGTTCTTGATCTTTTCCAACTACAGCAGTGGGAGAGGCTTTATCCGTTGTAGAAAAAGATGATGTGAGTTTCTGTGTGTCGAAATAGCAAGTTCTTGCGAGCTTATCCAAATCGGGAGGTAAAGCACTGTTCTTCCTCGCCTCGAGCAGAAAGTCGTAGCACACAGCTGGCACGGCGCGCGTGACGTCCACTTTTCGAGGTATCTCGAAATACAGAAAAGAGCAACCCTGATTCCCGTCTGCGTTTGACACTCGTAACAACGTCTCCTTCGGTCGCGGAACGAAGCAGAGGTCAAAGGCAGACAACTCGATAGTTTTGGTTTTTTTACTGGAGGTTGTTGCACCAGAAGCTGTGGTTTTACTAGACGGGGATGCAGAAGAAGGCGCCTCAACTACGTCAACACTCATCCTTGAGCAAAGCGGAAACAAAAAAACGTCAGCGTCGGTGACTGATACCATGCCGTTCGATGTGACGGAAACTTGCTTCGACGCGCTACCAGACGATCGGTGAACATCTTCTTTCTTCCCTTCTCCCGTATCGCCACATGCATCAGCACCAGCTCGAGCTCCGCACCCCTTACTACTCTTACCTGTATTAGAGTCCGTTAGATTGCATCTCGGCCCCCTAATCTTGACCCCTATATCATTACCTGTTGTAATATTCATGAGAATACAACAAGGAAAAATACAAGAAAAATACAGGGGAACAAAAGGGTACCGAGATGCCGAGAAAGATGGACACTAAATCTAAATGTTGACCTTACCTGTACTAGGGTCACTGCCCGAGGAGCATAAGAGTAGAGGGTGCGCGTCCATTATCTCTACGCCTGCCTCATCGCCTGCTTCATGCGTAGCAGGAACCGATCCTTTGGGCGGAAGCAAGGCTATTCGAATGTGTACACGAGCAAATGCACGTCGTAGGCCAAAGAAAATTGCTGCGATGAATCCGCCCTCGGCAGGCAGAGTATGGAAAATGTCCGAGAAACAGCGTTCATTAGAGAAGCAGCTGTGCCTAGGCCTGTCGTAGCTCGCTTTCTGATTGGGTAGCTAACTCAGTCTGATTCGGTTGTATGCAGCTGATGGGTAGTACCTACGTCTAAAAAAGATACAAACTGAAATTGATGTATTTCGACATGTTGGCTATGAGAAGATTCTAAATCAGCTACACTCTACTGTTCATCTGCATTCATTTGAAGGGCCGTAATTCTATTATTTACGTATTGCGACCACTTACTGGCGTTTAAGAACGGCAAGATGTCCTCGCGACCCTGGAACCATGCCGCTTCCCAAGTAGGACATTTCTCTACTCTCGATATCCACAACGCTTCGCGTTTTTTATAGGCCTCGACGAATGTACTTGAACTAGTGGACGGTGAAGAAGACAATCGTGCTGCTACCGCCGAAGAGACGACGCGGGCATACTCCGCTGAGCTCGCCTCCAACTCCATTTTTTGAAGAACTTTTGATTTTGAAACTTCCAAGAGAGGGCCACCTATACAACAGTAATTTCGTGTCTATTTACGCCATGGAAAATAACCATCAAAAATACCACGTTGAGTAGAACAACGAACTAACATTCTTTTGACTTCTGTACCTTAAGTATACTGTTTGTTATCGTGTCTACACTCAGCATTAGACGGCATGCATTCTCTCGATCTCGAAAGCGCAACTTTCGGTGTGGAGACTGCAGCAAGACTTCCTCATCCTGACCGTGCGTGGACACACCCAGGCAGATCATACGGAGATGTCCCGACATGTGGGTTGAGAACATTCATTTTGCTATCTTCATATAGTCATGGATAGTTCACACGACTTTATCGAATCGTCTTGAAAATCCCGAATGAATCTAGTGTGCCTTTTGCTGTACAAGTCTCTGATATGTTTCTTTCTTCCGGGGAAAATCAGTCAGGCGCAACATAGTTAGTGGCGTTCCAGGTGCAGCCTGCGACCGACTCAGGTATCGCAAAAATTTCATCAGAAACGCACCTCTCCATTTTGATCATCTTTATTCTACTGAACTTTTGTTCACACTATTGAATTCGAGTATGCCATGTCACACAGTACTACGTAAAAAAAGTCCAACGTTCTACAATTGGTAATAAAAACCAAGTCAGATAGGTTAACGTTTTCCTTCCATGAATATGATTATGTAGAACGATATCAAGAAGCGCCAGTCCCACCCTCAGGCTCGCCCAGGACCCAACTCACAAGGCTGCCGATCTGATCGTCGCCTTTCACTGAAGGGTAAATTGGCGCCGCACTTGGCACTACTCCTCCGCTTTGGTTAGAATAGGCTTGATATTGAATCGTGGTGGGCGTCGGTCAAGCTGAAGACATTTGTTATACAAGCCACTGCAGTGACCAGCGACAAAAGCAGAACTACAAGTGATGAGCGACTTGAATTTCAATCTACATCCATAATATAAGCCGGTCCTCCTCCAAGCCGTCCATTCATATCCGGTCCTCCTCCATAGGAAAATCCAGGTGGAGTCGGTCCTCCTGGTCCTCCTAGACCATTTCCGGCACCTCCAGGTCTGCCCATACTAGGTCTCTCAGGAACAGGAGGAGGCAAGAAAGGCGATCTTCTTAGAGCTTTCCCGAATCCATCTTCCTGGGACTCATCTTGGAACTGTTTCCCACTTATGGAAAGACCAGGAACCTCTCCAAGAAATGCGTCAGCCTTTAGAAGATGGACGATTAGGATGATCCTTAATGATCGTGGTCCTTGATGCTTGGCAAATTCTTGTTCTCCGAAATTCTGGAGGAAATCGACCAGAGTGTACTGAGCGCCTTCGCAAGACACCACGACGTCTGAACCAAAAGCGCGCGCGTCGAAAACCAAACTACCGAACAAATACCTGCATGTGCCATCTGGAGTCTCGCTCAGGCGTTTCATTGGTGGAAGCCGGTCGCTCCCTCTGAGCCGAAGAATATCCTGCACTTTGGCGTCGGAAGTGTTAGAGGTTGATACGCCGAATAGCAAATAGCCTACTGAGTCGTACGCGATAGAAGGTGAGAAGTTTCTTACGAAGTCGAAGGTGCCATTAAACTCTGAGATCACTTGAGGCCATAATGCTGCTCTGCACGACTCGGCTCTGGATCAGGCCCTGCATTTCTTGTAACTGCCGGTCCAGACGTTCTGATTTAATAAAATGTAAATGTTGTTGCATGGGATAATCCTAAGAGTGTGGAGGTGAAAACTAACTGGTTGTTTTACTTAGTGCTTTGAGCGTAATAAAGTGTAAATGTTACAGTACTAGATGGATTAGAGTGAGTTCGAAGAAGAAAAGAAATGAAGGTGTTGAAGACGAAAAAGAAAAAATGAAAAGCCCTCAAATCTATTGTACGAGCACTCTCCCGATGGAATGTCACGTCATGGCGCAGTCTCGCCAACTCGTCATCTTTCATGGAAAGAAGGTGTTGCATTTGCTCTTCCTTTACCTTGCGCTCGTGCTCGCCCTCTCCCGGTCTCACCGTAGGTATCTCTATGTAGACTTCGCGGTCTACATATTCAACTCGGTCAACCTTCTCGCTCTGCTCAATCAACCGCCGCTTCAAATCGACCGTTTCCGTTTGCAGGGAGTTGAGTTGGGACAGCAGTTCGCGGATTTTTCCTGAGGGAGGGTTGCGCTTTGGATTTGGACGATTTGGTTTATTTGGGATTAGTACGGGCCGATACACTACCACTACTCCTATTTCATAAGCCCTCCTACCACAGTACAACAGTACGTGTACTTCAATCACTCTCTTCTTCAATTTATTTTCGGAACAACCAGATTTATAATTTAAGGAAGTACCTGAATCCTCACTCTCCACTACGGTAGGCACAATTTGCGGTGGCGCCGCCTCAAGTCTTTCGCATTTTGCTTTCCAGTCAGCAACCTCCCGATCCTTCGCCAATATTAAAGGTTGAAGCAATTCATTTCTTGCCTCCATTTTCTCACCTTCTTGAGGTGGAAACACTGAAAAATGACTTCTAGAAATGAAATGTTTCAACCCATAACAATATCTCGTGTTCTAGATCGCGGCACTTCATGATCAGAACTGTGATTTTATCAACATTCTCCACTTCTACTGTCTTCACGTCAACCGTAGGTACTTCCACAAACTTCTCCTGCACAACGGTCTCTACGCGGACCGGCTGAAGACGCAAAAAAACGATCTCCTCACGCAAACGGAGGACATCTTCTTGCTGGGCTTTGATAACCTGACGAAGTTTATCGACGTGCCCAGAACCATCGTCAGCGGACAGTATCGCGTCGATGCTCTTGGACTGCTGGGCGGAAGCAGTAGGAGAAGGATTAGAGATGGTAGACACACGGGATAGACGAGCTTCTAAGTAATGTAGTCAAGTTATGCCTTTGTTGAGACCTATGTATTGAGTTCAACAGGAGTACTAGAGTAGGAGTAAGTACATCAACATCTTTCTTGTAAACGAACTAAAGTCATCATGATACAAAATCAGAAATCCTTGCTAACTAATCCATTCATATTAACTCCCTGTTTCGCTTCTTGCAGGTCCTTCGCTAACCCTTCGCATTCGTCCGTCTTCGCTTTGAGCTCCCGCCGTAACTGTGCTACATCCGATGCTTCTGTTGATGATGTCTTCTGTTCTCCAGCCACTTTCCTTAATTCCTCTGTCGACGCGCGTAATGCCAACAGCTCCCTTTCGAGCAGTTTCGCTTTCTTGGCTTCTCTATCGCGGTCTTGAGAGACACCCTCGTTTGCGGCAGTCAGTTTGGCTACGAGATCATCCAGTGAGCGGAGACGCGCACCCGTGGCGTCGTCACCTGGTGCCTCCTTGGGCATGTCGGAGGCTGAAGGGTCCATGTTGGTTTATGGTTTTATGTTTCACCGTTTTTAGGAAGAGATGATCACTGCTGTTGCTGTTCTTTTTCTCACAGCTTTGTTGGGTTCACTTTTTGCTTGTCCTTTTTGCGACCATATGGCTGCCACGCCTGCGTTTTTGCTTTTTCACCATAGCATGCAAGTTGGCTTAGCATTTCAGTTTTTACGGCTTCAGTCACGGACATAACTTCCACCTCTTATGGGCTCCGCCCCTGTTGTCCACCTTATTACGTATTCGATTGTTTTCAGAAAACTTTCATTTTCTTTCAATCCGTTCAACATACTTAAAGCTTTTCATTCTCCTCGTCCTCTAGAATTGCACGTGCACATTCAACCAGTATTGCCGCAGAAATAAAGCTCATCTCTTCCTTGTGCCAAATTATTGTAACCCCTAACCTGTCCCTACGCAGTAACGGGGAAAGAACTGAGATCTTATTTTACAACGAGTCAGTGATGTGGTCTGATCTAGCTGCTTATATCCAACACTACGTATCATCTATTGATTTTGGCTTGTTGTTTCAAAAGAACTGATTGATTTAAGTGAGAATGAGAAAGGTTATCACAAAACTATCTAGCCAACACGAGTAAATCAAAACTATCTTCATGCGTGTCGTGCTCGTGATGCATATTCGGTCTCGGAAAAACAAACGATAGGGTAAAAGAAGTTGTCCGTCGAAGTCCCTGATCTTGCGTTCTTGGGGAGCACGTTCCCGTCGCAGGCCAGAGCATGATAAGTAATGACAATGAGACACGAATACTATATTTTTATAATTTACGTGCTTACGGAAAAAGGACTGGAGCTTACAATGACTTTTGATACAAGAATCTAATCAACAAGGCTGTACAACAGAGGAACAAACAAGGAGTAATTTCTTTGCTTTGGTAAAAATGTTTAGTGACTTTTCAAATTGAGAAACTGAACATATCAACAATAACAAGTGACTCGATACGCTATGATCTAATAAGACTGCACAGGATCATAGTAGCAATAAGACTGTCCCAGTGGAATCACACTTCTCAACTCATCTCTCCCTTCCCGAGTTCAACACCCTCTAACAGTGGGTTAGCGTTGAAATTCACAATAGGCTCGTCGACGCCTTTGGGCTGCAAGTGGGTAAGGGGTATATGCGTCGGATGATTTGGGCTCTGACCATCTCCTAAAGAGGCTCCATTTGAAGCCGCGCCTCCTGCTTTCTCGGCGTCCTCTTCCTCATAGTTCATGTTGTAGAAGGTGTCTTGCAATGTGCGCAGCTCCTCTGGCCAGACTAGGGGTTAGAGCAGAGTTGTAAGTAGAGGGGACAAGAGGTGTGAGCAGAGGTGTAAGACTAGAGGTTAGAGCAGAGTTGTAAGTAGAGAAGTTTTTGGATTTGATTGTCGTACTTCATGATACGATTACGATTGTTCTGATCAATTATAGTAAATCCAAAATAAGCCGCAAGCTAAATAGTAAAACCAAAATAATTATACTTCATGATACGATTGGTCTGACCATAATCCAAAATAAGCCGCAAAGACTGCTGCAAAACCAACCCCTTGAAAGTCTGCAAATACGTTATTGCCGCCTCTACAACAGGCTTTTTCACTGCCTCCGAGACCCGCTCATGCAGATTCCCTACTTTCGTCAGTAGGTCTACGACTAAAGCGTTCCTCCATTTCAAAGGCTCTTTGAGGATGTAGGACAGGCCGATTTTCGTCAGTCCTTCCATGAACTCGTAAATGCCGTCTTCAGCGGCAAACCGCGCCACTAATTTGAGAAAAGGAATACTAGCAGCTCTCGCAAAATAGGGGTTCTGGAAACAGGCTTGGCCAAGGACCTCTAAAAAGCGACGGCCGTAGGTGACGCCTAACCTGTGTTGAGTGGAGAGTCAGTGTCAGTGGCTGGCAAGGAAAATGTGGTAACAGAAAAGCGGGTATTTAAACGGAGTTCGTGCAGCACGATCGCATCATCAGAAATGTTGTCAGCACAACCAGTACTCACACATTTTTGTCATTTCATTATCATCCAGAAGCAGTTGTACCTCTCATGCCCCGAGAGCGCCATAATGAGGTCTAAGTCTGCTATTGACAGCGTCTGGAGCAGCTCTAGCTGCTTCAGAAGCAATTCTGCTAGGACACCGACTGGCACATCAGGATGAGCAAGGAAACGAATAAGCAGTTTCAGGGCGAAAGTCCTTATTCCGTCGGTTTTTGGGGATCTGGGTGGGTATAAAGAGATGCTGTCCAAAACCATCCATATCACTTGAAGAAAGCGCTGAGAGGATCATTGCTGTTTTGCTTATCGTTCATGACTGAATGACAACTAAGATCCAACCACCAAAACCAATTCATTTCATCAGAAGTAATACTCTTTATCAGCTCGGTTGTGAAAGAGCATCCCTCGTTCCATAAACGCGCAACATATAGTTCGATAAGCCGCACTCGTGAACCGCAAGATCTGGCCCTCGAAAAATCGCTCCACTAGGAAAAAGAGACAGGACCACGCTCTGAGAGTGTTGAGGAAATGATATAGATATTTCTGAGGTGCTTAGACACGATAAGCATAACCAGGCAGTGATCAGAGGAGTAATTGTAATGTCTACATTTTTTGTGAAGTGCGATGGACAGCACGACAGGCGCTTCTACAAGAGGACGAACGCAACTATTCGAAAAACTGAAATAACCGAGTACCTACTTGGCAAACTAAGCGAGGTACTGAAAAATGAAGAGGAACGTAGTCAAGACTCTCTTATTTCAGTGAGTAGCTCGCTTATTTTGAGTTTTCAAATATACCTGTAAGTATCTTCCGTCGCTGGGAGCTCTAGAGCAAAGGCGCGCAGCTTCTCTAAGACGCTTGTACACGCATCGTCCACAGACATTGGTGATAACGGCCGATCGTGGTAACACAGGACCTGTGGGAGCGTTAGGCACATGATAAATCATTTCTTTGTCATGATTGGTAATCATTTCTAGGATCATGCGTCTGCGACCAGAAAATTACGAGTCAGACTACCAATTCCGCCGCGAAGCACAGTCCATGCATATCGTCGTCCGCAAGGGTAATCTGCAACAATGGGCCTAAAGCTCCTTGCCAGTATATACTTTCGACGGCGTCAGTCCGTCTAAGCGCTTGCCTGCCATACTTATACAGCAACTCCGGTTCCGCTACTTCAGGCAAGAAACGGGATAGGAAGTCTACCTGGTGGTCCTCGATGTAGCAAATTTATGGTTACATATGGAAAGAGATTTCGAATCACGAATTTTAGAAGCTTCTTTAGAATTCTGGAATCGGTACGATGCCCACATCAGCAGTCCGAAAGATTCTTTAGAATTAATTTGACTTTTGCAATGCATTAATGAATACGCTGCAAAAAAAGATAACTTCTTAGACTTACCTGAGCATCCCTTGAGCAGAAATACAAGAAGTCGACTATGCTTTCCAGAGGGATATCTGTTGGTGTCCGTGTGCCTCCTGAATAACCATAGCCTGCGCGTCTCCCAGAAGTAGACCCAAATTCCTTCCGCACAGCATCTTCATACGCAGATAATGCTCCTACTAACCGCTTACTCGACGCATTCTGTCTCAACTTAGGCGCTGAGGCTGCATCGCCACCAGCACCCGAAGCATCGGGGTCGTCCCGGTCGGCTTGTTCCCCAGTGAATGGTTTGGCGCAGCCGCTAGAACATTAGAAGAACCAGGTTCACCAGGAAAAGATGGAATCAACACCGCGCTGCAGATTTTTTTTGAGATCAAATACACGTAGCACTCTGAAACTGAATGAGTATGAGTTTCTTGCCCTTTGTTTTTGTACCTAGCAAAACCTAAGTACTTATATATTAAAGCCACATTCGTAACTATCACCACCCCCCTCTTGTCGCACAGGAGAGCTGTCGTCCTCGCCTCTCAGCATCCTAGACGGGCTCGAGACTCGTTCTGATCGTCCTTCTGCCTCTACCAAAGGACCAGCGCCACCTGCAGGTGCGGGGTGTGTACTACCATACTCACCGCGAAGTGGGTCAGCACTAGAAGTTGCGCCACCGGGTCCTGCCTGTAGGAAAGGGTCGTCTCGGGAGGGTATGAAAGGGAGGGTGGGATGAAAGAGGGAGGGAAAGTGGGTAGAGACATTCAAGGCCTTATTGAGTTTGAGCCGAGGGGTATGGCCATTTTGATCATGGTGATCATGAATTTGTATTTGACGTTCAACTTCAAGTATTACAACGAATCCCCTTTTCATAAAGCCCGGCTTCGCCCCTCGCAGCAAGACAACTAGATCCGTCAATGCTCTTGTTTGCACTAACCATGCAAACACATCTGCTTGCGCTTTCCTGGTTATGGTCGTTTTTTCGGACACTAGAATCTTGTGGAAGAGTTGGAGTGCTAGATCTGCACAGCCTGTAGTCAGTAACTGGCCGAAGAACAAGCAGAAAGGTGCAAAATCTGCTTCCGTGAGGTGTATATGCGCTGACAGCTTCAAAAGGTCACAGAGCCACAGTCGTAGACCCATTCCAAGAGATTGCATGGGTTGCACTATCATGTCTGTAGAGGGGCATTCGGCTTCGAGAACGACGTCGTAAAGAAGGGTGCGGTAGACCTGAGGGACGATATTTGATCATGTTGGGCTGCACGGTGAGAAAGTTTAAAGTGGTCTAGGAATCAATTTATTCGGTCATCAAGAACTTCCCAAGAATCAAGTGTCGTACCCCATCCGTCCCAGGTGGCTGCCCAGCTGGCACGGAACTAGAGGGTTTCAGAAGCAGCGCCACTGCTTCTTGCGGTAGTATTTGCAACACGTCTACAAGTGTCACACAGACTAGCTCGTCCCATGAGGAGGTTTTCGATGCGTCTTGTGGTTGTGGCAGCTTCTCTAGCCTCCTCAATAACGCTAGCATTTGTTGGTCAACTCGCTCCGCGGGTGTGTCTTCTAGTTCCGACAAAGCTGGTGTTTCATAAGGCTGGTCTATCAGCGTGACGTCATCGTAAGCGGAAGGAAGTTGTTGTTGTTCTAGTGCTTGACCGGCAGTGCTAGATGAGGAACCGCCTTGCTCGATGAGTGGGATGCCGTCTTTTATGGGGTATTAGAAGTAGTAGAGATACTCTTAATCTTAAGTCGGAGGTTTGTGTTAGGCTTTGCAGTGGAGAAACATAATTACTAGCCACCTGCTAGGTGGATCGAGAATCTTAATGAGTAGAAATTACATCCCAAAAATGATTTCAATTTCATAATTCCTGTCATCTGATACGAATGGCAAATCTAGCATCTGCTCCATCTGCCTATCGTCGCCAAGCGTCAGTCCCGCATATCTAAGTTCCTCGTCTGGAGCAAGGGGTGTCGTGCCCTGCGTGCCCACTAGGTCATCTACCGTAGCACTCTCTTCTACGAAACTAGGGGCTCCGCGTGGTGTGATCGGTGCACTTCTTGCATCCGCTTGTGGTTGTGCTGGTCCTTTGCTCTTGCCGTATTTACCACTCTTATCACCCTTGATCTTGCCTTTTTTGGAGAGTACACCGCTTTTATCGCCTTCTGATGGTTGTAATAAAGCTGCACCTCCTTTCGCTTTGTCACCCTTCGGAGCCTTCCCGAATTTCACGCCACTCGCTAGTCCTAGCGCGACTCTATCACCGGCAGCTGCAGCAAGGACTGGAGAACTCGGCGCCGATCCCTTCATGCCAAATTTACTTCCTCCATCCTTCCCACCTTTTCCTATACTTCTCTTTCCTTCCTTGCCTGGTAATCCTTTTACACCCTTTCCTTTGTCTGCTCCAGCTGAAGGCTTGCCGTCTTCACTTCTAGGTGTCCCAACGACTTGTTTTCCAGCACCTTTTATGCTACCTTTCCCTAGTACAGGTGGCGAGACAGCTCCCTTGCCAGGCGCGCTAGCATCTTCTAGTGTGCCTCTTTTCTTCCCTTTGCCACTCTTTGCCTTACCGACTTCGCCGTTATCTAATGGTGCTACTACTAAACTACTGGTCGTCACACCATCACCACCTTGTAAAGGCTCACTAGACCCTTTCCCTTTAGTACTTCCTTTTGTTGGCTTTGCACCCTTGCCCTTTCCCTTGGTCTCTTTTGAAGTCGATCTAGAAGGCGATGCCGGATCGTCTCCTTCGGTCACAGCGGCTAGTCCGCCTTTCTTCTTGCCTTTTGCATTAGAAGTGTGGGGGGCAGTTGTAAATTCGTTATTTACTACATCTGGCCTTGATGGCTAAATGTCTCATATTTATAACGACGACTGGCAGCCTTAATTGCACTCCCTCCCACGAGGCCCTCCTTACCCTGCTTTCCGCCATCTTTACTCCCTTTTGTCTTGCCTTTTGCCGGCTTTCCTCCTGTCGAAACATCGCCTGCTCGAGGACTCAGCGATGAGCTCAGCTGAGAGTCATGGCTCTGCGATCTGTCATTCACCACTTTCCCGCCACCTTTCGATCCTTTTGGTCCTTTGCCAGGGATAATTGAGGATGACGAAGCCGGACCACTAGATTTTGATGCTTTCTCTCCGCCTTTTACTATTCCGAAAGTGCTGCTAGATGATGCAGATTTTCCAGTGATTTGATCTGGTGTAACCACTACTACTGATTTCGTTCCTTTTTTCTCACCTGGTCCAACTGGTTTCCCAACAGCTCCCTTATTCTCGAGCTGCCCTTTAGTACTGCCGCCTTTACTAGGTGAGGAAGACCCTCCGCCTTTACCTGGATCCCCTTTCGGCGGAGCAGGAGACTTCGCTCCTTTGCCTGGCCCGCCCATAATTTCGTCCAGCGGGTCTCGCTTCTACACAAGTCGGGCTAGAGGATACATGATGTACGGGCTTTTCACGGCCTGCAGCAGTAGAAGCTGTAGTTGCTTACTCTTGTTCAGCTTTCGCGGCGTCGCTTATCGATATCGTCTGTCTGCGTTCGACTATCGTTGAATGATGCTATTCGAAGTCGTATTGTCATGCGCAAATGCAGCGGGCGCTGTTAGTTCAGGAGCGATGCATTTGAAATATTAGCTCTGAATCACTTACTGACTTTTATGTCAATTACATACAATTTTTCTTCGATTTTCGGCGCGCATCCAATAATGTAGTTTTTCAGCTTCTTTTTTCGCAGCGCCTGCTAAGTGGTAGACAAAACAAATTTAATAGAATGAGCAAATCTGAAAAGGAAAAGGTTTTCAGGTGGTTACAGCTGTACTAGTACTAGTGAAAACAACTACATGCTCGACAGAATCAAACCAAGCCGACCGATGCCCTTGAGACGTTATATTTATATAAACAATTTTTGTTCTGGGGCGCAAACAGACTTCGGGCTGACAGTGCATCATCTGCATGGGTGACCTGCAAGAACAATAAGAAGGTGAAGTAAGTCAACAGATGGAAGCATAAACCGAAAAATCTGAGAGTAACACAAGACATATCCTTCAAAAAATAGAAATGAACCTCCTCACCTCTGTTGCCCTCGCGCTCTCTCTCGCTCTCGCAGCTCTCTCCTCACGAAGATTGAAAAGTGATGGGGCATCAATAGACACAGAAAATGTCAGTGTTTGAGGAAATTTGCAGAGCAGTAGTACAATTGCTCAAAGTCGCCATTCTGTACGCTTCCTCTTCTTGATTTCCTTTTCATTTTATGCAATAATCTCCCCACTAAGGAGAACTTTAACATTTCAAATTCATCTATCAGGAACTCTTGCAGGCATCATGATTGTCCCTGTCCTGTGCATCGTCCCTGAACTGTGCACTTGTCCCATATTCCCAGAATTGCCTCCAAAAGCTCCGCCACCCCCAGAGCCACCTCCTGTAACTGCTAAAAAGCCAGCACCGTTCAATCCCGTACGTTGCAATGGTCGAGGATTAGAAGGCACTGCTAGAAGACATTCACAGCAGTCGGTAGCTGCAAGAACAGTTCTTGGACAAATCCCATATCCAGTCAAAGCCATAACATCACCACTCCCCATTCCAAATCCTCCACCGCCATTCCCATTCCCAGTATTGTTGTAGTTCGTTTGAATGGGATGCGAGGCCCAAAACGCTACACCCCCGAGGTCTTGTGTCCGCGAAACAGCCTGTTGGACCCATTCTGCTGCGTGCCTTTTCGAAGCTCGCGTCGTAGCAGACGTTTTGTTGATTCCAGCTGTGCTTTTGCTTTTCTTCATTCTCAGGGTTAGAGATAGTGCGTGGAGAGCAGGCCTTGGCTAAGTACTTCGCTAACGCTATCTAACTTACTATCTCTGTGATCTTCTACATCTAGTTCATTGGAACTCGAATAATATGGATGAAAGACTTCCTCTTACATTTCAGCTCATCATAACATCATGTTCACCGTTGCCGTGCTGCCTGGTGCAAAATAGTTCGAGCTAGTGCGTTTCATTGCGTTTCTCGGAGATGGCATACCGAAAAAACTGCTTTGATTAGTCATATTCATTGGATTATTTATCGCGGTCGACAAAGTATCGGGTGCATGTGTATCGCCATTCAGAGACCGAGATTTGTTGAATCCAGTAGCTCGAAGAGGCGACTGTGAAAGAGCACGCGCAGCTTGGTTGATACCGTTGGTTCCCATGGTGGTGCCGTGTAGGAGACCTGAAAAATGAAAAACAATGACAATGAGGGAGCAAGGATGGAATGAAAAGACATAATCGTCTTGCAGATTCTATAATAAATACATATGGAAGGGAAAAAAGGAATTCATCCACGTTATTTAGTTCACTCCAGTAGTACCACGAGCCGAAAGTGCGTCCTCGAACTGCCCCGTGTCTGGTGAAATTGATTGGTTGCTTCTGCTTTTTTCAGGACCTTGCTTTCTACCTCTATTTCGCGCACCAGTGGTTGTTGAAGAGGTCGAGTCGACCTTTCCCCTCACGGCATTATCATTTGCTGGCCGTTCTGGTTGTAAATTACCAGCACCGAAATTTTCAGTGATTTCCACTTTTGCATCTTGTTTACCTCGTGCCTTGTTCTTCGGTGGTGATCGAGAGGGTTCATTCTCACGCGACGAAGGTCCAAGAACTCGGCTACTTGTTGAAGATGACGAAGTCGTTTGATTTTCAGGTTGAGGTGGATCTGCCAGAACAGAAGGCGTCTGAGTACCATTCAGCTTCCCATTCAAGGCGTCCTCAACCGATGCTAGTCCTCCACCTCCTGTACCTCCATTCATCCCATCAAGAACATCCTGCTCCCTTGTGGCCATATTTCTAGTAGAAGAAAGTAGAAAACTACTTGACGTTGTAGCAGCGAACCGTTTTCGTGGTAGGAGAGGAGAGTGAGCAATTTTTCGAGGCTGTGGTGACATTGAACATGATCCTGAAGAGGCTCCGGCACCAGTTATCGAAGATTCCAGCACTCCGTAATAGGTTGCTAGAGTTAGATGAACATGAGGATGAGTACATCGAATTTTAATGAATATAAGTGAAAGTGTCAGGCGTGCGAGTACATCACCTACAATTTTGTACATTATTAAATAAAGCATTGCAGCTTATGATATGAGAGACGAGTTGCGGGCTTCTATTTCGTAATGTATTCCCTCGTTTATTTTTCGGTATAGACCAACTCCGCGCTCGATCGCTTTCCCTGGCACGTTGGCAGATTTTTTCATGGTACTCGATCCGATCTGGCCTAAAAGTCCGCCCACAATGCGTACAGGGCACCAAATCTTGCTCCGTAATCGCTGCTTCTGCTTCGTTCTCTTCCACGAGGTTTAGATGAATGATGCCTTTTGTAAAAGGCCCCCCGTCGTAGCATCCTCGCAGCTCATCCTCTGAGGTATTCTTCTAAGTACTGCCTTTGGTAGATACTACTCAAGAGGATCTTTTCCACAATCCTAGCCTTAATGTTCCCATATTATCGCCAGGCGTCGCTTCCCCTCCAGCGTAGTAATCCACGTTCGCCGGCTTGAAGAATCTCAACGATCTCGTGTTCGTGTTAGACCAGAAGCATTGTGAAGTACTAGCCTCATAATTTTACTGGTGCATCGTCTAGAAGTAGAAATGCGTTGTTTAAAGGGATAAGCCTAAGCATATAGGGAAAGCTAACCGGTTGCTTTACTTTAGGATAAGCCTAAGGCTAAGCATTGTTACAAGACCCAAAACCTTAACTCCTCTGACTCCACCACCATCTCCTTCTCCTCCAGTCTTCCTAAATTGATCCACACCAGGTGAGATAGGCGAAGGAGCGACTCCTGTAGTAGTGAGTGCAGTGATGGTCTCCACGTCGACGAAATTCTTCTTATTAGAACTTACTTCTAAATCGGAGGACCCAACCTATCTTGATGGGATTCATCTTGGTCCCCGTCTTCCCTTTAAAAACAGGACCAAGCAAGATGCGGGGGAAGACGATGGATTTCTTACGTGCCCCGTACGCGGGCCCGACCACCTCTTAGCCTTAATCTTAGCACAGCTCTTGGCGTGGAAGCGAAAGCTATGTTCCGAAAACTCCAATCCGCAAAGACTACATCGCACCGCTCCCCTACGCTCAGGCGCACGAAGCGCACCCGCACCAGGACCACTACTAGGAGGTCCTGGATGTGAGGAGAGCTTGGTCGGGACTCTCTGCGAAAGAGTTAACATCTTCTTTCTATTAAGCAAAAAAAAAGCAAAGAAGCAACATCTCACGCCTTTTTGCTTGTTCCAGTGTTGTTGTTCCGATAAAATTTTACAAGCAACATCATCCATCCAAAAAAAATAAGGTTTTATCCTGCAATGAATACAATCTAGGCCGGACGGAACAGTTGCAGGTTGAGTCTCTACAAAAGCAATGACGTACTAGCATTCCTGATTCTTTGGGTATCAGTTTCCCATAATCCCTGGTCGTTTCCACGATGCGCCATAGTTGCATCAAGCTGTTGCTATTCTGGTAGAATCAATGTAAGAAGAAGAACTTGGGAGTACGTAGGCGTAGTAAAGCTTGAAGTATAATTATCCATTCTACACTCAACCTCAGCACAAAAAGAGTTCAGAATTATCGTAATTCTAGGAATCAATAGTCACAAGAACGAATGGATGGATGAAGAACTAATCAGGTTTCCGAAACCACTGTCATCGTATCTGGTGAATCAACCAAGGATGGTTGGACAGCTACAACCATCCTTGAGTACCTCCAGCACGAAGTCAAATTCTTGAAATATACATCAACAGGAATCAATTTTCATCTTCTATCACAAACACAAACTCTCATCATCGATAAATATGCGACCGCTTCATTATGCCCAAACAAACAAGCACAAGGTCAGCACTGTCACTTCTACTACGAAGAAGAACTCGCTTCATCTTCTGACTCTTCTTCCGCTTTGCTTCTACAAAACATGACGTACCCGACTATCCCTAGCACAAACCCCGCTGGCCCTGTAAGATAGCTCCAAATTGTGCTTTTACCTGCAGCTGGATCTGGGGCACCTTGGTAGAAGATTTTAGAAGGGCTTGGGTTGTAGATTTTAGAAGTTGTAGCTCGTCTTACGCTTAGGCTTACCTGTTAATGCTGTTACTTATACTTAAACATATTTATCTTACGCAGCTTACCTGTTATTCATGTTGTGACTTACTTAAACATATTTACAATTACCAGGTGGAGGCTGGTTCGCTCCCATCATTCCTCCTTGTTGGTATCCACCATTGTCGTATCCTTGCTGGCCTCCATACCCCGGTTGACCTCCCGGAGGCTGTCCATATCCTCCACCTTGCTGACCTCCATAGCATGGATTAGAACGTGGATTTGGTCGTACTGCATCAACATATTTCTTCGCCTTAAGTTGTGCACTAGTTTAGCTATTGAATAATTTCGAGGGGTGCCAGATCCGGGATCTGATGGATCGGATGGAACGGATGGACTTCCCACCATTTCAAGTGGGATCGGAAGAATCAGGGGGGTCCATCCGATCCATCCAAGTCCATCGTCCTACATCCGTTCTTTAAACTATTCAACAGGGGCGACTTCTGAAAACATTTAAGGGTATCTGATAAACTTCTGAAAACATTCTTAAATCAGATTAAGACTCTGTCTCAGATCATTCACTCAGGTCTTAGGGCAGAGTAGACCATCATCATAACTGGCGGAGGAGCACCTTGTTGTCCGTATCCACCCTGCCCCGCATCTTGTGCAGGTGGGACCATGCCACCTGTCACTGCACTACCTGCATTCTGTGCAGTGTTTCCAGCTTGATTCATCATCCCAGTTGGACTTGGAAACATCCCAAGTCCGCCTCCGGGAGAGGCGTCTGCAAAGGACGATATTGACGCTCTTGTTCCAAAGTAGTTGCTGTTGTGATAGCCTGCTCGTCTTCTCGCTGTTGACGGAAGCCTTGACGAAAATCCTGATGACTCGTCAAATTGGTGGAGACGATGAAGTACATTCTGTTGCCCGCCTGGTAAGGAACTCGCGGTTAGAAGATGCCGTCCTGGTCCTGGCGCTGTACTTGTGCTCACGAAATGTTGAAGATGTCCTCCTGGTGACGCACCCGTTGCACCTATCGCTAGAAATGATGTTCCTCCTGTCGATTGCGCATAGCCTTCGACCTTCTTCAAAGGTGCGCTGCTCGAAGATGCTCGACAAAAGCCCGCCAAGCTTGTCTCGAAATCTTCTGGAGGAACCTGAGATGTTAAGGTAACTACAAGCAGGAGTAAAGAGAACAGAAAGAAACAAGTACATGCCTTTTATATTAATTCGGTCGTTCATGATACTAAGTAGGTTTACATCAAAAAATAATTTGACTTTCACAACATGGATGTACCACGCCACTGCGAACGACGCCAGGGCTCGGACCCAGAGAGACGAGATGATGCTGCAGGTACATTCTCTGGTTAGATATGGAGGCGTGCTCTGTCCTCTAACGATAGAAGCTGCATAAGAGCAAATCACTATAATGTACAGAATGACTGTCTCACTACGAAGGACTAGAAGTCATACCAATAATCGGGCTGGGACGAATGGCTAGTGCTGCATCTTAAACGAATCTTTTTCTTGAGTACTACATACTAAGAGAATGCTCTAGTCTACATCAAACTGAACTCGACGTAACGAGAATCCCTAAGAGGTTAAGGCTACTTATACACATTAGGATACCCATAGAGCGACAAATGGTTTATAGGAGGAGGAGATGACTTCTAGGTGGTTCGGATAGGGTTGGATCACGAAATTTTTTGACCGAGGACGACACCTCTGAATACTAGTATCCTCCATCTCTCAGGAGAAACCGAAATTGTACTACATCGCATACGACACGACTCTCGACCGAAACGATAGAACGGGAAGGACTAGAAGGGAAGATAAAGATTATACCGATAGCGCGATAGTACTCACTTCGATGTTGCGATTCTTGTACCACCCAGATTATATTAGATTAGATTAGATTAGATTAGCTCCTGCCTCAGCCCTGCGCTTCAAGCACCGGATCGACAGAATTTTCCCTTTGAGGACGCTCTCGTGAGCCTACTGGCCGGCGGCTCCCTCTACATGCACTTGGTGTGCTCCTGATCCTACTAAAACCCACTCTTTCTGTCCTTTCGAACATTTTCTTGAACACGACCTCCCCGACAAAGACCTTTTTATCTATTATTGAATACCTGTTGCATCTGAAGATGTAGTTATGAGTAAGTACAAGGATCAATGGTTGTATTGGTTGCGTTCTAATCAATGGCAATGCGAATGTTGTCGTGGTTGTTTAGTCAACAGAAAATATGCACTCAGTCTCCTCAAAACTATCAAAATATCTCCCAAGGTACATCATGTTCGATTTTTCGTTGTTTGCTATGACGGTCTAATGACAATTCTTGTGATTCTCTACCACATCAGCAAGAAGAGACTCTTGGTTGGAGGACTTCAAATAAGATCTGGTTATGAGCATACTAGTCTAAGCACGTTCTTGGTGTTTCATCTATGTCTTCATGGTCGTGTGTTCCTGCTGAATATTTGCTCCTACAAAGATACCTACGCCTGCACGACGACAAAAGAAATAACAACTACAACTACAGCATGTAACACTGAGATGTACACACTTGTAGTTACACTTACTAGGCACGGTCATAGATACAGAAGCCGGAGCTTAACTAGGAAAACAAAAACCAAATAAAGTCGAAAAACGATGCCTACTGCCAACTACAGAGTAAGTTGTGATGGTTCATCCAAATGGATCCGCTCGTAGCTCGGCTTTCCTTTTCTGTACGTGTACAACATCCTTAAGACTTGTTCGTTACTTAGATCAAACTACCCTAGATCATAACGCGTAGAAAATTTCGACATTGATATATTCGAGGGAGAGTACCTCCTTGGCTAATTTTGTACTACTAGAGAACATTCAGTTGGTTGATAAGAATCATTCTTCTTGGATAACCATACTGCTTCAGTCGATGTCGCCTACAACACCCCCACATGCTCTTCGTCGATGGAAGGTGACAAAATCAGTATTGCGAAGAAGCAAAAAGAACTAAGCCTGTGGCCTAAACCTAGGTGGACGTTATACTTCAAACTTGATCTAGTTCTTCCCAAAAAGATCTCGCCTGGATGTTTAACATTACATGACAATATGAGTGAGTAAAATGACTATGTGAGTGTATCTTCCTGAAAACGTGCACAACAAGCTTCAAATTCAATAGACAATCAACGACAAAATCATGTCAAGAAATCTTCATCAGTGAAGAACAAGATCAAATACAAGAATAAGGATCATCGTCTTGATTATGAAAGAAGAAGAACCCGCCAGAGATGGTAGAGTGGCAGCCTTTCCTCAGCAGAGGTGCCGAGGGTGCTGCTGCCGATCGAGTAGTATGTTGGTTCGTGGCGGTGAAATAGTATCTTCTAGGAAAAAGTGCCAACGTCGGTGATGCTTGACACTCTTCAATTCGCCCACCCTTCGTCACCTACTACTGTTACTTGCTGCTCCAAGGCGAATATTGTTGGTGTTGATATAATAAATTGAGGACATCGACGTCCTGATGTCTATGATGATCTATTTGAAATTTATTGCTTATTGTGTGGCCGACAAGAAGGAAGCTATTGCTCACTCAGACTAAATAAGTACATATGGTTCACGGGGTACTACATGTCATTGAAGAGCTTTTGCTATAAATATTTCGTTGAAGAAACAAATCTAATTTTAGAAAGAATACTAAAAAAAGAAAATACACTGCGAAGGCGCGGTAGAGCATTTGCGATTGGACTAGAGATTAACATACTATTGGCGTTGGGTTTTCTAATTATTCCGAATGTTAGAAATATTGCTAAAACAAGACTATGAGAAAGACTCATGAATAAAACTAATATGAGAAAGACTCACTACCTGAAAATACTGAAGCTGAATATCAGTACCAAACAATTGTTAGCTCTGGAGGACTATTCAAAAAATACTGTTTCTTGTGCGACGTTAGTAAGGATTGTAATAAACGAATTCGTTTGGAAAAGTTTACTCAGTAAGAACAATAGATAGTTCTCCCGCTAGTGCTGTTCGACACGATCATGAGTTTCTCTTTTTATTTGTGACATTGAGGTTAACATGGTAAGTAAACTGAGGATGAGAGATGTCGTGTACAACTTAATATTCAAATAATGATCGGCTATATTCCCTGGTGTAAACAATCTGAATCTAGTGAGGCGGTTGGTACATTCTCATTGTTCAAGATTAAGAATACAAGTAACTACTAACTATGGCTATCCTATGACTATGACTATCCATTCAGCTTCACAATTTGATCACCTCATCCTCTGAAGCAGCCACATAATCCGCCACCACCTGATTTCCCGATGTAGGTCTCTACTTCGACGACTTCCGTTACTACTTCTCCATTCTGCGTGGTCGCGAATTCGATCGAGTGCCTCTTGTTAGAGCTGCTCAAACATCATTTCTACTTGCTACGGCCAATGATTTTCTCAACATTTGGATCCTAGTAGCCATACAACTCAGGAAGATGCCGGTTGTTGGTATCTGGATCCTGTATCAGACCACATTGAGAAAATTAATCCTCTGCAAAATAAAATGAACAATGATGAATGTTGTTGTTGAGCCTTAATTTTTTCTTCGCTATCTATGGGTACACCATGTGAGTCGGCTCTTGGGCGAATCTTTTCTGGACTATCCTCCCCTCCATTGGAGATTCCACTAGCCCTCTTTGCTGGTGAGACATGCTTCAATATACTCCGTCTCGCTCCCCTATGCTCGCCTCCTGTGGTGAAGAAAGGTGTTGCAAATGGGAAATGATAATGTTATTGTTCTTGTTGGGAAATGCGGTCGTGGTGGAAGTGGTGGCAACAAATAATGTCAAGGCGAACGATAACAGATGAATTAATACTTGTTATTTGAAATTATTTCATGAAGGTATAAATATTAAAGATAAACTACATGAACGTTCATTATTTCCTCGAACAGCTCCACTAGCATCTTCTACAGGAGCATGTGATAAAGTCCTAGTACCTTCACTATCCCCTGTTGGTGCGACAGCCATAGTTGGCGCGCCGTTGGGGGCGTCGTCTACTGCCATCTTCACGTTATTCTATTGGGCCCTCCAACTTCCTGTTAAAAGTTGTTGACCTCAGGCTGTCGAGGAAAATGACTTATGATTATGTGCTACTTCTTATTCAAATAGTCTCAGTCAATGGAAATGCTGTCGTGCACAAAGAAAATATTACAGATGTAAACCAAATACGCCATACACCAATGATCCGAGTATGCAACCAATAACAACTACCGACTTATTGTTTTAGCACCTTTGGTTCGTTTGGTGGTCTCCTACACGAATATCTGAACCATGATATGCTCTCACTTTCACATTCTCTGTATCAAGTTAGTAGTAGTTGCATCAATAAATCGGGTGGAAGGCAAGAAAACATTTAAAAATTTTGCGGGAAGGTAGCCAAAATTCGACTTCCTGTAGGGAATGGAGGAGAGATTGAAAGGACTTTTTTAGCTTTCCATTTTTTGATGATTCTACGGGAATCATTATGCTCTCACAGTAATCTCGATATGCAGCGGACAGAGATTTCACGACCTCACAACTCCACCAGAAGAATGTTTTAGGTTTCATTGATCATGACAACAGACTTCTACTCACTCGTGCTCTTCACTCCACTCCGTCAGATTTTGCCTTGTATGTTAAGTCCCTCCTTGGCTCGTTCTTTACAGACCATATTCTTCGCATGCAGATCTGAGATCACACAACACGACACTACTTCTGATATGCACATGCTCGTACCTACTCATCTCATTTTCTCTGCTCCAGTCACACACACACTTATTCTTGTTTGTTCGTCACTCTTAACAGAGGTATTTGATACGAATCAACGGTCTGCTCAATTCGCTCTTGGAAGCTGTCGCTCACTCAGCCAAACTGAACACATGCTTCATTTAAAGATCCCTCATGCAAAACCAAAACTTCAGACGCGACCACTCACCAAAGAGACTGGCGAACGTAGTCGGAAGCACGTCGTTTTCCTCTCTTTCTTTAGCATTTTCAATTCGAGAAGGTCACAACAACCTTCAGCGTGCGTCGTCATATCTAAACATTACAGTCAGTTGCGAAGCGAATTATAGCTTTTGCGAAGTCAGTGTAAGCGCAATTAATGGTATTAAGATAACAGAAGCGTTGTAGATTTATGTTGCGATATTTTTTGATCCTTTCAAAAGTCGCTGTCGTAACACGACGCGAGAATATTTTTATGTTGCGGAACAATCATCAGGAGCAGGGGTTCTAGGTACTTAGCTCATCGGTATCGGCTCCCGTCGGGTTTTCCAGGCCAGCAACGAGCGGAGGTCGTTTTGGATATGAAAGGGGCAATGGGCGAGGAGAGATCCGTAAAAAAAGAACAACTACTGAATTGAAGTACATTCCCCAAGAGCAGAGAAGCTTTTGCTTGTACTCAAGTAACAACTTCTTACTACCCACGGGTAGTTGTTTCAAGTAGTATTCGAAGAATCTTTACACCTTTCTGTTACTGGTGGTACTAGTAAAAGTAACTAGTAGAAGTCTAACTACATTAAAGGAGGAACTGTGAAGTTAGTAAGTGTAGTTTGAAGTTTGTTATCAAGTTAGAAGTCTAGTAACTAGATTAAAGGAATAAATAACAATTTTGTTCTACTTGAGGCAACTTAGTAAACTTTAGCTGACTCAGGAAAGATAAATGCCATAATGAACCAAGTTCATGTATTGTCCGAACTGGGCCTTGCCCTTCGTCATTCCGAGTATCACTCTTGCTGCGTCGATCAAATCCCTGTCCTGGAGCTCGGTGACCAGCTTGAAATGCCTTTCCAACAAAGTAATAGCCTTTGGATCTTCCCCATACAGCAAGCCGAGGTTCAGACCTGGAGGGTCAGATTGTACAACTTGTGAGCTTCTTCTGAGAAGGTGAAGAAACATGAAACTAGAAATTCTTGTGAGTTTGTTGTTGTCAAATTCAACAGTGGAGAAAGAAAAGTATAATTGAATCAATTATACAACTTACTGTACTTATCGATGAAACAATGACATGATCAGCAAGAGTTGTAATACAAGCTTGCGCCTGTGCTTCTACTTCGCCGGCTTCTGCTGCAACCACTAGTAACCTTTCCAGTTGATTCATGGCCTCTTTAGTATGTCCCAGTGCTTCGTAAGCTTGGGCTAAGGCAGCTCTAGCATTGGCCTCTCCAGAGCGGTCCTTTTGTCTCTCACAGAACTCCAAATACTGTTTTTGCAGCCGGATTGACTCGTCGTATTCGCCATAGAGTATTTTGACCTGGGCGAGGGAGACAGAGAAAGATGGCATTGGAACGACTATGACAGAACACGAGGAGTTGATGTTGTTGAAGTTGGTTAACAGTGAATGACACACTTAAGTACTGTGGGGTCGAAAAGTAAGAGAACAAGAAGGATCAATCACTAGTATTCTTGTCAACAAAATTTAGTAACACGACAAATGCAATAAGAAAGTCTCATACCTTTCCAAGTTGATGGCAGTTTTGTCCTTCGAGTTTTGCGTCTTTGGCGAGTTTTGCGCAAGCCACACACTTCTCAAAGAGGTCACTCGCTGCTCGGATCTCCTCCAAACTTGGTGTTTTCGAAGCCAGATACTTCTCAGCTAGGATCTTGTAGACCGTACAAAGCTGAAATGCGCTCTTTATTTGCAATGGCAAGGTCTTTTCGGAGGCACTGGAGAGCTCTAAGGCTGTCTCGTGATACCCCATAGCTGCTTCCCAATTGAGGAGTTTTTCTTCGCACCTGATGGAAGGAGGAACATTTCAAAGGAGCTCATTGTAACACGAACACATATTAGGGGATATGTTGAAGTTAGTACTAAGAGGAAAGAAGTTCTTTCCATTTCATCTTGAAACTTCCAAATGTAAATCCTCTAAATTTACAAACAGGAGTACATTCCCATATTCAAATTGGCTTTCGCCAATGCGTCACTGGCACCAGCTTCTTGCGCCACCGCTATACACCTCTCGAAAAAGTACCGACTCGACTTAGTTTCCCCAATTTTATCAAAATATTCCGCCAAACCATTGTACCCATCAACTGCGGTATTGTAGTTCATCGCCTGGTGGTTGGAAAGGCGAAGGAGGGTTTTTGATGGTGATGTTTTAGCTTTAGATGGAGTAGATGAACAAGATCTTGTTCTTGTTCAGTTACTCAGAAGTTGTAGTCGACATCGTAGTCAGTCGTCAGTATCTGCAAATACATAAATTTCTACCCTCCTATTCGTCTCCGCCTTCTCCAGCGTGTCTTTGAGGTATACTATGTCGAGTTTTTTCGCGCCAGCCTTCTTCTCCCCGCCACCTGAAGATGTGGTGAAGCAAATTACTTATATGCAACAGATAGTATAATCTGGGTGTAAAGAAGTTGTCAGTCGTAGTCCCTGAAATGTTTCAAAGAATGTTGTCGACCAGAATGACGAGAATGCTCATTTGACTTGACGATGATGATCAAAACTCATCAAATGTTCATGTTGTTCAAACCACAGTTACTTCTAAATACCAACTGCCTCTGCTCCTGGTGCATTGTGCGTTATCTTCAGAAAATCCACGAAAGAATCGACGCATCCTTCAATCAGCAAGTCGATGCAGTAGCTCTTTTTGTCCTTCCTTTCTTCCACTACAGGTGCCGCATTTTCTTTTGAGGCCTTTGCATCAGTTGTTTCGACTCCTCCAGCAACGAATTTACCTGTGTAGTTGGAGAAAAAGGCGTACCGTCCACAATAGACGAATAGACCCATGATTCTACTTCTTCTGTTTCTACATCTCCTCAGAGATCAGATTTTCACCTGTCGCATCCAGCTGCGTTGGCGGCAACGAGCCTGTGGCTCGCAGCTTCACGCTCGTCTGATATCCGCTCGGAAGCTCCATCTTGTCGGGTGAAAGTGCCTAGTCTTCTTCAATGAGCGAGTCTACCTCCAGCAAAGGGATGATGATCTTGGGACGGGAAGACGGGTTTGACTCCGAAGTGCTGGTGATCTTCTTGGGAATGGAAGTCGTTGTAGTTGAGGCGTTGTTCTACTGATAACAATCACTGCGCAAACACTGGTGAAGCTTCGTTACCCGGCGACAGTCTTCGGCTGCACGAGCAAGAGTCGTCGTGAGAAGTTTGGTCTCAATTGGAGGATGGCATGGGTGTTGGATTTTTCCTGTACAGAGCGCAGTGCTGCGCTACCTCCCCTTTCACCAAGGGGAGGGTCTTTCGACTACTGTCATGACATCAACTTTGCCTCAATGCTATAGTACAGTTGGTTTTTTGACAAGTACAGATGCAAGAGTGAAGAAGAAAATGTGAGTGAGGACTAGTTCCGAGTTCACAATTGGGGTGCAAATCGGGTACTTTGGGGCCAGACCTGCTCAGATTCGCTTCCATTTCTCTTCCATAATGATCATGTGCTCTTCATGTCGAGGAGACCGATGGATTCTAGAGCAAAAAAAAACAACTACACCGATTCCGATAGCACTTCTATCTGAATGAGACTCGCGTCACCGATTTTTCGTAGCTTTCAGGCTTTTCCAAACGTATCACCACCTACAACACAAGGCAAATTATAAGTTTGTTATCCATGATTACTTGGCTCGGATCCTTGATTTTCAAAATTCGTGCGCATAAAAGTCTACATTGTTAGCGTTTCTTGAACTTTGTAATTGTAATCTCCGTGTTGAAGTCTGTAGTAAGAAACTGCGTTCAAGAAGTTGCAATTTATTAGGTGTATCCATCTTGTAACAGAGAAACGATACGATTTAGCGTCCATCACGTTTCTTCGAAAGTCTCTAGAAGTTGTACTTATCAAGAATACGGCCATAGGGTAAGTAGAAAACACTAGGCCATCCAACATCTTATTACCGGGTCGCTTATCTTCGCTATACGCTTCATATAAGTTGGTTGGTGGGACTATTGTAGCATTCGTTGGTGGGACTAGTATCCCCTTCATATATATATATAAGTCTAAACTATCATGCAATATTCATCGATTCAAAATGACTCAGGGAGGTGGGGTCCGTCTTCTAAGCGCTCAAAAGCAAAAACACTGACTCAGGTGTGTCTCTTCATCCTTCTAAGCACTCGGAATAGAGCGCCTTGCTGACCGTCTAGAGGGAGATGCACTTGGTCGCGGCCTTCGAGACGCGCTAGGTCTACGCGGTGATCCTCGAGGTGATGCGCTAGGTCTGCGCCCCCTACCTTTAGCGGTTGCAAGTTGACCAATCATTTCATAATTATCTAAAATCCCTTTCCCGTCCCCCCTTGAAAAGGTCCTTGAGAGCATTTAACTATTTGAGTGAACTTTTCAAGGGGGAAAGGGATTATAGATAATATGCGTGCCAGATCGGTCAACTTACAACGCATAACCACGGGTGATCCCCTGGGTGGAGGCGAACCACTGGGCCAAGGTCTAGATAATGGCCGCCTAGATGGAGATGCACTAGGCCTCGGTGGAGGCGCGCTCGCTCGGCGTCCTGCTCGTGCTCTGGAGTTTGCGCGCAGTACAATGCGACTTCTGCTCGATTCAGAGGGAGTTCGTGTCCGAATGACAGGTGGCACGTAATCGTCTTTTGACAATCATTAGATGAGACCAAGAAATTTGGTTCTGACATTATTTGATCCAGCCTCTGGTAGCTGCTCCCTCTTGAGGATTTTCAGGGCATCTGCTCTACTCTTCAAATTTATCAGCAAGTACAAGCAAGGACAACATCGTAGAAAAAGCATTTAGTATCATAATTGCTACGTTTCCTTGAGTTTTGTCTTCTCCGCTTTCGGGTATCGGCTTCTCGAGGACTATCATACGCCTTGCTACGTTTCACCTGCGTCAGAGAGTCAGCGGAAGTCTCTGCTAAACTCCTGCTGCTATTGCTCGTGGGAGTGCTGTTCTTAGCGATGAAGTGCTCGTACGAATTCGAATTCGATGTTCCTATGTTCCTATGGAAATAACGAACATTTGCTTCTCGAAGTACTGGGCGTACGAAAATGAGGACATGCTTCTACAACCTGAGCCAACGCTAACCTACATAGCACCGAAGCCATAACAAGTGGAAGGCCAAAAGCGTGATCATTTGCTTGTGGTGTCGGCAATCCGCGAGGTCGCTTGTTCCCAAAATTTTGCGATCCTAGGCTTAGACCTGTAATCATCAAGTCGTCACTTTTAACATTGCTTCTGTTGTACTTAATCACGAAGGATTCTTGTACTTCTTAGTTACACTAAGAAGGTTGTACGAGCTATTTTTACTAGGTTGTGTAGAGAGATTTTGAGTTCATGTAGAGTCGAGCGCAGTTCTTTAAGCAATAAGCAAGTGCGAGAAATGAAAAGAAAGAACGAAGGGCGATAAGATACGCATTTGCATTTCTATTTATAAGAAAAGGCCGCTGATTAGAAATAGGAAAGAAAAGAGCAAGAAAAAGGGAGAAGAAAATGAAGGCTATCCCAAGCCAGAGAGAGACCCACCAAGAAGCCGCCCAAACGAAGCCCAAAAGAGTCCAAAACTGACAAGGGAGCCAACCCAAGCCGGCAATGTAAGAAAGAGAGCCACCCGCCCCCTCAGCTATCTTCCTACATGACGACACTGCGCGCAAGCGTTCTAGATACTGGCCCGCGGTCTTGTTCGCGTACTACACCCCGCAGCCGATTGCGCTGGGCCACAGGTGAGAAACTGCGGCGGCTTGTCATTGGCTCCTTTGCGTTTGTTTCAGCCTTTAGCATGCTTCCGCATCATTTTCATGAACCTGGTGGAGCTTCGTTGGCTGTCGCCACACACTGTGCGTCGCGACTCTTCTCTTGACAGCACGCACGAAACAAAGAGGCCAGCCACCTCACTGCCGAAAAGCTGCCACGCACGCGAAGTCCTTCGCAATGCTTCCGCGCTTGTTTTGCCTACGTCTTGAAGATAGCAGCAGCCCGCCCCAGGTCTTGGCGCGAGGCCCCTTCTTCTAGCGAAAGGGACGCGCCTCCAGCCATACCCCCCCAAACAAGTGAAACAGCGGCGGCCGCAAGGAAGACGAATCGCACGCCCGTCGCCGATATTTGGAGCGCAGCCGCGAAGCCTTTCGACCCTTTTTCCAAGATGCCGGCACCATTTTCCTCTCGCGGCAGCTACAAGGTTACCAGCCGGCGCCGTGCCTGTCGTTCGAGGTGCCACACGACCCCGCCAGCGGCGCTTCCATCCGCCGACCCATACGCCGCCCCACCCGCGTCGCCACGCAGAACAGCCGTGCCCATTCGTCAAGCCTGGCACTTTTTTCGGGCGTCCTCGCTCGCTTTCAACGTCGAACGACTCTTCAATATTTATCCCACTCCCAGCGGGTGCGCCTACAGCTAAGTACGTAATTACAACTAACTCAATCAGGCAGAAGTACCGAAATGATCCCCGAGGCCAGGAGTGTTCGATGAATTGAGACCACCGCGATAGGAACCTAGACCACCTGTTCCACCGAAGGGGCCAAGAGCTGCCGCGCCAAAAGGTCCAAGGCCACCCGACGTGAGGCCGCCACTTCTCATATTAGAGAAAAGCAAAAGCTCTCGCTGATAAGAGCGTCATATTGGTCACAAAAGTGCATAAAATTTGAAAGGACCAGTATGACGACGTGAAAAATACTCCACACACCTATGATCAGTCACCTGTTCTGTATTAAGAGAAAGACCAAAGAACAACCACGAATAGCCTTCATAGCAAGTAGCTGCAAGCGCAGCAGGCCTCGATAGTACTCGTCCAAGGGTGACGTCGAAGCGCCGTTACGAGTAAGGAGGGACGAAGTGCCATCTGATTGCAATCCCAGCGGAGACATACAACTCGCGCCGCCTAGCAGGTTTATTAGAAGAGCTGCCACGGCCCTTGTAGTTATGTCCTTGGAGACAAAACGCCTCATGGCGTCTTACTTTCGCGGCCCCACAACTGCGCAAAACGAAGAAAGAGGAACATTAAGAACTCGTCAGAACAAAGGACTATAAATAATACACTTCTTTCAAATACAACTTCTTGAGCTCTACATGATTGCTACTGTAATCCTACATACACACCTTGGACTATAACATCTACAGCGGATCATTGAGGGACTGACCTAGGATACATGATGATGATAATGAAACAAAGCTAGACTATTGCTGCATGGGATCAACTTAGAATTTCAGAGGTGAAAACTAGCCGGTAGCTGTTTTACTTATAATGCTTTAAGCGTCGCGGGACCTAAAGCTAGACTATGCGCTGCACCACCGGACGGGAAGACCAGGCTGCGGAGATATTCTATCTCTGCTGCCTTACTTCGGGACTCTTCTTCGAGTCTGGAAAGTAGAAGGGCTCTATCTTCACGCGGCGCGTGCCCAAAGCTGCTTGACGTGGTAGAAATGTTAGACGAGTGTTTGAACGATTATCGGACAGAGTGTTTGGGTCTTGCATGTGAACTTTTGAAGATGGATGTTTCTTAGCGACGAGAAGGAGGGAAACTAAGCAGACCCTTTTAAGATTAAGGGCCAGGCGAAGCTCTCAGCATGATTCATTCGATGGCGTAAGCACCTCATTCGGTCTATCAAAGTGTCTAGAAGTTCAGTATCCTGTCACCGGAATCACAGTATCCTGACAACGTGGCCTTAAGCATTTGGTTAGTCCTGCCGCTGCCTCTCCCAGTATTCCTAGCCTGTTCCCGCGACCTTTCCCTCTTCGACTTCGACCGGTCCTTTGGAATTTTAGATAGGATCGACTTGAACATAGGATTAGGAGTTTGTCGTTATACTCTTACAAACCCTGTGGGTTTGGACTACTTTATCTAGCGACCCCTCATGGCCATGAACATGACTTAGGAAGTGTGTGTTTTCCTTGTTTGGCAAGTTCATTCAAAAAAATCCATTTTTTTTTGTGACACCTACAAATTCTGGAAGATTCAAATAAACTTACCAACTACAACTAGATGATCCCAAATAAGTAACTGGTAAGCGTGACAGAGGGGCCGGGAATTCCGAGCATGAGTCTACCTTTCTAATATTCGTAGGTTTCTAAATAAGAAACCGATTCAGGAGCTGCCTTAAAAGATGCACCACCTCCATGTCGTGAGGACTCAATTCTGCGCGGAGGACTGCGGGATCTGCCCTCCCTTGACCTAGGCCTATACTTGGTGCTCCCATGCTTTTTTGGTCCTCCCGTGTCACCACGCATGAAACAAACTAACATCCATTATCATTTTTTTTAGTGCCCTTTTCATGTCTCCTGGAGAAAGAGAAACTTGAGAATGATAAGAGATTTTGGCTTCATACCACGTCCTTTCCGAGAACTGGAACCATCTTGCAGACACGATTCAAGCAGCATTTGCCACGCTCGATTCCTTCCTTCTCCTCCGAAAAGATGCCCTTCCTCCTGGGAGAAGATGTACACGCAGGGCGAGCCCAGTCCTAGCCGCTCGGCTTCTTTCTTGCAAACTTAGAGACGTCGTGTATCTAAGTGGAAGCACGTTGTGATGTTGTCGTATAAGTGTAAGGGCGTGGAGGTTATGTAAGAAGTAGAGGACATCATAAACAAAAGCATGACAGGACTGTATTATTAATACAGGCGTTCTTCTGCAGCAGGAGTTCTCACAGATGACCAACCAAAAAATAAATTGAAATTACTGTGTTAAGTGTTAAATAGTTATCTAATTCTAAATGGCCTTAACACACCATTTCCGGTGGCTTCTCTTTTGATCCTTGTGCTCCATGTTGTTCCTCAGCACTGCTACAATTATTTCCATTCTTCTTCGACGATTTAGTTTTGGGATATCCGCGTATAATAAGACAACCCGAATTGCGTTCCACTTTCCGGCACAACGCATCTTCGATGTTTAATCCGTCAAGCACTAAAACGTCGTCATGACCTGCTGTGTGTTTTTTGACGAGTTTAGAAGAAGTACTTACTTCTTTTCAAGCATCACATGAAACAAAGTGTTGGACTCGGAACTTCATTCTTTATCGAAGCATGCTGTAAGAAACCAAGATAAACCAAGTTCAACTTGCCCCCTCAGACACTAAGACTACCATCCTTACAGCACTAATAGCACTATAGCACAAGTACCTTTGGTATCCACGTTCAAGAGTGTGCTTTCCCGTTCATCTGCGGCACAGGCTTTGATATACCAGTCTACATACCGCGAAGCTGCTTTTCGCTGTGCTCGTGAACCACCTAGCACAAGCTTGCGATCCGCAAAAAGATGATTTAGACGTTGATAAGGATTCTTTCCGTGAGAGGAATAAGACGAGCACGATGGAAAATTGGAACTTACCGGTTTAAGACAATCTGACAACAAGAAGGAAAAAGTGTAGCAGTTGTTCTACTTTTCAACCTAGCAGTTGTTCTACTTTTCAACCTAAACCTTTTGATGTACAACTTCTACGTACATACTTGCATAAGTAAGTATGGCCTCCTTAGTCCTTTTTTACAGTTTCGTTTCATAATTGGACTTCACATCCCGATGCAGCGCAAAGAACCTCAAGAGCTTTATAGTTCTTGAAAAATCTAGCCTTCTCTACAATGCGAACATTGCAGCCCCACTCGCTTTTGGCGCTGGTTTCAGTCTGCTCCTCGTCTTCTTGTCGTTTTAGAAATCTAACTACTCACCAAATGACGCGTCATCTGCGTTCATCAAAGAAGTGCTTCGTCCATCGATCTCTAAAGATCCGAACATAACTCTTGCGCTTCTTCAGCCTCTATATCAATAGAAGTGTCCCACTGATGTGAGTAAAAATCGGCAGAGATCCTGCTTTCTATAAATCCCTGCAACCGGAGACAGGCCCTGCGTCGCGCGGTCTCCGAGCCATACACTGCGACATGTGTCGGAGGAGCTGTGAGTGAACGAAGTAGAAGATAGAGTAGATGATATTGATGATGAAGTTCCATATATATTTATTATATCTAAGACTCTCCACGGAGTCGGAGTAGCCTTCCAAAGACAGCACTTAGACACACGCTGCAACATGCGGCATCAGCGAAGACCGAGGGAGGCAAGGCCTACGCCGCTCCCCCAGCGAAGAACGAAGGGGACAGCGGTGCACCCCCCCAGTTCAACAGAATGCCGCCGGCAACTTTCATCTGCGCCTTCCGTTGCCAGCACAAAGCGAAGAGGCCCCACGCCAGCCACATCGTGGCAGCCGCGGGCCTCATTGTTTAAGTTATTTTATATGAAGTGGCGAACACAGTGGCACCCTTAAAGCGCAATCGTTCTCATATCACGGCAGTAGCGTGGTTGCCTTTGTTTTATGCAATAGCCCAAATGGCCGGCCACTCATATCAGGATGAGAATCATGATTATGGTTTTTGCTCCTTGTTGTTGTCTTCTTGTGTGGTCATAGTAGTTGCTTAGTTTAGTAAGTTAGTCAGCCTATTAGTGTGATCATGATCCTAATGGTGGTAGTGGTTTGATCGTTGTGCTGTTCGTTGTTGATGATCATGATCCTAAAGGTGACTACGATCTTGATCACTATCCTAGTTGTGACCATGATCTTCATCACTATCCTCCTGGCGATCTAGTTGCTTTGTTCTTACGTTTGTACCCGGGATCTGGGCATTGACATCCCAGCAACCCAAGAAAAAAAAAAGTCAAAAAAAAACGAATCTGCATGCGGTTTACATATGCTAGATGAGATACAACTTCTAACCCGAATGCAAACTAGTGCTAGCTTTTTTCTTTTAAACAAGTCTTGCTCTACGTTCTTTCTGTTTTAACTTTCTTTGCTTGGGCCGTCTTTATTTCTTTTACTTTTACTGCCTTCTAGTTTCGCCTTCTTCACTTTAGTCGTCTTCTTTTCTTCACCCCGTCCCGTGCGCTTTAGCGTTCTTCTGAGCTCGACAAGAGGCCCGCGCCAGCTCTTTCCTCCTCTTTTTTGCTTGTCTTCTCGTGCTGTGCGCGTTTGGCTTTTGGTTCTGGTTCTTCATCTTCAGGAGAAGAATCAGAAGTAGAACTTTCCGAGGAAATGCTGCTGCGGCTGCTGTTGCTGTTGTCCTCTGGTTGTACACGCGCTGCGCTTCTCTTGTTAGGCGTGAGCGTGGCTTTCTTTTTCTCCTTCTCCTTGTGCTTTCTCTTCAGCGTAGCTCCGAGTTCCTGCGTGAGGTTTCGCGATTGTCAGACGCTGGGCCCGTGAAAAGCGATAAGACAAAGCTCGTCGGGCGTACTGTCGCGCAGACTGATGCTCGGGCATTGACAATTATCCTCACCGACCGACGCCACACACACAGCCCCAGATTAGATAGGTGGAAAATGGAAGCACTGCCGCAAGAGCTTGCGGACGCCTCGCCTCGCTCTGCTTCTTTTTGGCAACTCAGGCGCCTCAAGCCTGGCGGGCTGCTCGGCATTTAGGTGGCATCTGACATGCCTGCAGCAGCAAGCTTGTCGAAGGGGCGAACTCCCTGGCGCCCCAAAACAAAGCAGCCCCCTCATAAGTGTCTAACGCGCTAAGATCTACAGCAGAGCAGCTGGATCGCGTGCGCCATCGTGTTTCCTCTACGTGAATGAACAGACCTACCACACGCCTACAGCGGCCGCCATTAGTCTTGGCGCGCAAGGCGTTTCCAGATGGTTGCCCCCCTCCATTCGACCTGAAAGCCACACAAAACCACACGCATCCGCTCGCCCATAAGGCCCGCCAGTAGCCTGCCGTAGACTCAGGGCTGCGCGCTGCTCTTTCGTGGCGCCCGGCCGGCGCTCTACCGACCACGACACGACGGCCCCGCCCGTCCTCAGCTAGTTCACTGCATCCCGTGGGGCCATGCGCTGCGTGCCTGTGCTACCTCTGGGCGATGCTTCACGCGAACAGTTACAGACACCTGCGCGAGCGTCGCCGGCAACGAGCAGCCTACTGCCACCCGTGTCGCTGTGACCGACTCACATCACCAGCCCGAGGAGTAAAGCGCGCACGCTCCCGCGAGGGACCCCCGTCGCTAAAGCGTCCACACCGCCAAAAACAAAGCGAACGAAAACGGCGCCGCGCAGAACAACCAGCAAAGTGCCCCCGCAAGCTCCCCCACCACGCTGGCCCCGGCGCATGCACGAAAGAGCAGCGCCCGGGGGGAGACTTGGCACGGGACACGCAAGAGAGTCCGCAGGCAGGTCGCTAGCGTCTTCGCTGTGTTTTGCTCTTTGTTGTCCCGCTTCTTTTTCGGTAGGCGGCGACGCCAACGACGAAAGGGGAGCAGGAGAGGCATTGTCGCGGCGGTGGCGCCAATTGTTTGGGAAACCGCCCACTGAACTTGGCTAACAACTCGTCCGGCACGCTCGAGCCTTTCCAGCGGGCTCATTGGCGTCGCCCATGGGCAAGCCAAGCCCAGCACCTTTCCAGGCTCTAGCTCTCTCGCTGGCTACCTCGAAAAGGTAGCACAGCATCAATTCTTATTGCTTGAGCGTAATGAAACAACTGACAGGTTCGTCTTTTGATATTGCCACACAATGGAGTGAAAAGTGACACATACACGGCGTAGATATCAAGCATGAATATTACCAGAAGTTGCATCTGACTTCTCGACTTCACCTCCATTGACCCCATCACTCATGTCCGTGTCCCGTATGCCAAAACACAGCACTGGAAACGCCCCTTCAACGCTACACATAATCGCGCAATGATTAACGCCAGTCAATGTCATCAATCACTATCTAGCGTCCGTGGTTTAGTGAATGTGAGTGTGAGTTGCCTCTCTGTCCCTCTCTCCCTTCAATCATTTCCCTTGACAGATTTCCAAGGGGAAGGAAGCCACTGATAATTTTTAACTCACACACCCGAAAACGAGATAGTAAAAGTGACGAGTCTTAAAATAGTCTTTCCACGAGCCACGATCGTGAGGCACCTCAATCGCGGTAGCGTCAGTTCTCGTAAGAACCTCATCGACGACTGAAAGGCTTAACGCCGTCTGGTGATCTCGGCTTGTGTTAGAAGTGGCTCAGTGTCCCAGAAGTTTATTGTTTATCTGGACGAACATGATGCTAAAAAAAGGGCTTCTACTAGGATGAAAAAAATACTCAGATAAGTAAGCAGCCTTGTTGCAACTCGAATTGCAACTATCTACATGACTACAACGTAGCTGCACTATAATGTAGATAGTAGTGCAGAAATCTACGGTGGTAAGGCACCGAGGATTAGTAATGCATGTACTTAGCCATAACTCCAGTCCTCGGACTCGCCAACCTTGCTTTCAATACGAGTTTTGTGTACTGTCGAAACCGTTGCAAATCCTCCTCTGTACCGGAAGCTAGTAACAACTTCTTGATATTTGCCAATATACAGCCGCTGGCAAGTCCAATTTGTCTCTTGATTAGAACTCAGAATACAATTCATAGTGATATTCGAAGTAGAGCATAGTCGCAGAATCCAAATACACTGACGGAGGCAGGTTTGCAAATCTGTGGAGAAGGAGATGAATTATCATGAGCCTTAACTCGATTTCTGGCCGTGCAAGAATTCTATGCTCGTCGTCCGCCAATTGTACGCAGCTTGTTTTCAGGTCTCCTTCTTGCTCTAATTAGGGGCGCCTATACATAGAAGTTGCACGAAGTCGAAAGCCCACCTTTTCAACTATTTTGGGTGAGGGCTGCTGCTGTTCGACGTGCTGAAGCTGATCAAGAATGCCAGTCAGAATATCGGGACTTGTTATGTGCTATCTAGGTCGCATAGAATAAAAAATAAATGCAACGAGAAAAATCCTGGTCTAAGCGTCTCCTTCTTGCTCTAATTAGTATTAGAGGAGCCTAAAAAAAACAAAGGGCATAATCGAGATGCTGAAAAAGAGATGGATAAAAGCCGACCATAACTCAAAATCAGATCTTTGTTCTCCTCGAAATAGTTTCCGCTCTGAGTAGAGGCTAAGGAAGCTAGGAGACTTAGCTCTGCTCTTCGACGGTTCGCAGGTGTACCAAAAATCACTAACGTCTCCGTGCGGTGTCTATTTTTAGAGTACAACAACTGCTATAGAGTGGGGTAGAAGAAGCACACTGATAGAGTGAGGCCATTGGGGAAAGGGGATCAAGAATCAGCGCCACGCTGTCTTATCAATGGACAAACTACAAAAGTAGACACATGAGAAGTCCTGGGTCTGTAGCAGAATTCTACACTTTTTTGGAAAAAAAGGGTAAAAAAAGTCAGGACTTTTCTAGAGATTTCATCGAAATCTTTAGAAAAACTCCAGGCTTGTAGGGCATTTTCTTCCAGGTTTAGGGCATCCGTTCGTTGTGTGTAAACATTTTTAACTTGTCGATTCAAACATTGTCTCAAGAAGCTCTATTAGTCTACGAGCAAGGATTATGATTAAGGGCTAACACTATAAAGTTGCATCTCCAGGAATCTATGGAAGTAACTATTCACACTTTGATTATGTGAGGCACTTGGTGGTATCCATGCTACTTGATGTAGTAACCTTAAGATTCTGTTTGCACAACTGCGCGAGCTCTTTCGGTGGAAGCGAGCAACATTCTGCGCTTTTCTTAGACAGGGGGAATCTTCAAGCTACTTCCTCATCATCGATCCAGTGAGACGCCTCCTTGGAACTCCTGGCTTCGTTGGTTCAGTCACCCTGCTAAGAAAATCAATGATCAAAAGTTCGTACTTGTCCAGTCAAGCCCTATGCAAAAACAGAAACGAACGAAAAAATGAAGTAACGTAGTACCTATCTACTCTTAGAAAGAAAAGAAGAGCAAATGATGAAAAGTTAATATCAACTCCAACAGTAGAAGCCGTAATATTAGTACTACACTCTATGCAATGAAAGGACGATGCCGCATTGCTTCCCGGTGGAACGTTGAAGAAGACGATGCATTCGTGTCTTCGCTCGAAACTCCGAGACATTAGAGCAAGTGAGAGTGCAGATGAAAGTCATATTCCAATACTCTTATACTCCGAAACATTGGTGAAGCAAGCGAAGACGAAGAAGGGAGCAACTTTTAGTTCGAGTTGTGCTTTATGCTACCTAGTAGTAGGAGTAGTAGCAGTAGTAGTAGTAGTAGTAGTAGTAGTAGTAGTAGTAGTAGTAGTAGTAGTAGTAGTAGTAGTAGTAGTAGTAGTAGTAGTAGTAGTAGTAGTAGTAGTAGTAGTAGTAGTAGTAGTAGTAGTAGTAGTAGTAGTAGTAGTGTACCCATTAACTTTAACTCAACAACTTAGGTACTTACTTATCTTCATCTTGCATTGTTGCGGCCAAAGCTTTAGTACTTCATCCTACTTATGGTTCTACTCCTTATGTAGCTAAATATACATACTAGTAAGCAATATAGAAGTATAATGTTCCTTGACAGCCATAAAAGGTTTGCTCCAAGGGGCCCAATAATTCCTCCTACTTCGAAAGCAGGTAGAGGCAACAATATGAAAAAGGCAAAAACTGAGATTTCCAGTTTGTTGCTTCTGCTAGAAGATACAGAGTTCAGTATACATTTTTTTACCACTTGTCTGGTACACTAGGTGCTCCTACTCACAACAGAGTTCAGTATAGATTTACCAGTTGTCTGGTACACTAGGTGCTCCTACTCACAACTTAAACTTAAAAAATTCAAGAGAAATCGTTGTCCTGGTCCTGGAACGAAAACACCAACAATGAATATATAAAAGTAGTTGAAGACCCTAAAAGATCATAATCATCTTCAATTATTTATACCAAACACCATTCTACCACAATTCGTAAGCAAAGTGAGATCGTCGTGATCTAATTCCATGGTCACCTCGAAACCAGGATACTTGAAGAACTTTTCCATCCACTGCTCTTCCATCGTTCCGCCCAGTTTGAGATTAGAGGCATGGTTTTGGTGTTTCTGTTTCCCGTTTGTTGTGCCTTTCTCCCTTAGCAGAAGCAAAGCAAACGCTATAACAGGGGAAACACCTTTAACCTACCCGTAATGAGAGTCCCAGCGCGCCTCTGTCTCCGCATGGCGCCTGCAAACGCCTGATGCATGTGCTTCGCTTCAAAAGCGCTTTCCTCACGTTTGCAGATACGAGTGTTAAAGGTCGGAGGGACTCAGCAGTGGTCACTAACTCTCCTGTAGAGAAGTAGTGGTGACTCCATGATCATCCTACTAGGATGATCCTACTCTGTAGTTCCCTGAGTTTATTTACCCTGTTCTCTCATGGTGCTGGCTCATCTTCGATGTCAGTGACAGCCCGCTCTCAGTGGCCAATGAAGTCCTTATCCTCTGGGCCATAAAAGTAATGTACTTGAGAGCAAGGTGACACTCGGATTCTTTCCCTTCTCCACGCAAACCACAGTCGTCGCCGTCCATCGTGGATTATGAAAGCTGACATCTTGGACAACTAAGGAAAGTCTGTAAGGTTTAGCTTGACTACGAGTCACCATAACAATTTACAGCCGCTTATCTTGTGCAAGACGTATAGGCGGTGACCTTCGCGAGCTCGTATCAGGTAGGCTTTCTGATACGAGAGTTTCAGTTCGAAACTCCATAGACCAGTGCTGCTGTCCCGCGTAATGTCGCGGAGCAAAACAAACTTGGTCTCATCCATGATTGAGTCAATAGGGATTAATTGTACTTAATCTTTATTTCTTGCTCATCAATCAAAGAACAAATTTCAGCATCAGTTGTATAGGAACATTAAATACAGCGTGAAACTGACATCTCCATGTTCTCAGATAACGAGTTGAAACATTTACTCAACATTTGCTCGACGTGCTACGAAACGTCTTCAGACTCCCAATCTGTATGAGTAATGCAAGAAGAGCAAATACTGAGAAGTACTTCCAACTTACACTTACATGTTACTAGATGATGATCCTGCTCTACTACCTCTCCCGTATGTCTCTCGGCTTCAATACAACGTTCTCCACGCTAACTGTTGTTGTTGCGATATGACACAACAGATCGCATGATGAGATGAGACCGATTTTCTTTATGCGAAGAGAGAACTAGATAGGTCGCGGATCCTTAGGTCAAGAACTCCTGAGTCAGGCAAGAAGAACAATGCTGAGTCCCTGATACAGACATCCTCGATGAACACCACATCAGACCCTGGCTGGTGACGAGTTCCACTTTGGTACGGTAAAAAACTTTTGAATTTGATGTTCAAAAACTTCTTGTAACACCCTCTCGTAGGCCCTAGAGGTTAGTAGTAGTACAACGTAGTAGTAGCACTGATGGAGTAATGGCGCCATAATGCCAGTGGTAATGCCTGTCAAGATTCGAATGACTATCTAAATCTATGTACAATGAAAAACACGACAACAAAAAACCATATTGTACAGGCTTTAAGTAAATAAGTGAAGACTTTTGTAGCGACTTTTCTACACAGCCCGTCACACGCATGCTCTGTAATTATCCCACTGTTTCTGATGTCTCCACGTACTATCCATTGAATGAATGACAATAATTATAATCATACAATACAGACGCAGCCTTTTGTTGTGTCATAAATGAAGACTACGACCAGAAATAGTAATAATAACAACGGGGGCGAGGAAGACCCGGGGTGGGGCGGGCTGTGCACTACAGTACCCCGCGCGCTATACTAGCGCAAGAAGGACAAAGATAGAGCCAAGCCTAGCAGACTGCCTCAAGGTCTGGAGCGCCTACAAGGCGCGCAAAAAGTTACAGCCAAAACTCAGCAGCTTAGCAAGAGAACAGCCGCACCCACCGCAGCTTCCTCGCGCACCAAGACTGTCATGGTGCACAGTCACGGCGCACAAGTCTGTCCGGGGCGGTTGCGACGTAATAATCCGAACTCCCTGTCGAGCAGCTTTAGTCAATGAGCAAAAAACGAAAACAGCGACGCAGGTGCGGCTACTCCCATCTTCATCATCATCAGAAGCAAGCGAAGACCATACGCCCCGCCCCGAGCCCGTCGAGGAACGGAGCCGCATGCTGCAGCATGCAGGCACGCGTACCAAACCTGTGGCGCGTCCGCTGGATTGCCCAAGCGGGGAGACAATCCAGCGGACGAGGGTCAGGCAGTGCGGTGGCGAACTCTAAGGACAAGCGACGAAGGCTGCGCCATTGTTGTGGCTATATTTTCAGGTGGAATCAGCACGCGGGACCTATCCGGATTCCCCTCGTCAACAGGTTGCCTGCGCTATGCCTGCGCGCATTCTGCAGCCACTAGGGACAACAACCAGGAACAGCGTCGAGCGGAAAGCCCAGAACCACCGCCGAAAACCTTAGCCAGACGGCTACGCGCGCTAATTCCCTTTAGCCTAACCACACCCAGAAGCAACCGCCGCCCGGAAGGTGGTACACCTCGACACCCCGCAGGGGCGTGGACCATCCTAAGCACACACAAACAGAGCAGGCGGAAACGAAAAAGCAATGACAAACCCCACCAGACACGCACGGCGCAGGGGAGCGCTTGCGGAGCAAGCCCGGCGCGCGCCTTCGGCAAAGGAAGTGCGCCGGCCGTCTCTCGAGGAGTATGCGCGTTGCGTTCTCGTTGCTCCTCCGCACTCGGCGAGGGAGTTGCGCTGGCCATCTTTCGACGTTTTGCGCGGTGTTTAGCTCGCCTGGAGCTCCCGGTGACCAGCCGGGTAAAGACTAGAAATAGACGAATCATGTGCGAACGGTGAAGACCGATCGACTTCTACTTTAAATGCTTTTTCTCTGCTAGTAAGAGAAGGAAACTTGGACGATTAGTAGACTTCTTATGGCCGTACTAGTATGTTGAAAAGCAAATACTCACTCTCTAGTTTTACGAAATGTTAATCGTTCACGACTGTAGGGCCACCAAAATTTTGTTAAAAAGAATGCTCTAACAACGTAATTGAAATTTATTGCTGGATTGTGGAATCATGTTTCCGGAAAAACAAAAAACTGTGATAGATAATCATTAATTTCCTACAACATCAACTGAAAATTATAAGGTTAACGTTAACGTTTGTAAAATTGTAGTCTTCTTCACACTTAATACTATCACTGTCCTCAAAAGTCCGTGACCCGTCCTTTGTGACTCCAGTCGCCGAAGGACGTTGGCTCGCGACCCATGTACTTAAAGCCGACTTCTTTCTTCCCTTTCGGCGTCGACTTGTTCTCAGCACCTTGTTCTTGTTAGAGGAAAGAAAATAAATGACCTTGTAGCTCTACATATTGTTGGAAGGGCTAAGTCTCTAGAGGTAAAGCTAACCGGTCTACAGTATTTTCTTATACAGAAGAACAAAAGTGGAGAACTGACGAAGGAAGTTGCTCACTCAGATGATCTGACGCTGTGAATCTTTTCAGCAATCTGCCTAAGATGATAGACCCACTCTAAAAAACGGGGTGCGAGTCTAAAACGGATGTGGATCTACTAAAACGGGAGAGAGCCTAAGACGGGACTTTGTTTTCAATCTATCAATCTAGTTGTAGTTGTAATCTTGTGTTTTTAAAAATATGTCTTAATCATCGAATTCGTCCTCTCCGGCTTCCTCAGTCAAACGTGGAAATAGCACTTTTTGTTGCTCTCGCACCGTAGCAGAGGTAATCCGCGTATTCTTAGAAGGTGATTGAATCGACCACGACAAACGAGATGAATCGACAAGAGAGTACTGATGTAGAAGACAAGATGTTGAGAAGTTGCATGAGACTTTCTTCATGATGAATCTCTCAGGCGGACTGTGTAGTGCTTCGCACCTATATCACGCGATACTTGTGTCAGAAAGAAGTGCTACAATATCATAGTATACAACACGATCATCTAGTGGTGATTTTTCATAATTGAAGCAGCCTCTGTGGTGGCAGCTACCGCGGCAGGCTTTTCAACCGCCGTCTCAGCCCTGAGCTTGTCCATCGAAGCCTGCGACCGCTCGTAATCCATTCGGGCCTTCGTGTTGTCATGATACATTAGAGCATGCCCTTGTAATTCTATTTCTACCAGTACCACGACCAGAATTGAATATTAAGTACCACGATTAGGTCGTTAACAATGAACAAGGCTACGACTTCTAGTACATTGTGTTTGTTGTAGTAAGCAATAGTAAGTAAGTAGTATCCTTTACTACAGAAGCAGAAGATTCTTTGCTTCATCTTCAAAAAAAAACCCTAGTACAACGTTCAGATGACCATGATGTGGTGACCCATAAGTAAGACGATCCACTGAGAAGCGCTCTGCTCGAACCCAGAAGTCTCCTTGAGGACCCGAAAGATCTTCGCTGCAAAGACTGCTGTGGTAATTAGAATGGCATACATTCTACTGATTTCTTCCAAATAAGTGTAGAAGCAAAGAGAACAGTGCTGGAAGAAGTGAAGATCTTCTAACATTAGAGTACCTGATTTCTTCCAAATAAGTGTAGAAGAAGTCTTATAATAAATCTTGGTATTCACTAAACTGACTTGATTTGTGAGTACTGATACTGTATTCTTCCAGAGTCATCTATAAACAAAATGCCAAAAGAATCTTAGTATCAAAACTGAGCTGATTTCTCTTCACCTATAGCATGCTAGTACTAGTCAAAGTAAATATAATGAGATTTACCTAGGACGTTTCAAAGTACATATAAATAAAGCAGAGAAAAATGTAAGTCGACTTTTCTACTAGAAGACGATGAGCAACCCAGTTCATGAAGAGCGGGTCGTGTAGTGTGATTTGATTAATATTAAGATGAGCCTAGGACTTTCCAAGACCAGTATTTCGAAGGAGTTAGAATGTAGAGAGCATGGTAGCGAGCATAAAGTTTCAACGCTTCTACGCCCAAAGTTGCTTGTTGGGAAGCGAGAAGATCTTCGTGTTTTTGGCGTTTAACGCTACTCCGCAAGCCCAGATAAATGCGCTGATGCTTTAGAAGAACTACTAGAAACGCCTGTGCTCTTCACAGAAGAACCACAAGGATCCTCTGTAGTAGTTGACGGATTTCTTCAAAGTCAGTCTCAGTGTATTTCATGATTATAATTCCGGGAATAGTGTGCCATCTATTCATTGATTGGCTGAGTCGTGATTGATTGAAGACGAGAGGTAGGCTTTTGGTGTTCGTTTATTATGCCTGTCTCCCTTAAGAGAGCCCTGACAAACCGTAACAAAAACACCTTTAGCCTACCCTTACGAAAACGTGCCACCTACTGCTTGATTGATCGAGCTGAACAAGGTGTATTTTCTTAACTGTTCTGGTTTCACCTGCTTTGCTGCGGTAGCCACGACCTTGTCTAACACAGATGGCAGCATTGCTGCCCCTCGTCTCCGAAGGGGATCCATTTTGATGTAAGTAGTCTAAGTGTACCTGTAGCAGTTGTAGATTCTTTTCGCTGTTCCACTTCTAGAGAATCTACTCTGTCTTGGCGCGCTACCAAAGAATGATTAGGAATTGGAAGTTACAAACAAAAAAATCTACTCTGCCTTGGCGCACTACCAAAGAAGGATTAGGAATTGGAAGTTACTAAGTGACAGCAAGATGACACTTCTTACTAGTACAGGAGTAACAAACGAGATACTCGTCGTACAGTTCTTCACACACATGATACAGAAAGAAAGACTGGAAATACGCTTTTTTATCTGCACAGACAAGGTAGGGTCTCCACACAAGTTATTTATGTGAGGCTTCAAACAGACTTTGTACCGCTAAGAAGAAACTTCTACTTGTTACTCTGTTATGAAGCTTCCGACAAACAAGATCGTTTAGGGAATACGCAGGGCCCGTGAGCAAGGGAGTCAATGAGTGCACGGGAACGGGAGTCAATGAGTGACGGATGAGTCAATAAGTCTGTCAGCAGAGTGAGTGAAGAAGTAAGTCTAAGGGAATCAGTTGTACAGTATACTAAAGCAGAATTACACAAGATGAGAATCTATGACGGAGCTCTACTGACCAACTCGTAACCTTTGATGAAGTTCAAGCCAACTCGTAATCTATGATGAGGTCTATGATACAGCTCTAACCAACTCGTAATCTTTGTTCTCGTCGTTTCGCCAAACACTTGTTTTTCTTTTCTGTCCTTTTCCACCACTTCAGAAAATAGTGTTTTTTTTTTGCACTTGACAAAACAGCAACTACACTCTCGACGTCTAATTTCTCGTGTCCTTAGTAGTCTCTCGGCCACTCGACGTTAGCGTGACATCTAGATGCGTCTCTAAACGTCATCACTTCTCGTTCTCTCACGTTGTTTCACAAGAACCAACTTTCACAAGAAGGTTTTGAGGGATGAACAAGTCCTCCGTCTCACTCCTTGTTCGTGCTAGAAAGATAGTCATGGTATATTTTTAATAGTGCAAAAGCATAATTTTTCGTAGTACTAGGGGTTATTGGAGGAGGTCTTTTTTGGTTTTTCAACATAAAAATTGGGTATCTTTTTATTGGGTACATCATTGAGTCTTCTGGGTAGGCCTCGCCACCTTTCATTTTTTGATATGACATTTTTCAATAGGGGGAATGAATAAGACACGGAACTGAATCTGGGTAACTCACAAATGGACAAACATTCTTGATCATTCTGGTGAAACTGTTTTTTGTGTAATAATAATAATAACTGTTTTCATCTTCAAGAATACAAAGGTGCTTTTTCCATCTGCTGCAGACCACCTTCATTCGCCTCATGATTTAGACTTCCCCCAGATAATAGCGACGAATGGACTAGGCGGTGACTCACTAGGAGACCAGCTACAAACTTAGGCACTCATTAATTGGGAACGAGCACACAGGGGTAGGAGCAGTGGTATTGGCAGTGGTAGAGGTAGTAGTAGTGGGTCCATAGTGTCTCGGTCGTCTAAGCTAAAAAGCAGTCACCAAATCGCGGTTCTGTATCCTTGACGGAGGAGCCTAATCTAAAAAGATGGTCTGCAAGATGGAAAAAGCCGCATCCAAAGGAAATGAAGGATCTTCATCTATCGTGACACTGTTTATGTTGCTAAGAAAAATTCTAACTTCTTCTTAATCTTACACTTTCTTATTGTTCAAAAATTCATCCTTTTTACTTATGAAAATACATTGATGAGAATACAAAATTCTTAGCCTTAACACTTGTAACTACCATAATGTTGAGAATGGGAAAACAATTACAGATGGAAATAATTCGAAAAAGAACAGTACAAGAATTTAATGCCGTAGGAAATTACAATGAAAAAAAGAAATACTTGTTCAGTAGACACGAGAGACGATTACAAACTAGTGGATACAGGAGTGTACAGGAGTGGTGCAGTTCTCTTCGTTTCGTTTTCAAGTGCCACAACATCAATGTCAGTTATCCTACAGGTCCAGTGGCCCTATATCAAGCGGCATAAAACCTTTCTGTCCCTAGGTCAAGCGGCATAAAACCTTTCTGTCCCTAGGTCAAGTGGCAGGAATTTTTCATATCACGGGACATCCATGTGTGAGGCTGAGGTCAAGTCAACCCATGAGTACCTACCTTGACTGAGAAATAGCTTGACTAAGAAGGTTGTGCGAGGTCAATTAACCCATGAGTGCCTACCTTCGATAAGAAAAAGGGCCCAGTCTTCTGACCTGAGCCATGCCTTTCGACATCCATGTATGAGTAGCTCCCTTAACTGCGACAAAGAGAAACTGCAGCTACAATAATGCCATGTCCAAAAGTGCCCGTCATGTCATGTCATGATACCTCATGTTGCGTCTTTGTCTAACGAAGATATAGAGGCCGTCCAATCATCCTGTACCTTCATTCAGAAGAGCAAAGTGACCGAATGATGAGCTATCAAGTATAACCAAAAGTGCCCGCCCTTATATGCCATTTGTGACACAAGAATATCATGAGCTATGTACAACTTATCGCTACGCTACGTCCTAGCGCCACGTATTCATTGGTCCCTCCTATAACAAGACCCACCCGATTAGACGCCAAAGGCAAAGCCCCTTTCGTCTCAATTACGAGACCCAGCTGCTGCCCGCCCTCCCTGTCGTCGTCTTCAATGAATAATGTCACATGTAAAAGGGAGTTGTAGCGATTAGGGGAAGTCAGTCAATCAATCAACCGCATGCAGCCGTCTAACGAGCGGCGGTGCTGGATAGCGGCAGCACTGAACAGACCCGGGGCCAGCTCTGGACTGTGCAAGCACGCCTGTGCTCCCGCTGACCTAGCCCACAAAAGACCGCCCATAGCAATAGGCCAGAGGCTAGTCACCTAACGTCGGCAGTTACACGGATCCTCAGTCAATCAATCAACTATATGCGGCCGTCTGACGAGCGGCGGTTCTGGATAACGTCAAACAACCAACAAAGTCCCAAACTCCTATGTACAAACGTCGTTGTTACAAGAGCCAGTACTATACGACCCGTGCCCATGGATAGGAGAGCGCTCCTTCTCGTCCTCGTGCGTCCCCTTAGATCCAGTACTAGCTGGAGGTGCCTTCTTCACCCTCTTAGATTTAGTACTAGTTGGCGCAGAATATACAACTGTGTGCTTAGAGACTCTGGCTCGTCACTATTGTCCCATGGCATAAATAATCTCGTACTAGATGGATCGTACATGTAATGTTATTGGATAAATGAAGTAATTCGAGAAACCACGTCCGAAGGATGAACAAAGTTGTTTTCTGGTGGCCGGTCGTGTAGTAATGATAGTAATGCCATAAATACATTTGGCAGTGGACAAAGGCAATAAAACAAGGACACGAATGACAACGGGTAGTTGTAATCTCGATTATATGCCACATGCATATTTTTTCACATGATAATGAGGTAGCACCAGGACGACTATTGACAAAATTCGAGAGGTTCGAGAGAGGACATCCAGTTCCCGCGATTATCTGAGGAATAGCCCCAGAAGACTCAAATCACCCCTTCAAATTCATCCACAGCTCGTAGGAAACCAACGGCCTGAAACCACGGAGGTTTTGATTCCTAAAAAAAAAGTCTTCTGGTCTCAGTCTTTGAGAGTCAAAGAACCAAGCGTACAAGCCGTCTAGAGAAGGCTTGATGAACTTGATGTTCAGAGAAAAGTGGTCTCTGAGAAACCTTCAGATCTGACAGAGGACTCTACCATCAATCTCTATAGAAATTATGCTCTATTACCTCTATAGAAATGCATGACAGAGGACTCTATTACCTCTATAGAAATGCAGAGCAGGACTCTGGGTTCCCCGCCACAGACACGCGCACTTTGCACGGGATGGGGGAGAATTACATTAGACAGCATCATGTGGTAAGAGGTCTGACAGGTAGAAATTAGTTACATGTCGTAGTAATGCACATGTCGTAGTAACTGGTAAGTACTCCCTGATTTGTCTTAGTCTTTAATATTGACAAAATGAATCTTCTCGTCTCATTCTCCCTAGATGAGGAATCGACCCAGCAATAATTTTAACGCTAGGCAGTCACTATCGGTGTTAGACTGAGTTGCTTCTTTTCTTCTTAGGTTCCCCGTGACTTGTGAGGGGACCTCACGCAGGACAGCGCACGCCAGACAGTGATATACTAGCCTTAAAAGAAGCAGTGCTAATAGTAGGTAAGCCATAGCACTCAACAAGTCGAGCGACAAGAACAAGTCGAGCAACCTCAACAAGTCAAGCGACAAGAACAAGTCGAGCAACCTCAACAAGTCGAGCGACAAGAACAAGTCGAGCAACCTCAACAAGTCGAGCGACAAGAACAAGTCGAGCGACAAGAACAAGTCGAGCGACAAGCACACGTCGAGGGACAAGAACAAGTCGAGCGACAAGCCCAAGTCGAGGGACAAGAACAAGTCGAGCGACAAGAACAAGTCGAGGGACCTAGAAGTCTTCTTCAATAAGTCGAGCGATTTAGAAGTCTTCGTCAACAAGTCGACCGAAAAAGGCCACTCCATAAGAATACTACCCATACAACTCATCGAATTTATGAGTGTAAAAAGAAGTCTTTACTAGAAGCAGAAGCAGGCTTCACTCTCAGAAGGAGACTGAATCCCAGGTCTCATCCGGTCCTAGGTAGGATGTCGGCATAAAAATGGGAAGAACTACCTACCGGGAGATGTTGAGAGAAGTTGTTGTGCCGAAATTGTCGTGCGAGAATGAGTCTACCCAAGAGATAAATTTGGGAATCATCTTCAGGTCCTAGACTTTCTGCAAATCCTACTCCTACGGAGCCCGATACAAATTTGAGCTACCCTACGCACGACCCCTGTTCACTAGTATTAAATGTAATCATGTTTGTACGCCTTTCTTGTTCAAAACAACTTTTCCTTATCTTATTTTTCGAACCTGAGGTTAATGACAACAAAAAATTTATAACATCATCTTCTACACCTATATAAGTCAACCATCAAGTAGACACTTTCTGTTATTCGGAATAATTTGTTCTATCAAGGTTTATCTGTAAGACACTGGATGGTGCTTCTTGTTCTACTTCGTCAAATATACTTTATTATTATTATTATTATTATTATTATTATTATTATTATTATTATTATTATTATTATTATTATTATTATTATTATTATTATTATTATTATTATTATTATTATTATTATTATTATTATTATTATTATTATTATTATTATTATTATTATTATTATTATTATTATTATTATTATTATTATTATTATTATTATTATTATTATTATTATTATTATTATTATTATTATTATTATCGCGCGCGCGACCCGATCGTCCCGCACGTGTTACGCCCTCAGGCGATCCTACCATCCGTCGCTAGGGACACCGATGTAAGGGCACAAAGGACCTTGCTGAAAAACCGATGCTGTTTTGAAGTTGATGGGGAGAATGCGCGACTATTGCGCTACGATTCTTTCTTCTACACGTCATCTTCTCACTTCCTCCACCCGGCTCTTGGAAATCCTCCGTCCTCCCAATCGCACTCCCCGGGCGTCGCCCACGCAGCCCCGCCTTACCTGCACACGAAGAGCGGGCGCGGATGGGCAGCACTTACACTGCCCATCGACGCGCCCACCTGTGGGTCTCCCATCATCACGAGCGCGTGAGATCAAAAGTTCAACGTCGCCCGCAAATCGCGTGTCATCGGCAGGAGTTGATCACATTCCTCAAACAGCGGGGCTTCATCAGCTGATTACACACATAAGACCTCTTCATCCTATCTACACTACCTAACCTACCGTTACCCGCGCCCACTTCGTTCCCCCCTCAAACCCTACCCGTGCGCGCGCCGCGGATGAAGGCTCCTTCAAAAGAGGGCCTCCTCTTGAATGCAGTATCTAGTAGCTTGCCGGGCGTGCCGGTCGGCCACGCAGCCTATCTCGGATGCAATGCCGGCCCTTGCCGCGACAAAAGTCTGTCTTAGTTGTTCCTGCCTGTGTCTGTCCAGGTCATCGTAGAAGATGACCTTGGTCCTCAGCGTCTTCTTCGCATATTCCGGAGCGGCAGCGCCAACGGCCCTCGCCTTTCGCATCCGTTGTTTATACTCCTCCAAAGGATCGCGAAATAACTCTGCCTCTATATCTGCGACATTCCGATCGGGTATGCAAAGACGCTTCCGGACCCGATCCAGGAATGGCCACCGTCGCCAAAATGGTGACATTAGATATGTGCAGGGTCTCCGTCTCCTCCGCTTATACCGGAGACGCGCGCCGGGGCACATACTCGCACCGACGTTCGCACGCCCAAGAGCCTCAACAGCGGTCCTTACGACCACGACCACCGCGGTCTGCGTCCTTCGTCTTCGGCGACCTGCTAGACGCGGCCGTTGTCGTTCTCTTACTGTGCGCGCCGCTTCGCACACGGCTCCTGCTGCGACTCATGCGACGTCGGGATAGAGGACTACCGCGATCGCCGTGTTGATGTTTTGATCTCGAGTCCCTGCGCGCCTCTGTGACCCGCTCGCGCCGACCCGCCTCCCTATGTGGGTCGCCCGCCGGTAGCGATGCCGCATGCTCAGTTGCTGTTGACGCCGTCTTCATTTTTTCCCACATCTTGCGCAAGACCGCCGGCTCCATCCCGGGGAACTCCGCCACGATCTCCGCGGGGGCCTCCAGTTCCGGCGATACTGGAGACGCGCTACTAAAAGCACTGCCGTGTACCGCGCTGGAGGCGCCTTTCGATGATGTCACCGCATCGCGTTCTATCTGCTTCTTTGCGTCGGAGTCGATAGAGCTGCGCGAGGCGATCCCGGTATGCGGCACCGCGTTCACCACCCCTAGCTTATGCACGCCGTGCCCGACGTGCACTGGAGTCGTTGGATGCACGATGTGGCCGACTGGTGGAAACATATATCCGACCTGCTCGCCCTGATGGAGTCCAGCGGATCCCGCTGCGCACATCGTCGTGTCGTTCGAGGTGCCGAGGCTCGCGTCGGCGCCGAGTGGGAACGCACTCTCCTCCTGAGCACCGAAACCCGACGCATAACCGTTCGCCGCATCTTTCGCCGCCTTCTGACGCAAAGATGATACCATCGGCAGCCTATATCGCGCCGCGGGTTGTCTCTCCGCCGCCTCAAGTGCGCGACGTTGTTGATATTGTGGTGGCGACCGCATCCATCGATTCTCGCTGTTGTCCCAAAAGTGCGCAACCGCCAAGGGTATCGCAGCCAGCGCCTGCGCCACTGGAAACGGCGGTATATTGGCATATTGTTTCGGCATCAAGTTCGGCTTGTTCGGCCAATGCGCTATCGTGCTCAATATGTGATACTCCCTCGGCTGCAGACCTGACGGCATAGGCGCCTCGCCTACCAAAGGCGCAATCCCAATCTGCTGAAACTGGTCCGCAAAGACCGCCAAACTGTATGCCAGAATACATTGGTGATCGTTCTCCGTGCTCACCGTGTTTGTTGTCGTCTGAAAGCGCAGGAACATTGGTGAGCCATCGTTCGTCAGGACCTCGTGCGCCGGTATGAAGACCATGCGCCAATGGTCTTCCAGTTGAAAGACATATACCAGCCCACCGAACGCCTGCGTGCACGCGCCAAAGGCCAAAAACAGACGGCGCGAGAACCCAGCATACACTCGCGTGCCCTGCACGTTCGCATCCGTTGGCCCGCGTTCGAGATGGGGACTCTCTATACTGATGCCCTTCGCGCGACGTGATTTTCTCCCGGACGCAGTTGCCGCCAACGCCGGTGACGTCGGTGCCGCTGGAGCGCCCGGCCACGGCGCACCCGAACACATTTCCGCTGATGCCGTTTCCGACATCGCGCTACCGAAAGCGCCCGCTCCGCCGCCGTTGAGCGGGTTGCTCATATTGTATATAGACATGACGGCTCACAGAACCAGTCGCCCTCGATAATCGCCTCCCGCAGCAATGAGCGGAGCTATATCCTGTACGCGCGTGTGGTCTTCCAAGACCGAAATGCATGCGCTCCACCCCGCACGTCGATGTGGTCTTCCACGACCGAAATCTACTTGGTGCTGCCGCCGCAGATCCCAAACCAGGTGCTCCAATATCGTATAACCCAGGGTCTTCGCCCTCGCCAAGTTCACCCCGGACCCCAACGACCACAGGAAAAGTCACCGCTCTCGCGAGCCAACACAGGTCCACAAAGACCAAAACTAACTACCCCTTAACGAAAAGACAAAAAGAGAGACTCAAAGCTCGGCCTCAAAAGAAACAGAAACAAAATTTCAGCTGTTCAAAAGACTATCACTTCTCTAACACCTCTCTCCGTCTGTCTGCTCTTCTACAAACTCTAGAAATGCCTACTCGTTGCACTACGCGTACTAGGAGACAGTCCCTTCCGTCGTTCACGTCCAAGTCACTACTCCAGCTAGCTTCCTGCGTATCTCTCCGCTTAGTTACATCCTACCAATAGCAACTATTGCTCAAGTTACGTCGACGGCCGTACAAAGAGCCGGATACTGGCAGGCTCTCATCTGTGGCTCTGAAGGTACAGGTCGACCTACACACGCACGTCGCAAGGGCAAGAGAAAGCTGCATCTTCCTTATAACGTGTCTCCTATCTAACGTCAGTGTAGTGGGGGTTACAACCTGTATAGTCGACTACACCACAGAGGCTTGACACCAACGCGCCGCCGTGCATCTGAGCGTAGACGCATCTATTTCTCTTGGTTCTTCACCTCGTGCGACCTTCTCTTTGTAACCGCTTATCTTCACTACCTCAAAACGGGCGCTGTTGATTCCATCTCTGGCACACTGCTGTCTCCTGTAAAAAATTACAAGAGACATTCAGCCTTCTCGTTAAAACGGGGCTCCTGTAGTAGTCGATATTTATTTTGCCACATTTACTACAGATGGGCAATGGAGTATAGGGGTCCACCCACATATGGAACCTCTACCGCTCCGTCTAGTGTCAAACCGGAAGAAAACGGAAATCTTCACCAAAGAAAAACCGAACAAGACTATCTAGACAAAAGGAAAAGAAAAAGAAAGTAAACACACGCTCACCACGTCTGCCTCGAGCAGACACCTCACTCCGTTTTAGGCCTAGCCGCCTTCTTGTACCTCCTCGCCTAGTTCTGATTCATGCCTCGTCTGTAGACGAACTCGAACTAGAAGCACTACTAGCAGGTGAAGCGGAAGACTGTTGCTTGAGTATACTAAGAAGGTCTAAATCTGTCCGCTTGATTGAAATGCTGGACCGGTGGGAGTAGTATAATAGTGTGGCATTAGTAGGCCAATAGTAGGTAAATAGTGAATGATGCGAAATAGTGGATGAATAGTGGATAAATAGTGGCTACTTAGTAGGTAAATAGTGGATAATAGTGGATAATAGTGGATATCCACTATTATCCACTATTGGTCCACTATTGGGCAAATATTTCTTTATCTTTGGGCTCATGTTGTTTCGTCTCCTTCATCGGTGCTTTTCATCGGTCTACAAGATGCTTAGCACGTTTCTGATGCTTAATTCGCTAGTTAAGTGCAGTCCTCTTCCAGTTGCAGACGCGTCCAGTCGCCCATATACTGGCAGAATAGGGCAACAACAGTGCGCGGCTAGTGGTTCAGCAGTTGCTGCGCCCTTGGTGATAGTGTGACATGGTAGCTTTATATCCGACGCATCAAGGGAATAGTGGAGCTGTAGTTCGCCGCGAGTAGGTCAGTAGTCGAGGCCTCCCTGCAGGTGGTGCTTCGGGAAGAAGGCGCGCGAGGGAGATGATGGGCGACGCAGTCACTTCTTGAACTCGTGTCAGCTGTTATAACAAGGAGACGCGCCTCATGTAAGGGGTTAGACCTCTGATGTGCACGAGTTTCTATATCTAAGTAGTGAAGACCGCCAGGAGTGTTACCGTCATCCTGCAATTGTTTTTGAAGAATGAAGATAGCTTGGCTGTTTTGATGTTTTCTGACATCTTCTTCGGTCGAGGAGGTAAAAAAGAAGGCGCTTGCTCGGTTTCATTCTGTGAGCATGATTATCAGTCTCGCGTCGGAAGGTTTTTGCTGTTGTACGACTACAAGGATGCGCATTCAGTTTTCTATGTGATTTCGCTCG